CAAGACTTTTAGAAGACATATGAAGGCAGCCCTGTTTAGGGAAGCTTTTAATAGTGGAAGAATCGTTGCATTTTAATATTCTGCTGGAAGCCGCACAAAGTGGGCAGGGTATTAATAATAATAATAATAATAATAATAATAATAATAATAATAAAATAATTTCTCCTCCAGGCTTTTTGGAAAGCTCAGAGAAGTTGTTCTCACAACAGCCCTAGGAGTAGATCAGCCTGAGCAAGTACAACTGGATTGAATATAATCTAGTAAACATCATGGTTGAGCAGAGTTTTAATGAAATAGGCGAGTCCAATAAAGGTCTACTCAAGAGTAAGTGCCTGTGAGTTAAGTGGCAAGTGGGTGTAGGATTCCAGCCTTAACTTAGATACAGTCGTACCTTGGATCTTGTACGGTGTGTATGCAAATGCGTACCTTGGATCTCAAACACCTTGGCTCCCAAACAAATCGGCTCCCGAATGATGGAAACCTGGAAGGGAGTGTCCCAGTTTTCGAACGATTTCCGGAAGCCGAACATCCGGCGCGGCTCCTGATTGGCTGCAGGACGGACTCCCGGAACGCATTCTGTTCGAGGACCAAGGTACAGTTGTACTGTGTTATTTTATTAGATTGAGCAATATTAAGCAAGCACTGAAGCCAACACAAATTCAGCTCATTTTGTGGGGTTGTTTTGGTAGAATGTAACTTTGGGAGTTTCCATATATTTGGGATTGATGTTTGGTAGTGTCTAAGTTCCCCTCATCCTGATCACACTGTCTCCAGTCTCTATTGACTCCGCGGCTGAGATTCAACAGGTGTGCAGATAGCTTTCCTTTTTTTGGCTTCTACAGATAAGGGGAAGCTGTCAAACTCTAGAACCTCAAAAGGCACTAATAGCCTCGCCTGCTCCCCAAGGCAACCATCCAACTCGGTTTAGAGAGCTGCAGGTATTTTTGCTATCCTTGCATCAGCTATGCGCCTCTTTGCTTGAAGTAACCATAGGAACAATTTATATTTGCTTCAGCGTTGCCATGGTAATGCACTGGGCAACTCCCAGCTACACGCCCAACCTTCTGTAGCAGGGATTGTTAAAAAGTCCTGCTCCTCCCGCAAACCATGAAGAAATCCATTTACCAATAACAGATGTCTGTCTCCCCACCTCCACCCCCCCTCTCAAGAACAAAGAAGGAAGGAAGAGCACGTCTTGTCCGACAGCGGATTAAATATACAGGAGTAATACATTTAAATAATAGTAGTAATTTAGGGATCTTCAGTGGCCTCTAACGGCCACAATAATGAAGCACTTGTGCTGTAGTATAAATAATATTAATTGCCAAAGAGCAACCAAGATCCTTATGCCGGGGTCAAAAACTAAGGGTGCCTCCATGTGGATAATTCAGATGTCACAACTGGGGGATTGGAAAGCAGTTTTTAATTTAGCAGGTTTTTTAATAATAATAATAATAATAATAATTTATTATTTATACCCCGCCCATCTGGCTGGGCTTCCCCGGCCACTCTGGGCGGCTTCCAAAAGAATATTAAAATACTATAATACATCAAACATTAAAAGCTTCCCTAAACAGGGCTGCCTTCAGATGTCTTCTAAAAGTCTGGTAGTTGTTGTTCTCTTTGACATCTGGTGGGAGGGCGTTCCACAGGGCAGGTGCCACTACCGAGAAGGCCCTCTGCCTGGTTCCCTGTAACTTGGCTTCTCGCAGTGAGGGAACCGCCAGAAGGCACCTCGGTGCTGGACCTCAGTGTCCGGGTAGAATGATGGGGGTGGAGACGCTCCTTGGTAAATCCATATTATTATTATTATTGATTTTTTAAATGGTTCAATATGGTAAATCCATATTAAATGTGGGGGGAGGGATACAGACTGTCATTTTGTTGCGGATGTCGCGGATGTCGCTGACAGTGCAAAAGACTTGCATACCTGAAGAGCGCCGATTGCACCATGCGCACCTGCCTGGCTTCTCCCCAGCAACTCCTCCTGTTCCCTGGTCAAACAGCTGCGTTTGCCTCTGGTCCTGCCAACTGCTGGCACACAGGCCCTGGTAGGTTGCCCACTGCTAAATGTGACCAAGGGGCCGGAAAATGCTCGTTCCTGTCTTAAAATATTCAAGGTGCTTCTGAAATCTTTGAGATGGGTTTACCCTCTAAAACTGCTGGACCACAACCTGTTTGCTAGGGCACTAAGCAATGATCTTAATCTAAATCTCTAGGCACATTCGCTAGAGTTCAAGCCCTACTGCGATCAGGAGGTTCTTCAGGTCAGGAGGGGTGCAGGCAGGAGCTCCCATTGATTCCTTCCCATTTTAAAAAGGTGGATTTGAGGGTGTCCAGTAGACACCCTCTTAATCCATTTTGAACTGACCAGTTACAGATTAGGTTTAGGAAAGTCCACCTTTCACTAAATATTATCAATCCTGGGATAATATTTGGAAGCAAGACAATGAATCCTCATTAATTCAGTTCCCCGTCATTCCCAAACACATAGCAGTGGAGTGAAGTATAACTCAGTGTGGCACCTGTATATATCATTCAGTCTTGATGTTTCTATTTTATGTTAAGATTTAAGGAGTACTTTTGTGTAGTGATATCGCCACCTAGTGGCATGAGTTGGAAATGGCATCCTTTTCTCACGCTACGCAGACATTTGTGCATAACATCTTTGAAGCAATTTTAGTGGGTTAAAAAAAAAATTAGAAAAACTGTTTTGAGGTGTTCAATCCTTTCCCCAGCTGCTCTCTTCCCACTTCAAACTGCCCTCAAGTGATTTTAGCTCCCGTGATGAGCTTTAAAGTGTGTACTTGCTCTTGCAAGCACATTTCTTTCTCTCACCGTCCCCTGCCTGACACATAGCTACTTCCCAAAGCAGATTTCTGAGTTTAAAGAGACACTGGGGTACTGCAGCATGTGGTTTGGCTTTGAGAAAGCCTTAAACTGTAAAAAATGGTAGGCAAACTAAGCCCTGGGGGCCGGATCTGGCCCAAGCACCTTCTAAATCCGGCCCGTGGACAGTCCAGGAATCAGCGTGTTTTTACATGAGTAGAATATGTCCTTTTTATAAAAAAATGCACCTCTGGGTTATTTGTGGGGCCTGCCTGGTGTTTTTATAATAATAATAATTTATTATTTATACCCCACCCATCTGGCTGAGTTTCCCTAGCCACTCTGGGCGGTTCCCAATCAAGTGTTAAAAACAGTACAGCATTAAATATTAAAAACTTCCCTAAACATGAGTAGAATATGTGCTTTTATTTAATATGCATCTCTGGGTTATTTGTGGGGCATAGGAATTTGTTCATTTATTTTTTCATAGTCCAGCCCCCCCCCGGTCTGAGGGACAGTGGACCGGCCCCCTGCTGAAAAAGTTTGCTGACCCCTGCTGTAAAGGTTCTGTGACTGGGATAAATGAAACCACTCAGACAAATGTGCAAAATGTTATCATCAGGTTTGCATAATTTGTTGGGGTACATATTTTATTGTGCAATCTAGAATTTGATTCAGAAGGAAATCTCTGACTTCCTGAATGGCGGGCTGGGCAACAGATCTAGGGAAAGGAAAGAAATGGAAAAGGACTGGGACCTATGCTAACGCACAAACTTGTACATGCTTACTTGGAAGTAAGGTACCTCAAGGCAAATCCACTTTTTAAAAAGCAGCTTCACTTTATGCAGTTTGGAAAGTGATGGGGAAATGCACTGAAAACTGTGGAATGAATTAATCATTAATTTGTTTGGCTGGTAAGGCTATTCCACTTCGATTTTGTAACTGTTCACCTAAAGGTGTGAATGTGATTAACAGGTGTCTGAAAATGCATGTATCCTACAGGTATGTTCATTGAAGAGATGGGATTGGCCACAGCCTCCTGTATTCTTCCTGGCAAACATCAGTTGTTGTAGTGTACTGTGCAGAAGGGCCTTTGGTATGCTTGGAAAAGTGAATTTTTCTGCTTTCCAAATGGCGCCAGTGCTCAATTCTTAAAGGCAGACAGAAAGAAAAACAGCAAGAAGGCGAAGTTTAATTTAAGGGCTGAGGGCCTCCCACTGCAGGCTTCCAATGGCATTGCCTCAGGGTTTGGGGATCTGTAATCCCCTTTTATGTACAAACAACAATCTCTTGCAGCTTTGGGCCCCTAAAGCTGCCATCTGATTTCCTTTTTAACAGATGAAGAGAGGATTGCTCAGGCTGAAAATGAAGCTGAATGGCCACACTTAATATCAGTCATGACAAGTTTGAAAGCCAGGATCCAGTGCCTAAGCATTTGTCCTGAACAGTGATGGTTATAATGTCAAGTATCAATTCTTGGATACTCTAGGAATCATCTAGACCAGGTTAAGCACTTTTACATCCTACCTATTTTAATCAGAAACCTTAACTTTCTGAAGCTAACAGCAGTTGGAACTAAAAACACGTTCATTTCCCCCCTTCTTTTTCATAGCTCGTTTCAACACTATTCATAAATGGAAAAGTGGTCTGGTGAAGGGAGATTTAAATTTGAAGGCTATCCATTCAAATTCAGGGCAAGGGAAGGGACTTTATACCCCCCCCAAATGGTTTAGCCCTCTTCACACTGCACCACCTTAGCACCTGTTCCTAGGATTCTTCAGGTCATGTGCTTTAAATGTCATGTGCTTTAAATGTAAGGTGTGTATGGAGCATCCTTTCTCAACCTTGGATCCCCAGCTGTTATTGGACTACAACTCCCATCATCCATAGCTAGCAGGACCAGTGGTCATGGATGATGGGAGTTGTAGTCCAACAACATCTGGGGACCCAAGGCTGAGAAACACTGGATAGAGCATCAGGCAGCTTGACAGGCAAAATGCAAGGCACTCTGCCATGGTCAGGGGACCAAGGCAGCCCATTCAAACAAAAGTCACGGTTTGAATCCTAATTGGATAGGCTTATTTAGCAATTGTAGCTAAAGCCAATTTCCTTCCCAGTAAGCTACTTTGGCAAAGGGCTACTGCAGCTTGTAATACTACCAATTAAGCTGCTTTAAACTGCACAAGACAACTTTATTGAAAATTATGGTGTTATGTTCAAACTCCACTGACAGAGTTTTAGATAGCGCAGGAGTGATATAATCAACACTCTAAGGTTTAATTGCTGTTTGAGCCTTTTCCAAAATTTCTTCTCTAATTTTTGGATATTCTGGGCATGCCTTCAGAACCTTTAATAAACAAGAAATTAATGATTAGCTTTTAAAAAAATGTTGTAAATAAATATCTTAACACATTTTAAAAACTCTCTTAATATTAATCAACCACAATTTGGCAGCTATCAAACTCTGCATCTGATCCACGCTAATCTCCATGAAATCAATGGAGCAAGTTAGTCCTGACTTAAGTCTCACTGATATCAATGACAACTAAGTGCAACTTACTATAGATCCAGCCTTGTGTTCCTAGGAACAAAGAAGCTTGCCCTTTTTCTCAAAAAGATCAGGAAAGGCAGACTAGCTTCATTGAAAGTCAGTTTTTAGCAGCTATGTGAAACTGCAAGAAAGTGTTGGACATACCCTCAGTTTTGTGCTGGGCGGAGGGGTTCCAGAGCAAAATCATAGTGGGTTGCATGACTGCAAAATCAAGGGCAATAGGGTGCCCTGAGAGTAAAAACTGAAAATGCTGGTCTATAGCAAGCACTGTTTACAGATTTATGTTTGGAGAACTTACATCATGGCACACATCTATTGCTTCCACGTATCTCTTATCTTTTAGATAGTTGAAAGCAAGTTTAAATCCTACAGCAAGAGAGGAAAAGGTTAGTGTTCTGCTTAATATCAATTGCTAACTAAAAACAAAATAGTAAATGATGGACACGGTGAAAAGATTTTGTGGGAAGGGCAGTTAATGTCTTCAGTGCTTTTTAAAAATAATCTGAAGATAATTGCCATGCATAACATCAGAAACCTATACAATGACTAGTTAATGTTGCAATCCTTTACACAGATGGGAGCTGGGCTTTACTTCTACCTAGATATACACAGGGTTGCACTGTAAGAATCATAAACCTGGCAAATTAAACAAGCAGAAACTAGATCAAAATGATATTTTATTAAACTGGAGAGTTATAAAATGTACTGTTCAATATGTATGGTGGTAACTGGTATAAGAAATAATATTACTGATAACAGGAATAATATTACTGTTTTAGTATTTTGCACATGTACTTCTGTTTCTGCTAGACTCTCAATTTTCCACAACTGGTTGAGAGCAATTTCACTGTTGCCTCAGCACAAAGATATAGAACCAAAGCAATAACTTTTTTTACTTACCAACAGTAGGATTTGCTTGGTGACTATGTTTCCAAGCTAATTCATAATTGGCTGCAGCATCTTTGTAGGCCTTTTCCTTTTCTGCGATATATCCCAAGCATTCATAAGCTTTAGAGCACGACTTAAAAGAAAAAAAATTATAGTGCAAAAACAAATCACACATGGGCTGTTAGTATTTTCTTTAAGCATTTTTTCTCTCTAAGAGCACAATCCGGAGGGAAGTGCTTCTGCCACTATAATAGACTCCCAGCCTCTTACCTTATTGTGCCGCAAGCAGCGCTTCACTAGCTCAATTGCACAGTCAAACTTCCCACATGCAGTGTAGCTGTCTGCCAACAAAATCCAACACTTCTCTAAGTCATCAGCTTCTGTCAAACTCCATTTTGCTTTCATCAAGCGCTTCAGCTGGTTCCTGGCTTTGAGTGGCTGCTTAAGAAGCATGTATGCTTGAGACACTGCTAAAACGGCTGAAACGCTGTCCCTCTGATTTAGATATATAAAAGACAAGTTTTGTTTTTAAAATGAACAATTCAGCTAACTGTCATCACTCTTCTTTTATAATCACAGATTATTTTGCATATGAAATCTATGAAGTAAGAGAACACCAGTGTCTTGGCCTTCTAACAGTGAGGAGCCTACCAGACTAAGGGTAGCAACAGATTATGCATCCCGTCTGAATAAACTGAAGATTTAGGTGCATTACGTAAATGGGCATAAAGTAGTGGTGTGAAGAAAATATACCGTATTTTCCGGTGTATAAGACGACTGGGCATATAAGATGACCCCCCCCCAACTTTTCCAGTTAAAATATAGAGTTTGGGATATACTCGCCGTATAAGACTACCCCTCTTCCAATGCACACCAAATAAAAATTTAAAAAACCAATCTCCAGTCCGGCTCGGAAATCCACTCCACTTCCCAGTGGCTGGGGGCTTCTGGGGCCATTTTTCAAGCATATTTCTGCTTCATCTAGAGAGTTTGGTGTCCTCTGATTTAATTTGCTGTCGTTTTATCCTTTGGTGGGGAGCTGCTGCAGGAACCGCTGCTGTAGCCGGCGTATAAGACGACCCCTGACTTTTGAGAAGATTTTCCTGGGTTAAAAAGTAGTCTTATACGCCAGAAAATACAGTATGTGCGGAAAAAATAAAATGTTGCTACCTCACGCAAAAGAAACTGCATGGTGTAGCTTGTCATTATACAGAAGCCTTCCCCAACCTGAGGCCCTCCAGTTATTTTAGACTACAACTCCCATAATCCCTAAGGAGTCTCATCTATGAGAGAGCAATATACTACAGTTTCTGGTGTCAAACATCCATAGGAATATCCAGTGCTTTTTTTACTGTTAGCCAGCAGCCACTACCATGAATATAAATGTCCTCTCCAAGCTGCTTACCACTCATGGAAGAAACTATCTTTACCTCATTTTGGCACATTTCAGTAAATACTTTCAGGGCCTTCTCCACATTATGTGTCTCTCTTGTGGCCATTAAGCAGTAGCTCTGTAACATCTCTACTTGATTCTGCCCTTCTTGTGAGTGAGGATAAAACTCTTTGAGAAGCTTCTCGGCTGTACGTATGCCATGCTGTTCAGATTCTTTCTTTTCCTTCAGATTACTAGCAAGAAGAAAACAGTTTCTGTTTCCTAGGCTATCAAAGACCTTCTCTTGACTCTATAAGAATAGTATGACCATTATTTGATTTAGATTAAAGCATTTACATACACCTATATCCTAATCTAGGGAACTGCTATGAGTTCAGCAGAAGGCTACATACAAGTTGCTTCCTCCCTCTCCCAATACCTCAGGTTAAGTACTTAATTCGTTCCGGAGGTCCGTCCTTAACCTGAAACTGTTCTTAACCTGAAGCACCACTTTAGCTAATGGGGCCTCCTGCTGCTGCCGCGCTGCCGGAGCACGATTTCTGTTCTCATCCTGAAGCAAAGTTCTTAAACTGAAGCACTATTTCTGGAAGGCGGAGGAAGTCCCAAAGAGGCCGGATGTGCAACGGGCTTTGTTTAAGCTGCTCAGCATCCCCACCTAACAGCTAATTGCAGGGTAGCGCAACAGCAACAGTCGCTTTCCCATGCAGCCTCCAGCTGGCCCCAGCAGAGGCGAAGGAAGGGGAGTGCGGTGGGTGCAGCCACCCCAGGTGTCATGATTGAGTGGGGTAACAAAATGGCAGGCTAATGGGCAGTACACCTCATGCCTGGCGGCAGCAGCTCTTCCAACCCAGCGGCAGAGAGCAACCCTCCTCAGCCGTGGTCACAGCAGCTCCGTTGTTGGGTCATATCTGACCTGGCTGCGGAGAGCAGGAGGAGAGTAATAATAATAATAATAATAATAATAATAATAATTTGTTGTTTAGTTGTGTCTGACTCTTCATGACCCCATGGACCAGAGCACACCAGGCACTCCTGTCTTCCACTGCCTCCCGCAGTTTGGTCAAACTCATGCCGGTAGCTTCAACACTGTCCAACCATCTCGTCCTCTGTCGTCCCCTTCTCCTTGTGCCCTCCATCTTTCCCAACATCAGGGTCTTTTCTAGGGAGTCTTCTCTTCTCATGAGGTGGTCAAAGTATTGGAGTCTCAGCTTCACAATCTGTCCATCCAGTGAGCACTCAGGGCTGATTTCCTTCAGAATGGATAGGTTTGATCTTCTTGCAGTCCATCAGACTCTCAAGAGTCTCCTCCAGCGCCATAATTCAAAAGCACCAATTCTTCAGCGATCAGCCTTCTTTATGGTCCAGCTCTCATTTCCATACATCACTACTGGGAAAACCATAGCTTTAACTATATGGACCTTTGTTGGCAAGGTGATGTCTCTGCTATAATAATAATAATAATAATAATAATAATAATAATAATTTATTATTGGTTTCCCCAGCCACTATGGGCAGCTTCCAACAGAAGACCAAAAATACACTAAGAGTGAGCAGCAGTAACCCAACCACTCTCTTACCCTGAACTGTGGGGCATGGGGGGTGCCTGCCCTGGGCAGCGTGGGCATATGCTCCACCACTGGGCCCCCAAGTTTCAATTCTAGATTTTTATATTTTTGAATACAGTATTTTTGGTATGGATTGAAGAGGGAGCGGCAGAGAAGACTTTTAAAGGGTATTTAGAGGGTGCTCCCTACTTTATGTGATTTCACTTAAGTGCACAGGGGTCCAGAATGGAATCCCTGTGTAAACGAGGGGATGCCTGTACTTCAAGTTGACTTTCAGAATGTGATTGTTATATTCTGTTTCAGGACTTTTCCTTACCTAGTATCCATGGTATTCTGGTTTCCTAAAGTCTCTCTGCCTATTATGTCATTGTCAGGATTTAGGCATATCTGAATCATATGGCCAAGGGCTTTCTGGCCCCAGTCACTATCCTTACGTGCTTTGTTGAAGAACTTCAGTGCCTGATTGGGCTGCATCATGTGCCTGTTTGTGGGGAGAAAGTATTGAAGACCTAGGTGAAATGTGAGACCCTTAAAATATCAGTCTTGTTAACAAGCATATATCCACATATTCTTCTTCCCTGCCAAATCCAATCTAAGGGTTTAGTGCAAGGTGACGGCCTCAATTCAATAAAGAGGAAAGTGTGCTTAAGCTGCAAGCAATCATAGGACTCAGATGCACTTAATTCTGTGTTGAACTGGTCAGAAGAGGCGAGAAATTTCCTATTGCGGGACCATGAGAAAAAAAAGGAGGTAAGACTTTATTTAAGCCAAAGGAAATTCTAGGCACAACAAATCCAGTGTGTGCAATTGAAAAGTGTGTAAAAGTAAGAGCGGTCAAATTCTCAAGCATACTTCCAAGTGGGGAAACAAAGTAGCTCACTAGTTTGAAAAAACAAAAAGGATACATTTATTAAGGAGACTGTACAATGAGTTTCCTTGGTTTATTTGTGCAGAGCTATTGCACAGGATTTAAGGACCGTATCAGATGAGGCACAAGAGATTCGTGGTTAGGAACTTTCACAATAGGAACATTAACAAAAACATCGCAGCTGCAAGGACCTGGAACTGGAACCACAGCACAACTTTGTATAAAACAAAACACCTTTCCACCTGTACTATTTTTCTGATGCAAACCACCCCTCCCAGCTCACAGGTAAGGATATTTCTAGACTGGTTTGAGGGCTTGGCAATACTTGAGCATGCAATTTTTTCAGAGCTTCCACAAGATAGCCATTGGGCCTCAAAACACTGGCCATTCTTCCCATTTAATCCAACTACCCATTTGCGAAATCATGACTCATTTGCATTCTTAAGCCCATGTCTGGAAGCACCCTATGTTTTCACTCACAGAAAGAGGACAAATAGCAACTTGGAGATGGAGAGTACTTGCAGTGCAGAACAGCACAGGAAGAAAGAGCCACTAAATTGTCTCCCACAGTGCTATGGTTATATTCCAAACTCCCTTCTCCCCAGTAGCTTCTAAGCAGCAATAGATCTTTATCATGGATCACCCTCATCATTTCTGGTTGGGCCTTTGTGACTCCCATTAGTACTGGTTTCTATGATTTACCAGCAATAAAGTCCCATGCAGTAGTTATAACCGGGATCCAAAGCTGTTCGAGATGATTTTCTCTTGGCCAGTTCAAAAAAGTGTGTTGCTTCATCAAGTTTACCACTTCTTCTCAGTAAATCAATCAAATTCTCCATGACCAAGAAGTTATCTAAAAGCACACAATTTTAAAAATATGTATTTCCAACTTATTTCACAGATAATTTGTTCACATGTAAGAGTCTGAAAGAAGAAACACTCTTCTGTTGAGAAATGAAGAAACAAACAAATCTGCATTTTGTCATGCACCCATCCAGACACACAGACACCCTTTCATCAAAATGCTCCTGTTTACTGTATTTATCTCATGAGATGCTTTAGAGGCCCTTTTTATTCCCCCCCCCAAAAAAAACCCCTCCAGTATATAAATGCTACAAAATACCTGGAGATTTCTCCAGAACATTCCGGTACAGACTTATAGCTTCTTCGTATGCCTCTTTTCTGAACATAAGGTTGGCCATCATCTAGAAAAGGAACAGCTATTTCACACTCAGACCAAATGGTATCAATGCTTCAGAAAGGGCCAGATTTTTGACTTTTCACAAGTCATAAATACGTTTATGAAAATCCAGCCTTCCAGGATGGAGATGGAACAATGAGGACTCTTAATCTTAGCCCTGTGTTAGTATCAGGGTGATTCAAGAGATTGAGGGATGATTCAAATGTGATCAATTTCTTACATGGACAGCACTTCTCGACTGTAAAACAAGTGAAAACCATACACATTCACATGTGACAGGTTCCACTGCTTATACACATATTTCACTGCTTATACACATAGCATGCATGCACAACATACCCAGGAAAATATGTATGTTGTCACAAAACATGAAATAGCTCAGTTGTTTAGAGCACAGTGCTCAAAATGCCAAGGTTGCTGGTTCTGTCCCCATATGAGGCAGCTGCATATTTGGTTGGACTAGATGATACGCAGGGTCCCTTCCAATTCTACAAGTCTATGATTCTATGTGGTTTGTATTTTTTCCCCAACACATATGCTATCAAAGTAAGTACAGTAGTTCATCGTGTTTACAAAGGCCCTACGTTCCCATGCATATGTGTGACAGACTTGACCATGTTTATTTATGCTTGTCTGTATGTCTTAATTTCTTCTTCCCCACTCATCGCCCTTATGATCTGAAAGTGTATTTCTATAACTCCATCTGCAATCTCCATCCTTAGCTGCTGATTGGTAACCCACCAATAAGTCTTCTCTGACCCACCATTTTCATACATGAGGGACAATACAAAATCAAATTAAATATCTCTTTAGGCAGCGATTTTCTTCAGTAGTGGTTCCCTGCACTGTTAAAGGCCTTTCCCAAAGCAAACTCTGAGATAAAATAGCTCCTTCTGCTCTTTAAAGCACCTGTAATAGATGCATGAGGTGCAGTATCCAGGAAGGGGAAGCACTGTTTGGTATCTGAAAGACATCACAATGTTTGAGCATGCTCTGTGTCACTAATATGTTAGTCAAAATTGTGTAGTTTAAGACTGATGTGAATCCTCCTATCCCTTCCACACAGTTGCATAGGTGTGTAGAAACAGTTGGGCTTTACTTTAGAAGCTTTTCAAAACCCCTCCTACCTGGTGGCTCATAAAGATATACAGTACACCAGCAAAGCTTAAGTTTAGTGGAAGAAAGAATAACAGTGTTTACCATTGTTCCAATTTCATTGCTCTCGTCATCTTGAAGCAGGAGAGTACAATAATGCTCACACTGCTCTGTATCTTCTTGCATCAAATACAGCTGAGCTAATTCCAACATTATCTGAAAATAAAATGGAAAAGTATTTTAAGCAGCAATGGATCTTTGGTAATGATCATTTTGGTAATGATATTTGTGGCAGATGTTTGTAGTCCTCATTCCATAGAACTCACTCCCTGTCTATAAAATGGGTTTTTTAAATAAAAAAATTAAGGACAGATAACTGGTGATCGGCATCAGTGGGCCTCAGCATGCCAGTATCAGCCCATTTGCCAATGCCCCCAACATCTGACACTCTCTGGGTGGTCACTGGAGGGACTGGACTAGGGTCTGAAGGCTTAGGCCTCACTTTAGAATTTGCACCTTCAGTCCTACGTAATCCATTTTCCCTGTTTGATCCACTAACATGTTTTGAATACACACACTAGGACTTTGTTGTAAATTGCTTTGAGTTGCCTTTGGCAAGAAAAAGCAACCAATACATTTAATAAATAACAAGATGAATCCTAGTCTCTTTGAAAGTTGAGGCATAGATAAGCCGTGTTAAATGATCTGGAGCATGCAGAATGAAATGAATCAAACATTTGTTTATTGCAATAATCCCAACAACCAGAAAGGCTGGGTAGGGAACGTTTTACTCAACCTTAGTACAGACATTCCTTTGCATTCCTTTCAGTTGGAGACTGAAGATCATGTTTACCTTACTATCAGTTGGAATGCAGGATAGAGCTTCCGTGTAGTACTTCAAAGCTTTTTCATATTCCTTCTCTGCTTGGTAGAACTTGGCAAACTGTACACAGATCATTAACAACACCTGTTTCTGGGAAGGAATCAATTCAGGCTGCTCTACACGGACACGCTTCAGTATCCTTTGCTGGATGTCATATGCCTTAAAAATGAACAAATATACCAAGTGAAGGCATTGTGGGGTATACCCATCCTAGCATCTTTATTAGATATTGTATACAAGAATGAGGACTGCTGAATAAGCATTCTATTTAGTGCTTTGTACTACTTCCTTCCAGTTGGTCTACTTCTGTATCTGAAGTATACTGTAAGTTACACAGTCTTTAAACTGTATTAGAATTAGTTAATTAGTATAAAAAGTTTCTACTTAATTCAAACTTGGGTTAAAAACCCAAGTCTATTTATTATTTATATTTATTTCAGAAACCACTTTACAATCATCCCCAGGAGTACATGAGGCTTATACAACATTGGTTTTCTACCATGTTCAGAGTATCCAGAACAACTTCTCCTCTTTTAGTTGTCTCACAAATCTTTGCTAGTAACATCAGGTTCCTAACATCCTTCTTCATTGATGGCAGATCGTCAACTGCAAAATTAAACAAAGCAATCATTATTTTATACCAGTATGGTGTTTCGACCATCAGTAAAACACTGGCTATGATTTTCTGCAGTGCAAAAGTTTAATGACCAACAATACTCCTAGGTAAGGGACGCGGGTGGCGCTGTGGGTAAAACCTCAGCGCCTAGGACTTGCCGATCGCATGGTCGGCGGTTCAAATCCCCGTGGCGGGGTGAGCTCCCGTCGTTCGGTCCCAGCTCCTGCCCACCTAGCAGTTCGAAAGCACAGTTAAGTGCAAGTAGATAAATAGATACCGCTTTCTAGCGGGAAGGTAAACGGGCGTTCCGTGTGCTGCGCTGGTGCTGGCTCGCCAGAGCAGCTTCGTCACGCTGGCCACGTGACCCGGAAGTGTCTGCGGACAGCGCTGGCTTCCGGCCTCTAGAGTGAGATGAGCGCCCAACCCTAGAGTCTGTCAAGACTGGCCCGTACGGGCAGGGGTACCTTTACCTTACTCCTAGGTAGTAGCTAGAAAGAAAAACATTTTACTGGAATTGTTATGGTTTAAGGGCTGGACAAGTAATTTTGTACAGATGTGCTGAAAGAACTGGTGAGAACTTAGGAAGCTGAACTGATATTGCCTTGGAACATAGGAGCCTAGGGGCTGAGGAGTCTTTGCCCCCCAATAAAATATTTGAGGGGGCTGCCCCCACAAAGTTGATGGGCATTGCCATTCAAATGGTGTGTTCTCTCTAGAGGATACTTGCATCATTAGCATTTGACTGGTGTCAGGCATACCCAAAAAGGAGTAATACCACACACAGTGACATGAATTATTATTCATCCCTTGTGGAACAAGTGTCAACACACTGCTTTGCAAACAGTAGGATTGTTTAATATCTGGTCATAAACAAGTGGCCAATCAGGATCTTTCAATGTGACAGCACTAGGGTGTCATTTCGCTGGGGCTGTTCCTCTCCAAATGTCTAGGCATGCAGAAAATATGTTTATGCTTTAAGTCAAGATGAAAGCTCCAGTGGAAGATTCCCAAAAAAGAGAGAGACGTTACCAGGGTCATGATCTAGTGCTTGGTTTAGAACTTTCTCTGCTTTGCCAAATTTTTTGAGCTTCAACAGGAGATCGGCAAGATCATGGCACAAGAAGTCCTGCTCACTCATTTTTAGAGCAACTTCATAGTAATTGACAGCCTGAAATAAATTAGTACATGTGAACAGATTAACTTCAGCTATGAGTTACAAATGAAACACATATTTTGTGATATTTGCAAGTCTTAGAGCTGTGCTGCTTATACTGGTTTGTTACATTCTGCTGCAGATTAATTAATGCTGCAAGATTCTCTGCTGCAGATTAATTTCTCCAATGTAAGAAAAACTTCCTGCATGGGGGGAAAAAATGATATCAGGGAGAGGGCTAGGTTAAAATACATCTCCCTGATAGGATTTTTAAAATGGGGAAGCATTCAAACACACAGCCACCAACCACTAGCCTGATGTAACAAAGCCCAGTAAGAGCTATACCGAATTCTTCTGTTTGTGTAGCTTAGATCTATTTTTTCTTTTCTTTTGAAACTGAGTAGACATCCCCATTTGTCTCCTGGGATACACACACATAGTTGAATCAATGTATAAATTCCTTACTTGGCACCTTGGGACTCTGAAACCAAGCAGACTGATCCCAGGCCATGTCTCAAAATACACATCTGAATACAGACTGCTGTAAAAACTCTATTCGTTGGACGGATCAAGAGAAGACACCAGGCTGCTTGCTTCCCTGGCTTGGACCTGAACAATTTTTAGCAAAAAGAACCATCTATTTCTCAACCTTGTTATACTGATGGGTGGACACAAAAGCTTTCCCAATTTTCCTTGCTACTGTTGCATCCAAAGGATTCTTCTTCTGAGCTGCTTCATAAACTTCCAAAGCTTTCTCAGGCTATAATAAGTGACAGAAAAATTGCAGTTATTTTTGTAATATTAATATAGTTATTTTTGGAGTTTTTGTTTGGTGTTCTTCAGTGATGAGTAGATTGATCCTATGCATGTTTACTTGCAAGTCAGGCCTACTGAGTTCAACAGGTATAACTGTCAAGTAAAAATGCACAGGACTACAGTCTTAGTTTCAATTTCATTTGGGAGTTGGGGTAGCATTTTAGTTTTTTTAGGTATAAAATTTGCATTTTATCACTGTACACTAACCTCTTGAATATTCATGTAGGCATCCCCCAAGAGAAGGCTTGTATGAGGACTTGGCATATTTTCACACAACTCACTAGATTAAAAAACGGAATGTCATTTAAGAAATGACAAAGAGACTCAGTATACACAATATGATTTTAGAGCTTCACACTTTTAAATTGGCACAGCAGCCTTATCTGTAGTAGTCCCTAAAATGGATACAACTACATATTATGAACCCCCAAACAACACCAGAATAAAGCCAGTGAATTACCCTTCAAACATAACCTGTGTTTGCAGGATCAGATATATGCGAGGTCACTTTGTACCACATACTGAGGAAGTGAGCAACTGATGCATCACTTATAGTACACTAAAGCCTCATTCATACATGCATATGCATAATTCCACTTCTCTACACCTGATGACTGTCTGTTGAATATGTGAACTGACTCTGGGGGAAAGTGTTATGTTTAAAGTCATACAAAAATGATCAAAGGGCTGCAACACCTCCCCTTTGAGATGTGCCAACATTTGGGGCTTTGTAGTTTTGAGGGGGGGGAATGAAGATGGGTATATGATAGAGGCGCTGTACTCTTTTCGGCACCAGCTAAAAAACATTCTTGTTTTGAGAAGTCTACTCAGATGCTAACAAAGTTGAGGTGAATTTTAAACTGCTTTAGTGTTTTTACTTTTTAATACATTTTATACATATTTTTCTTTATTTTATTGTTTTACCTTTTTGTAAACTGCTTTGAGGGTGTGTGTTTTTATTTACAATCAAGCAGTGTATAACATTTATAAAATAAAACAAAAAATGATAGAGGGGTATAAAATTACACATGGTTTGGAGAAAGTAGGTAGAGATAATCTTTTCTTCCTCTTTAGTAATACTAGAACCAGTGATCATCCAATAAAGTAAGATATTTTAAGAGTAAAAAAGCACATATTCCCGTTTCCCGAGTGCTAAGAGCTCCTAGCAATGGTGCTGAATCAGAAGAAGGAATCTCTGAAAGGTAAGTAGATGAGGGCTTTCCTCCCCAATACATTGCTGTGTTAGGAATAGAGGTTTGCCTGAAGAACAGATGTTTTTCCTCTTCATCACAAATACTCTCCAACAATTCTCTGCTGAAAACAGGGATGTCCCATTCCATAGTGATAATTTTACTCTTTGTACCCAAACCATCTGACTGGGTTGTCCCAGCCACTCTGGGTGGCTTCCAACATATATAAAAAAACATAATAAAACATTTTTTAAAACCGTTCCTATACAGGAATGCCTTCAGACAGCTTGAGGGTCAGATAACTCCATACCCTCCAACATTTCTCCAGGGAAAATAGGGGTGTTCTAAGGAAAAGCAGGACATTCTGGGATCAAATCAGAAACTGGGACGGCTTCTCTAAATCAGGACGTTTCTGGAAAATAGGGACACTTGGAGGGTCTGCATCACAGTGCTGTACTTGGAGAAGGAAAATCTGTCTTCCCAACACAGTGGTTTGATGGGGAAGAATTGCCCCCTGCTACAGTACTGTTGGAAAGAAGGATGAGGCTGTGGGGCTGTCTGAGTGAATGTGGTCTGTGTGTATTAGCCATGCCCATCACTGGCATGTGATCCTCAGAGCAGTGGCTAACTTTGCAGGCCCTGCGCTGCAAAGGATAGGCACCTCTGTTCTAAAAGGTTCTGATAGTCTCTCAAATAATCCTTGCTCTAATGTTCTGGATTCATTCCTGCCCCTCAAGCAAAATATGAAAAAGAATACTTGCAAAAAGCAAAATTAACATTACCAATAGCATCCAATATACAGTCTCTTATCCTTTCGGACTTGAAGGTATATCTGAGCCATTTTTTCCTTAACCTCAGTGTAATATGGCTGGCATGGTGTGACATTCCTCAGCATAGTTAGGGCTGAATCAACTTCCCCTTTGCTGAGAGCCAAATCTACATTAGCAACCATGACGCGGGTTTCTTCTGATGTCCCATTAAATTCAATAATGGCATCTTGCATTATCTTAGTAGCTTCATGCTAGAATGTTAAAACAATACATGGAAATTCTTCAAAAACTTAAATGCTACATAGAAAAGGTAATGCTACTGCTGCTAATAATAATAATAATAATAATAATAGGAATTAACATTTATATAGCAGTTTTTGAACACTCAAAACCCTCCATATACATTAATCTCAGTCAACTTTATAACAGCTCTGTAAAGCAAATCAGTATTACTGTCACCATATTGCAGAGAACTGAAGCTGAGAGTGGTTTGGTGAGCGAGTTCATGAAAGGCAAAATTTGAACTGGAGACTTCCTGGTTCAAACCTCAGCTTTTACCTATTATTTTAATCATTGTATTCCTTATATGCTTTCCCCTAATACAAGGCAAATTACTGATCTATTTGAGTCCCATGAACAAAGATTCAAATATTCAGAAAGAAATCATGTGACTCTCTCGCATGATGGTGGACTCTCCTTCATTGGAGGTTTTTAAGCAGAGATTGGATGGCTACCTGTCATGGATGCTTTAGTTGAGATTCCTGCATTGTAAAGGTAAAGGGACCCCTAACTGTTAGGTGCAGTCGCGGACAACTCTGGGGTTGCGGCGCTCATCTCACTTTATGGGCCATGGGAGCCAGCATACAGCTTCTGGGTCATGTGGCCAGCATGACTAAGCCATTTCTGGCGAACCAGAGCAATGCACGGAAACGCCATTTACCTTCCCGCCGGAGCGGTACCTATTTATCTACTTGCACTGCGTTCTTTTGCACTGCTAGGTTGGCAGGAGCAGGGTACCGAGCAACGGGAGCTCACCCCATCGCAGGGATTCGAACCGCCGACCTTCTGATTGGCAAGCCTTAGGCTCCGTGGTTTAACCCACAGCGCCACCCGCGTCCCATCTCCTGCACTGTAGCAATCTGCAATTCTATGGTTCTATCGAAATTGCTGCCTTTTGAAATGGGAGTTCCAAAAGACTATGGTATAATGAACTGCCTGACGCAAGTCCTTCCCATTGTGTCCTGAATCTGCTACCAGTGAATGGGCTCAGGACAGATAAGCCCATTAGGTTTTGAATAAAACTGCAGGATCTGATTCAACATCTAGCAGAAATCATTTCCAATAATCTTCCCTTCAAAGAACATAAAAGAACATCTGAAGTTATGTAATTGCTAGTTTCTCCAGTTTATTTTTGACCAGTTTACTTTTAAATTGAGTGAGTTCATCAGGTTTGCTCTTTACCCCAGAGGGTCTTGCTTCCTTTAAAAATATTAGACATTCCATTTACTGAGCAGATAATATATAGAACTTCTTACCAGTTCCCCGTTGAATCGAAGAGCTTCAGCGAGTTCCAGATAGATGGAGACTTGTTCACTTATAACTATACGGGGGCCCTGGCCTTTCTTAGCTTCCCCTTTCATTTGAGGTAAACTGATAAGCATTTTTAAGACTTTTATGGCTTCAGGATACTCCCCAGCTTTATTTAGTGCTCTAGCCCTGATGAAGTGATACCATGGAGAATCACGAAGCTGCCCAAAATATGAAAAAAGTGACATTAGTAAGAACATCCAATGCAAACCTCATCCTAAATTTTCTTTTGCATGTGTGCTGGTCACATGCATGTAGAGTAACAAGGAAAAGTCTTGTAAGCTTGGTACTCACAAGCAGACCCACAGGCAAGGCCAGAGTAAAGGGGAAGACTGTTCTCACAAGCATTTACATTGTTCCTTTTGGGCTCCATCTTACCTGAAAATTGTAACTGACTCCTATTTCAAGTGAGTGGACACATTCTTTGATGTTTCCTTGAGAGAGGTGGATCTGGGCCATAAGAAGATTGGCATCTGTTGATGTCGGATCCAATTCTAAACAACGCTGCAGAGTACCCTGGGCAGTTTCTAGTTCTCCTGCAAAATAGCCTAACATGTTGTTTTGCTCTCAACAGGCCATTTTTTTACAAAAACCAAGTTATACTTTACTTAATCTTATGTAGGCCTTCCTGAGTAAGAACAACAGTTTACTAACTTGATCCCATGTGGATCAAGTGTGGTTAAGGTGAAGACAGATGGAATATTTTGGGAGCAGTAATGAACAATGGTGATTACAATATGTACTGTTTTGTCTGCTGAGATCTGAAAACTCGGTTCTGCATGTCTGTAGCATTTTCAGTTTGAACTCGAGTAAAAACAACCGTGAAAGGTGTGTTGGTAGCTTAGTTCCTATGATATGACCAACCAACTCCTGGAGCAGTTTTGCAACTGTTTTATAAACATTTACAGGTTTTGTTTTTAATAAAGCAAAGGATAAGTTTGTAAAGAAATATACACATGGGTTTTTTTTTTTAAAAAAGTAGACAGCCTGCTCAAAAGCATGAGGGAGCATGACTGATGGGTGAACAAGCATCTTACATAGGAAGCTGCTGTACATCCAATCAGATCAATGGTCCATCTAGCTCAGTACTGTCTACACCAGGCTTCTTCAACCTTGGCCTTTCAGATGTTTTGAGACTACAGTTCTCATCATCCCTGACCACTGGTCCTGCTAGCTAGGGATCATGGGAGTTGTAGGCCAAAAACATCTGGAGGGCCAAGGTTGAGGAAGCCTGGTCTGCACTAACTGGCAGCAGCTCTTCAGGGTTTAAGATAAGAGTTTCCACCTCAGGTATTGAACCTGAGACCTTATGCATACAAAGCAGATGTTCTACCACTGAGCTACAGTCCTTAACCAAATAGCATACATAAATACCAGATTAGCTGGAATGACATGCAAATTGCAAAGATGGGTTCACACCCTGAGTGCTCTTATAAATACTGTCTTCTTCATATTTATTGTTCGTGAGAATTGAGATTTGTGCTATCCCCCCTCCAGTAGTGCAAGGTGAGCTGTGAGCTCAGTTGGGAACTGGACCAACCCCTCATTTTTAATGTGGTTTTGTTCTCTTGGGGATTGTGTAGTGTATAGCTCTGACTCTTCCCCTTTGTCTTTGATCTTTGTATCCCCAAGTCAAGGATCAGAAGCATTATTGCTTCTTAGCTTAATAAGAAGCTTGGACTTCTTAATTCAGTTGCAGTTAAATTCTTTTAAACTGTTTGTAATATTGTGTTTTAATTGCTGTAACCCACCCTAGGAACTTAAGATGAAGGGCAGGAAACAACAGTAATAGTTAAAAGCTCATTCCCTGCAAGCAACTCCCAGCAACCTAAAATCCAGAAGCATTTTTTACTTTTTTCTTGAGTAGACACTCAGAACTCAATTTACCTGATAAATATTTAACCTGTGCCATTAGATAAAGAGGCTCAATCATTCCAGGGGTGGCTTTCACAAGTGGATTCAAAATTATAGTTACTTGCTTAAGAAGTGAAGATAAAACTTGACCTGGTAACCGAGGCTACAAAGAGAAAGTGAAATTGCATTATTTTCCAGAAAAATAAAATACAGAGTACAATTAATGTATTTGGTAAACAATCCCCAAGTCTAGCCCAGAGGTCATGGTACTTATGAACTTCAATCTGCCTACCCATTGCACATGATTTCTATGAATATATCTGAGTGCTTATGGGAACATTTATGTAGTTCCTTCTGCTGCTATCAGTAATTGTTATGTAGTGATTCATTATGAGTTATTGTGTTGGCATTTTTAAAGGGTTTTTAAAGGGTTGTGCCTTTTTATAGATTCTTTTTAGCTTTATTTGATTTTGTCATAAACCACCCTGTGGTTTGTGAGAAGGGTAGTATATAAATAATCTAATTCTGGGCACCCCACAACTGCTTGGGTGAAGCAGGGAGAAACAGCAGGGCAGCTGGAATGTAGCTAGCAAAGGAAACAGAAATCTCACAAGCATCAGACTGGGAAAGATGCTTACTGAGAGAAGTGGTGCTTCTGTGAATCCTAGCACAGTTTTCCTGCCTCGTGCTGGTAAATAGAGAGAGGTTGCAGTGCTCATGGTCAGGATTTTGGTTGTTGTGGGACTGCTATCTTTGCAAGTGCCTGCCTCTCCCAGCTCCACAAATAACTCTGCTCTGGTACAGTCTACTTTTGTAGTGTTTGTACAATCTTGCTTTGCGTAGCATCCTGAAATGGTTTTAAATTACTGACAAGAACAGGAAATTTTAGGTATACCTGAAAAATAAGCAGGATGGCATCCCACACAATCACATCCTACTTCAAACACTGACTATAAATCTCCAGCTCTCTCCTCACAAGCAAATCCATCATGTAAAAGGCTGCCACCTTTCAACCCCCAATAAATCCTACTATTTAGCAAAACTCAAGTTTCTACCTGCTTGGGACAGAAGACCAAATATTCTTTCACAATTTCAATCATAAACATGGGATTCAGCTTTTCATAGTATTCAATGCTTAGAGGAAGTCCATGCAAAGCAGAACAATGAAGTTCTGCAGCTTCGTTGAGAAAGGCACAGGCAGCCTGATCGTTGTTTTTCCTTGAAGCAATCACACCTTGAAGATAAGCTAGAAGCTGTGAGAAAACAGCACACAGAATTTTTAATGAACAAGAGATTTGTTTTAAGTTCAACCCAAAGCTTCCCTTCAGATAATCTACGAGAATATGCAGAACTGCAGATGTACAAATAAACTAGGGTTTGGGAACTGGGAGGGCAGGTTCATCTCTCTCCTACTTCAAGTGTGGAGAGGACCCACCCAACCCTTCACTTTCCGCTTAGGTCATTAGCTCAGGCTGGATTTTAAGTCAGGAAGCACCTAAACTTGCTTTGTTAAACTAGTTTCAATCATGGTCCTCAAAATGAATTAAAAGCATCCCTGCGTTCTTCTGATCAAGGTTGGCAAAGACTGTAGAGGGAGATACGGTAATAGACACTTTCCCAGTCCTTAGAAGCTGATATATTTTACATCCACACAATAATATATGGCGAAGTCATGCAAAAGTGCTAAAGAGCAAATATACTTATGGATTTATCATTATGCACATAAATGCCTTTATTGTACAGCAGCCCACAGTGCCACCTAAGATGCAGAAATTATTGTGTGACAAGAGTACAATTTGATGGTTTGCAAAGCGGGCATTGTATCCATCCAAAAATAGAAGAGAATGTCTTTGCCAGTAAATGTTATGGGGAAATTACAACTCTAATAATGTACCGGGAAGACTAGCTGAGTGGCATATTTCTCTAAAAGAAGCCAGGGATGAGAACAAGGTCATTCCCTGCCCCACCAATTAGGGCATTCCAGCATTCCTTTACATCATGCTGGATTTCAGCAAACTAATGTGCCAAGCTGAAGATGTGCTGGGAACAAACGCAGTATTAAATAGTTATACACATGATCTCCCCTATGGTAGGACTTCTGAGCACAGCCAACAAGAAGAGAGCTGAATGCAATTGAACAGACTTCTACCTAATAAAACTGGTGACCTGAGGTAGGTGGGGATTAACATGACCAGTGGTATTCTTTGGCCAAATTCATCCCAGGGGCTGTTAGCTGCCGACCCTTCTGAAATTTTTGGAGCCTAGCAATATTAAGCAGGGTGGAAAATACAGTAGAAGAGACTGCAATGACCACCACCTGAAGAAACACACAATTACATGGGGTTGGGCAGGTGTTCACCTGCATTTGACAATTCATGGTAAGCATACACATAAGAAATCAAAGGAAATAAGTGTAATCTAACTGAAGATTTTCCCGTAGACTGCTGAACTTCCTTTAGAAACTCCAGTTGATTCTCTGCTTCTTCTATTTTCCCTCCAAGCACCTGGCACCATATAGATCCTGAAAAGTAAATATCAGCAATAAATTACATGTTCGTAAGTATGATTAAATGTACTTTGAATTACAACCACAAATGTTAAATTGTAAATTGCTAAGGGGATGAGGGGTCATACTGGGAAAGTATCATGAATTGGAGTAGGGTAGAGCTGTGGCCTCGCACCCAATGCTACCTTAAAGTGCAGCAGCTTCTTTTTGCAGTGTCACAGTTAAAATAGCCCCTTACAATTGGACTTCATTAATTCTGATTTTGACCCCATCCTCCTACCTGTTGAGTTATATGAGAGCAACACTGGGACTAAGAAGTAGGAAACTGACAGTCAGTCAGTTCTACTCCCTGGATTTGTTGGAAGAAAGTAGGCAGGTGGGGGTTAGCTAAGGGCTGGCTGAGCTTGGTGGGGCAGAGCCCTATTTGCTCTAACAGACCAGCCACCAGTGCAGTTCACTAATCTTATTAACTGTTTGGGCAGTCTTGAGCTAGAAGTTGTTGCCAATTTACATATTACTGCCTGTAACAGCTGGGCAGGTCTGAGCTAGAGGCTGCAGCCAAATTACATATTACTAGCTTCAAGTCACATGTCCCTGCCTGGATGAATCACACTCTTTACACACACTGAGCTCTTCATTAAATGCTAGAGACTCATTCCAGCCTTTCTCCATCAAAACTATAAAGTGAGAAAATTCTCAAGAGAGACTGCTATGGTCCTAACAAGATGGTCTATGTCTAAGAACATAAATCTTTCTGGGTAGTGGATCTTCTTTGCACAGTGGGTGAGCCAATGCATAACCTCCTCTGCTTTCAGCATGCACATAGTATAGCATCTGATGTGAAAAATCTTCATGTAAGACTGTATGAATAAGGGGACAAATTGGTTCATATGCCCCCTTTTTTTGAGGGGAAGAATGATCAGGCCAACACACATATGGCCCCACACACTGAGCATCCCATCAGATGTCACTATTGTATACAGTGGTACCTCAGGTTAAGTACTTAATTCGTTCCGGAGGTTTGTACTTAACTTGAAACTGTTCTTAACCTGAAGCACCACTTTAGCTAATGGGGCCTCCTGCTGCCGCCGCGCCACCGGAGCCCGATTTCTGTTCTTATCCTGAAGCAAAGTGCTTAACCTGAAGCACTATTTCTGGGTTAACAGAGTCTGTAACCTGAAGCGTATGTAACCTGAAGCATATGTAACTCGAGGTACCACTGTATAGTAGGTGACAGATGTGTATCCACTTCTCCAGAGTCCAGGTAACTCCATGCACCAGACCTAAAAGTGACTTGAGGTTGGCACATGGTCCAAAGGTTTATATTTTATTAGGTTGAAGAAAGACAAATACTAAATTAAACTAAAAAGAAAAAATCCTTAACAGCCTACCTGTCATTGAATCTGCAGTGTTTTCATTCAACTCAGAGGCTTTTGCATACCATTCAGATGCTTCCTTCCAACACCCTTGAAGGATTAGCAGATATCCTAACTCATTCGCATAATGTGCATTACTAGATATTAGGTTGCTACCTGAGTCTTTAACAAACTCATACACTTCCCGGAGGATATTTTGATTCTTCCCGCACTAAACAGAACATAATTTAAAGGGCAAAAAATTAATGTCATGCTCATGAAGCACATATATGATCAAAAATGCCATGTGGTGGGATGGAAGTATTGAAAATGCATAATTACATTTGTTCATTATGTGAAAAAAACCCTAAGCATTATCAATTTATACAGCTAGCTAGTAAATTAGATTTCCCCACACATTTGTGAGACTTTCTTGGGGGGGGGGCACCCACAATATTTCAAATGGGGAAGGCACGAAAGATAGGAAAGAAAACAAATTATTACTAAGCAAGATAGGTCATAGTAATGGTAAACATGCCCTTACCAGTCTGCTGATTACAAGGATTTTTTGAAGGTGAAGTTCGGATCTTTGGGGCTCCTTCAACTCCAAAGCAACAATAAATTCTCTAAGCATTTGCAGTGCCTGCATTAAAAAGTTTAATATTTTAAAATCAGAGACACTGCCACTTATTTTATATCTAATACACTGAATGGCATAACAAGTAGTGAGTTAGCCAAATGTGAACAAACTATGTACACATTTTAAACATAAGAGTTAGGCACTTGATTTAAAAAACAAAATCTGGGATTTTGAGTCCAATTCTTCACATTACGCTACATATTAGTATCTATGAAGCAAAACATATCCTCAAGTATAGATATGCTTAATATAAAGAGTACACAAAGGCAACATTACTAATGATAAGCTACCCATCAAATCATTGTGGGCAAAGAGCACTATGAAGACTACATTTGTTTAAAAATTCTAGGACACCAATTTTATATTCCAAATGTCAAAAAATATATAACACTCACCAAAACTTTATTCCCAGTAATAGCAAGATGATTTACAACCATGTACTGGAGTCCATCTATATCATTTGGATCCTTGCTTAGGATTCTTAAACAAGAATTTGTTCAAAAGCATTAAGAGAGAAAAGTAAATTATAGCATAAATGACTTATTTATGCTATTTTAATTTCAATTATGCCTATTATTGAACAAAAGAAAATCTATGATTAATTAAAAGCTACATACTTATTGCTACAGAGTCACACTCAGATAAAGGAGAAAACAAGTTTAAGGTTTAGAAAGACAGGATTTATCTCATAATTTTAAAAGACAAATTGGATAGTGGGAAAGATTGTTTTAGGGCAAAAATGGATTTTGTGACTTATCAACATCTGCTGAAAGTGGAAAGAGTTAGAAGACTTAGGAGCACCAGGAAGGCAATGTTAGCTGAAGCACAGAACACAGTAGCCAGCACAGTCTGTAATTGTGCAGGTACTGGGGACACCTACTGGCCATTATGTTGAACATCCATAAGAATTAGGATTATATTTTAAATAACCACTTTATAGGGAAAGAACCAAAGGTCAATGGAGGAGCACAAGCGTTGCATGTAAAACATTCCAGGTTCAATCTCTGACATCTCTAGGACTAGGAAAGACTCCTGTCTTCCCAAACTGCTGCCCTCCAGATGCTTTAACTGACAGCTCTCATCATCCCTGACCACTGCCATCTCTCCCATTAGCCAAAGACTTGGAGAAGCAGATATGTCTCCTGCTGCCAGCCATGAAGATCCTGAGACTCCCTGGTGAAGCTGCTTCCAGAGGATTCTCCAGAAGGGCCCTCAGAGTGGGTTCCAGCCTGAGTGCCAGCAGATAAGCCCCTGGTGGAGTCTAAGGGAAAACCAAGCCACCCACTATCCCTCAAAAGGGCAGATGCCTCAAGATTCATACCCAGCCTGCAGGGTCACAACGAAGTATGTGCCTGAGATTCCAAAGTCACCATGCTAGTCAGGAATACAGGACTCATAGCGAGAGGCAGCTTCCTATACAAAGGTTGGCCAACCTGTTTACAAGCGAAATGGCACATCTCAATTTCTTCCGTTGCTGAAAATCATCTCCTACCGTTTACTTTCTTCTGCAGTTTGCTCCCAGTCCTGTGATGCTAAATGTAGTCTCATCTTGATGACAATGGCTGGTGTAAATAAAGGGTAAGTGACTACTAACTGGCTAATTATTTCCAGAGCTCCAGAGTAATTCTGTTGCACCATGAAATATTTTGCCTACAGAAAGTGGGAAGGGGGGCAAGGAGAGAAAAAATACATATGATTTGAAAGAGACACTTGAGTGGATGTATGCCACCGCAGTCAACACAAGATATATACCACTTTCTGTGGCCAGTTCATAAGGGAGTCACATCACATTCACCTATCCTGGATTTTGCCAGCAAAATCAATCCAATACAGTTTTGTAGTCAGAAGGCCAGTGAGAGATGCCTATGGCAGAAGTTTCATTTTTTAAAAAACAAGTATGGAGTATACATGCTGTCACCACTGCGGCAAATAAGAAGTGGAATTTCAGTCAATCACATTTTATCCTTTTAAAGAATATTGGAACTTTTTAAAAGAGGTTTTTAAAATGTTTTTGTTTTATCTCTTATTTGCCATCCTGGGCTCCTCTGGGCAGGGTATTAATAAAAATAATGGCAGCCCATTTTTTCATCATGGCCTCATCAAATGATATTTTTAGAACTAAAAGGTTATTTTGTTGGTATGTTGGCTTGTATGTTCCTTGGTTAAAATTTGATATGTTTTAACTGCTTTAACTGTGAGAGTTTATGAGTTTGTACATGGTTCTAAACCATTTTAAGAGGCAACTTTGCTTAAAGAGTGATCTAAAGTCTTTTAAATAAACAAGCAAATATATAATCAAATGACATTTGGTCATCTCTGTTCTACTCAGACCAAACCTCCTAAATTTGGCTTTGTAGGATATATCCAGGCAATCTGACATAGAGTTAGTGACAGATATTACCACTGATTTCAATGGGCTTCAGTGCAGCTAGCTCTGCATAGGATCAAGTTAAAGGATTTTGGAGTTGGATTTGCAGTACCCCAAGGTTTCAGCCTCCAGGGATATAGTTCTAACCACTATAGGAGAGAGAGAGAATGATAGCAAAGCTAAAAGTAAATTATCTACCTTTCCCATCATCCCAAATATTTCTGTATTGTCTTGAATCCCTTCATCCAAATATTTTATAGCCTTCTTTGCAGCATGAGCTTTGTCACTAGTAACATATATCCATCCTTTCAAAACTAGTCCCTGCAGAGGTGGAAAAAAACAAACACCTCCTCAGCAAAGTAATGAAACTCTTCAATTACAGCATTAGTATGTCAATAGAATGTCAATTTAATAGTTCACATACAATTACTTTTTTCAGATACAAAAGTTAAACGCAATTAGAAACCAAATATATAAGAAACCTTAGGACACTGGTGTTTTCTGATAAAATATAACTAAGAACAAATACCATCCTTCCGCCAAGACAATTCACATCACAAAGTGCCCCGTTGGATCAGATCAAGGGCTCCTCTGAAGTAGCATTCTGGGCTAGTCAAAAACTCTGGGAAGTCCATAAGCAACTGCATTCACCACCTGTATGTTCCCAGTCTTTATGAACTTTAATGTTTAATTTAGCTTTTACAGCCGGGTGATAACCATTGATAAAAGGTTGATAACTCCATGAAATTTCCCAACCCCTTTCAAAGCTAAGTAGAAAAAGGGGTGCTTTCATTTAACAAACAAAACCAATTTTAATTTAATTTGCGTTTGTACCAAAGTGGAGAAATCCACTTTGTGAGATTTGGCTTCATCACTTTCAGTTCAATCATGAGCTGTCTAGTGAAGCTAGGGTGATGATAGTTAAGATTTTTTAAGAATGAAGGACCTGGTATTAAAACATGGAAGTACCAAGTTGTTATCCTCCTCTGCACACTTACCAGGGAGCTTGCATTTAACTCATTGGGAATTACTGCTGTGTACTGTATACGTTTATAAGATACTGCAGTTTATCGACTGATTCACTTTGATGTGAAAGAACAGGTCTGATTTCATAATAAGCAATGAGAAACACAGTGAAGATTAGGTAGTACACTGGCCCCAGTTCAGAAGGCTGATCACATATATTTCAGCTGACTTCCTCAACTGAACAGATGGTTGGCACTGTCAGCTTTGCCAGCACTGAACATCTGTCACAGTGGGAAGGGTGAAGGAGATGTCTAGAGTCACTCTCTGGCCTTCCTGAAACAGAAGTGCTGACAGTTTGGTGCTGTCAGAACTGACAATGTTTACCATCTGTTTGGTAGTCGGTACACATTCCAGGGTGACTATGCATACAACCTTGAGTGCTGGATGCAGATATCTCCCTGCTCCCAGCTCCTTTTTGTGTGCTTGAGTCCTTCTGATCCAGAAGGGCAATGCATGAGGAAGGCTGTCTTTGAACAAGGATGACACTTGCAAGAAGGTTATAACTATGCTTTTCTGGCTTACATTCTATGAAGTATTGAATAGGTCTGGCACATTTCAATGTTCAGTGAATAGCCTGATCACTTTACCTCTCTTGCTCCATTAGACACTTTCAGCATTCTGTCAACATACTCCTTTGCTTTATCATTTTTATTCAGGAGCCACAGAAACATTCCAGCATAATACAATGCATTACTTCCGGCCGTCTTCCGCGCTTCCTTTAATTTGGTTTCCAAGTCCAAAAGAGCAGAAGTATCTGAAAGTAAACAGGACGGGTAGTGGTATATGCTACCCTTGTTATCCACTTGTCTGGTTTTCACGTATCACACAAGATATGCCAACAAATAAGCTCCTAGGGCTGATTCAAGGAAAACAATTTGGGGAGGAAAGTTACATCATGAAGTGTGCAAGGTATGAAATACTTAGAGAATTGCAAGTCTTTTTTCATCTTATGTTCTAAATGTGAAAACTGTTTAAGTCAAATTGCATTTGAAACTGACGGAACTTCTAAAACTCTAGGTCTTGGTTGTTATTCCCAAAGTGTAGTTAATTTTAAGTGTAACTAGCAAAACTGTGCACTGAAGTTTTACATTTCTTTCCTGGACTTGTGTCTTCTGCCAACCTTCCATACTCAAGATGGCAGGATCATACCCTCTTTTTGATTTATTTTTTTACATTACCCCTGCCCTCAATTTTTGTTTGATTGATTTTAATACTGTTATTGGAAACACCGAATCTCTCATTTCTGACAACTTGTGATGAATGGCACAAAATGTATTTAATAGCACAGAACTTACCAACATTTTCACATCTTTTGTGCGCATAAATGAGACCCAGGAGGCAACATAAGGAAACATCTACATGGCGCTTCCGGGCATTCTCTAGTAGTACAATGCCTTCTTGAATTCGGCCTGCAAGGATGTAATACAATTGACTCATGGGAGTGCCAGATTTTTATGGTGGGTTATGAGAATGGTAAAACAATACCAGAGATATATGCAAGCATGGTGCGCTTTGTTTTCACTTCCATACCTCAGTCTGGGGTGAGTTCCTAATGTGAAACTTAGTGTTTCCTAGCCTTTGATATGCTCAGGTTTCATCTTTTTTAAAACTTTCCAGTTCTCAAGTTACCTCGGTATGCAGAACTCAGATGCATTAAAAAAAACCCCTCATTTAGCTCAATTAGGCTTTTACATTGTATTTTGTTTCTAGAAAGATGCACTTTCAAAGTTTATTGATTTAAAGTATTTACCAAGAAGCAATGTTCCAAAACCCTTGAAAAACAACAGCACTGGATCATTAGCATGTTTTGCCAGTTCAATGTTTGTCACTTGAACAACATAGTTGAAGTATTTTTCTTGAGCATAGTATAGAATTTTAGCCTTGAGGGGGAGAGAAAGAGAAAATCATTGCTTGCTTGCTTATTATGCATTTCATAAAAATTATATACCAGTTTTGTAAAATTCCTCAAAGCAGTTTAGAAAAAGAATAAAACAATAACATTATTAGTAAACAATTAAAGCTTTCAAAAAATTAAAACCAGCAATAAACTAAAAACACACCAGCATTCTAGGTAACTGGACAGGCTTGCCCAAACAAATATGTTTAGTATGTGCTAAAGTGTACAGTGAAGGCACCTGCCCAGTATCAATAGGCAGGGAGTTCCAACGTGTAGGTACAGCCACATTAAATGATGATTTATTACAGATGTGGAATGGGTATTATGTGGCACCTGTAACAGTGCTAGTTCCCCAGACTGTAGTGGTTGAGAAGGCAAATATAAGGTGATCTCACAGGTTTCAAGTTATTATGGGCATTATATATTAATAGTCCTGACCCTGTAGAAAATTGACAGCCAATGCAGATCTCCGAGCACAAATGTTATATACTGGCAAGGTCTCACTCCTTTCAGCAATCGCAGTGCAACATTCTGCACTAACTGCAGCTTCTGGTTAATTATTGTTACTAATTGAACACACCGCCCTATACTCGGGGGTCTCATGGTTGGTTTCTGCTTGAATCCAAGGTGGTGGCTATGGGAGGAGCAAGACCTTTCTGTCGCAGGATCAGGATGTACATGTGTGCCAATAAACGGTGTATCATAAAGACACCGCAATCTCCGCTGCCCCACAGGCCAAGGAACCCAGACCCTGGGCATTCGCCTTGGACCGCTGGAATCTCGCCCCGCTCAGGTGGGGAGGCTCAGCACAATGGATACAGGGCAGCGCGTGGTGTACGCAGTGCCCCCTCTCCGCTTTCTCTTCACAACAACCCTGTGAGGTAGGCAAGGCACAGCAAAGGAGGGGTCGGGGCGGGCGAAAGTCCGCGTGAGAGCCATTTGGCGAGCCGTCTACAGGAAAGGCAGGATTTTAAACCTCCCACGAATTAATAACGGGGCCTGGCACCAGCCGCAGCCAAGCCGTGAGGCGAGTTCTCTCCCTTTGGGATGGGAAAGGGAGTACCAGGGCCTGAGGGTCTTCGTCAGCCATGGCCGCCGACAGCAACCGCCTGGGCAACGTTCGAAACGCCAACCGCCACAACGGCACGCGCCGCCTTCCCTTCTCAAGACGAGCACCTAGAGCAGCCAACCGCCGCCCGGCGCGCGTGGTTACCTGCGGTCACGCCCCTTCCCGCTCCCCGTTGCTAAGCTCCCGGTCCTCCTCGTCATCTTTCTCGAGGCGCGAAGACCCCGCCTCCCTCTGGTTACTACTGGTAGCCCGTCCGCGCGGGCCGTCACGTGGAGGGGGACGCCCTCAGCCTATAGAGCGCGAGCGCGTCGGCTTGCTCTGTGGTCAGCTGCGTCCCTCCGCCAACCTCCTGCCCTCCCTGCGCATGCTCAGTCGGCGCTGCAGCGTTGGAACTTGGCGGCGGCGGCTGAGGGAGGATGAGGATGGCGTCGCCGGTGTCGCCTCCGAGCTCCTGAGGTGGCCCTCATGGGGCTGGGCTCCAGCTCCGAAGTCCCCGACGGGGGCTCCGAGGGATATCACGTGCACGGGGTAAGGGCGAGCTCCCCGGACGCGGTCGCTGAAGCAGCTGGAGGAGGAAGGAAAACAAACGCAGCCCGGCTTATGTTCGTGACGGGGCGTTCGCCTTCCTCCTCCCAGTTGTTGTCATTCAGTATTACTGCCTTATCCCATGGAGCTCGCAGGAGAGGCAGCGTGGCGTAGTGGTTAAGAGCGGTGGACTCCTAATCTGGTGAACCGGGTTCGCTTCTCTGCTCCTCCACATGCAGCTGCTAGGTGACCTTGGGTCAGTCATGGATTGGATTGTTTGCATGGGTTATCGGGCAAGTGCATTTTGCATTCTGAGTGCCCCATCTTCTCTGACCTGAGGAAGGGCCATAGCTCAGTGGTAGAACATCTATCATGAATGCAGGAGGACCCATGTATTGATCCCTGGCATCTCCAGGTAGGGAGCCAGTGTGGTGTAGTGGTTAAGAGCGGTGGACTCGTAATTTGGTGAACCGGGTTCGCGTCCCCGCTCCTCCACATGCAGCTGCTGGGTGACCTTGGGTCAGTCATACTTCTCTGAAATCTCTCAGCCCCACTCACCTCACAGAGTGTTTGTTGTGGGGGAGGAAGGGAAAGGAGAATGTTAGCTGCTTTGAGACTCCTTAGGGTAGTGATAAAGAGGGATATCAAATCCAAACTCCTCCTCCTCCTCCTCCTCCTCCTCCTCTTCTTCTTCTTCTTCTTCTTCTTCTTCTGGATTCTCCTTCCTTGGAGGTTTTTAAGCAGAGGTTTTGGATGGCCACCTGTCATGGATGCTTTAGCCTAGATTCCTGAATCGCAGGGGGTTGGACTGGATGACGCTCGGGGCCCCTTCCAACTCTACAATTGCTGAGGGAGGTCCTGAACACAGGAGCAAATTCTTTAGAAACAGATTTGTGGCAGATATGTCCATCAATGGCTACCAGTCATGTTGGAGGCTATGGCCTGCTTCCTAACCCTAACCCGAGGTACCACTGTAATGCCTTTGAACAGCAGTTTCTGGAAACCACAGGAAGGGAGAGATGCCCTTGTGCTCAGGTCCTGCTTGCCGGTTCCCCATACGCATCTGGTTGGCTACCATGAGAACAGGACACTGGACTAGATGGGCCATTGGTCCTGATCCATCAGGGCTGCTCTTTATGTTCTTAAGAGCAGGTTGTGTATTGGGTATGAGATTTTGCACAAATTTTGGGATCACCTTGGTGCCAGCTTTTAATGGAGTGCTTATGAATAGGTGTAATGTATGCTTAGAAAGCCTCTGAGAGCCAGTGGTTAAGAGCGGTAGTCTCGTAATCTGGGGAACCGGGTTCGCATCTCCGCTCCTCCACATGCAGCTGCTGGGTGACCTTGGGCTAGTCACACTTCTCTGAAGTCTCTCAGCCCCACTCACCTCACAGAGTGTTTGTTGTGGGGGAGGAAGGGAAAGGAGAATGTTAGCCACTTTGAGACTACTTTGGGTAGTGATAAAGCGGGATATCAAATCCAAACTCCTCCTCTTCTTCTTCTTCTCCGTCGGTGGTTTGTTACAGCCAGGTGGAACCTCCACGTGCAGAGGCAGTCTATCAGAGCGTCAGCGTGCTGGATCCTGCTGGAAAAGACCCTCTGAGGCCCATGGATTCCAGCATTCGACTCATAGCTGTCAATCTTCCCTTTTTTTGCGGGAAATTCCCTTTATTTCAGCGCTGCTTCCCACTGCTATCCCGGATTGTTATATATCCTGCAGACTGTCCCTGGGACAGGTGAGGCAGCTGATCCCTTATTTTCAAATCTGAAAGTTGACAGCTATGATTCGACTTCCCACAGCAGCCAACCAGATGCCCACAAGCGCAGGGAAGGCGGGCAGCACCCCTCTCCCACTGTTTCTTCCTTTCTTCCTTTTCCTTTCTGTGCTTACTAAGGTGGAGGCTTCATGTAGCCATTGTGGTTGGTAGCCATTGACAGATGAATCCTCTTGAGCGCTCCCCCCCACGCACCCAATACCCCTGTAAAGTCATCAGCCATAGCTGTGTTTTGTAGTGGTGAAATTGTTTACTGATTTCCATTATTTATAGGCTGGCCTATAACATAAAAAAGGTCTCTGGCTCACGAGATAAAAGCAATGCAATAACTGCACTAAAAATACAATAAGCGCAACATTAAAGCATTCCCCAATTAAGATGGTCATGCATTACTTGAATTCCGTGTAAATTCCACACATTGAAAGAAATGTGTTCTTTTATCTCCAGAAATTGATGGATGTATCTTGAGTTGTGAGTAGTGTTAGAAACTGAAATATGAAAGCTAGGAGCTAAGTGGCACCTTAAACCTAGGTTATGGGCGCAACAACGGAATGTCGGCGCACTTTTTTTATAACTTGAATACAAAGCTGAAAATGAATGAGCTGCAGCTAAAATCTTATATTCATTTTTCACATGGTCTAGTCCTCATCTGACAACTGCACAAAACAAAGCCGTGCTTTCCCTGCCTCCCCCCCCCCCGCAATATTCTTAAGAGGATCTCTGCTCCAGTCCTCAGAGAATACCTGGAAGTGGGGAGGCAGAAAAAGGTCCTCCTTTCCTTCCACTCTGCAGTTTTAATCTGAAATCTTAGGCGCAGTACTGCGCCGATAGAGCTCAAAAACTGCTTGCACTAATGAAATTCCTTGTTGCAAAATGCACCTAGAACAATGGGAGTTTGAACGCTGGTTGTGAGAGAGCACAGCTAACTGTTAAACTTTATCCACACCATGCATGATTCATTTTCATCATAATGTCATCTTAATGCTATGGTTTTGGGTTATGGTGGGGCTGGATCAATGGGAGCTTTGGTCGTATTCAAATGAACAGTTTTTCAGTTTAAATGAAAACCTCATCCATTTAAAAAGAAGTTATAAGGTCCTTATTCATGGAGGGAGGGGTTTACCAGTTCTCACTGGTTATCAGCTGTAAAATGAAACCTCCATGTTCACAAAGGCTGAGAACATACAGCAGGGGTATGCTTTTGCTTGTAGATGTCAGAGACATTTGACTGGCCTAGAATGCTACATCAGAGGAACTATTATCAGGGCATCAGGGCCCTGTCAAGGTGGTTCACATCATTTAACAAAATAATACAATACAAATTTCATATAAAAACCAGCAGTACAGTAGAATGAAAGGGCAGGGGGAATAATAACAGAAATCAAGACATTGATTGGTTAAAAGCAGATGTAAACAGATAAGGTTTTCCAGAGCCTGTTATAAGACAACCAAGTACAGTTCCCATGGGTAGGAATTCTGTAATGATGGAATCACCACTGAGAAGGCCCTCACTCTGGTACCCACAGACCTGATAGATTTTATCACCAGGTCTGCAAGCAAGGCCTCTGTGGTCAATCTTAAGGGCAGGGCAGGCTCATATGGATGCAGATGGTCCTTCCAGCTGCTTAGTGAGTACAGTTCCCATGGGTAGGAATTCTGTAATGATGGAATCACCACTGAGAAGGCCCTCACTCTGGTACCCACAGACCTGATAGATTTTATCACCAGGTCTGCAAGCAAGGCCTCTGTGGTCAATCTTAAGGGCAGGGCAGGCTCATATGGATGCAGATGGTCCTTCCAGCTGCTTAGTGCTTAAAAAGTAACAGCTAGTGAATTTGAAGCACACTTTACCAACCTGTGCAGTTGGTAATTCATGTTAATGTATATAAATTATTGTACTGGATTGGTCTCCCCTTCCACCTGCTCAGTACTCCTGCCCTGTGAATGTTCTAGAATGGTATGCACTGTCTCTTCAAATATGTTCCTGTGGGAGAGTATGGTTAACATGTCTAGCTTGGAATGAACTGTGGTGCACTCTGATTTGCCTGTTCTGTGCAGAAGTGATGAACTACGAATGCACAAAGTTCAGCTGCATTCAATTTTATTTTTATTTTTCAGGGAGAGCTGTGTAAATAAGGTCTCTCCCCAGGGCTGTGCATATGCTGTTCAAAGTCTTGTGGAATCTGTTTTGTGTTGCAGAACATGGCACACTGAGAACAGAAGCTTTCAGTAATCTTTAAACCAGTTCTTACATTTTTTTTTGTTTGTGGAGGGAACCTTAAAAAAAATGGGGCTCAGACACATATGGGGGAATAGGAAAATGCTTCCACTGGTTAAGAGATGAAGTGCTATTTCCTTGTCCAGCACTCTCGCCCATAGTTATTTATTTTTGCCCTGTGACACCCCTTGGCACATAGCCTGACTATCCAGTTATGATACTCTTTCCTCTTCTGTTTGTGTGCAAAAATCTTTGGTTCCTTTGGAAACCAAGAGCTCTGGAGAAAAATAAACTGTTAAAAATAACTTCATGCAGATGTGCACTGCATAATTCTAACAGAATGTATATTCCCAAAGGAGCTAAGCCTTGCCCCTATGTTTTTTAAAAGTCTGCTGAAAACAGTGTTGCTTCAGTGGCCATTCTTAAAGTAAAATCTCTAAATGTGGTGTTTATTGTGGGATTAGTGCTCCTCATGCATGCAAGTTTTCTTTTTTGCTTTGCAGTATCCACACATGGTTGGTATCAAACTGCACAAAATACACAAGAGAAAATCTTGTATTAAAAAAACCCTTTGTTGCCAACAAGCCATTTGGAATAGCTCTCCACTGCTCATTTGCAATATTAAGTCCCTGTTTGGAAGCACTGTATGCTTTCCTTCCAGCTGCTTTTATTATTTCAAAATGGTACATTCTGATGCTTCCCTTACCATTCACTATATCTTAAAACAAAATTTGTAAGCCAGTTTGAATGAATGTTTAACATAGAAAAATGAGATATAAATACATATAATAGAATGGGTTGGGCCACATTAATTGCACATAGGCCTTATTAAAATCAATGTGATGGGTTGGTTGTGGCTTAAGTCCCGTTGGTTTTAATGAGAATTAAGTGCAACTAACTTATGTGCAGCTGGATCCAGCCTCTGTAGTGCTTAGCTATGCTTGCAGTTTTTTCTGGTTCTTACACAGTCTTAGCAAATCACATTTGTACACGTTGTCATTCAGTAAACCTACCACAAACAGCTTCTGATTGTAGGTGAATAATCTCGAGAGCACAAGAACTACATTGTTTTATTGTTAAAGCTAAGCACGTCTTTCTACTTGACAGTTGGTGTCTGGCTGAGAAATTACTTGGGATCCCTTGTGTAAGCCACACTGTGCTTCCTGTGGGTGCAATATATATTGGTATTTCCTGGTTGCCGTTGGAAATAGGTGGACCGTGCATTTCTTTGTAATGTCTGCCCAGCCCATCTGTGCAACAAAAGACTTATTTAGATAAAATTGAATTGTGAGGTAGACCAGTCCGGTGCTCCCAACTTTGCCTGCAGAGCTTGAAAGCATATCAAGCATGGAGGCAGCAGCAGATTGGTATTTCACAGTTGGTGTTTTGTACACAGCTTATACCTGGTCTCCTCTTTGAAGGAAGAGCTTAAAAGTTTCTCCCTGTGACTTGCACTGCATAGTACCATCTCTGTGCTGTGCACTTTGTCTTCCACGGGTTTCCTCTTTGATTGTTGTGAAACTGCATCTCTTAGATGCATGTGTTATTTTGGGAAGTGATGTAACTGAGTGGTGGAGCACCAGTTTCAATTCCCAGCAGTTCCAGGTAGCACTGGGAGAGACTCCTGCCTGACACTCCGTGGAGCCACTGACCATCAGTGTAGACAATACTAAGCTAGATGGACCGCATGTCTGCCTTTCAAAGTTCCTTTTGGCTTCTGTTTGGCTAGGGAGGAGAGGGGTTCTGAGCAATACATCTATCATGTTTGTTAGGATGGTTGGCTGTGGTATTTTCTTTTTGCTCTAGGCCAGTATAACCTCTCCCAACTGCCGAAAGACAAGTCTCTTATTGTCAGCTCATAAGCATGCTTGGTATGAATACTTTTTGCATTACATAATTTAGAAAACATGTGCTTCCACTGACATTTTTTTTCATTTGGTTCATCTATATGTAAAACTCTGCCATTTTTCAGGTTCAGGAAAACTCCCCTGCTCAGCAGGCTGGATTGGAGCCGTTCTTTGATTTCATTCTCACAATAGGACACACCAGACTGGTAAGTAGCTTAACAAAAGTCACTGGGGTTTTTTTAATGCTGAGCTCTAGCAGGTAAGTATGTTGCTGGTGTGCTATGAATAAGTGCATCCAAAAGCATGACCTGAAGGTACATGAAGCTGCCACTTTTCTGAAGCTAAGTAGATCTGCTCAGTGCTTGGATGACAGATTTCTGCCCCCCCCCCCAAAAAATGATAGCATGTATGTTGCCTTGAACTCTGTGGTGGAAGAAAGTTGGTGCATAAGTGGAACTAATGAATTACTGTAATAAATGAAAACTAGGAGTCAGCAAGTAGAACTGCCGGATAGGCACAGACCACTTGGGAGATATGGGCTGTGGTTCTGCCCAGCTGCTCATGTTTCCCTTCTGAAAAACATAGAAGGACCGTACACTGTTGTAGGTTCATCTGCTTGGAAGTTGAGTCATAAGGGAGGCTGCCCCTATGCAGGGCTTGGTTGGTCATAGTACCTGTGACTCAGAATGGCAGAGCGTGAACTTGCAAGCAGGTCCTTCCCACTGATGGCCATGGAAGTATATGAAATGGCTGGCTGTGAGTGTCCTGTATGAACAAAGGTTTCAGGTTTTTTACTAACTTGTGCTTCTGAGTTTGCATGAGATTAAGAATGGTTCTGTGATTAGGCGTCTTTAAAAAAAATCTGTTCAAGTAGCAGAATTCCATCCTTTACATATGTCTGTTTGTCTTGGAAGTTCTGATCGTGGATGTAACGGACAGGCCATATTGGGGTCTGGAAAGGAGATTTCTCCCGATATCAGAGATGCCCCAACTTCTCCTCTAGTAAATGGCTGGGTACACTTGCTCAAGTTGGGATCTGTTTGTGCTGCAAACATCTCTTGTTCATCAGAGCTGGTGGGTGTGTTGCGCTGTGGAGGGAAGGGAAGGGAAGGAGGGTGTTGACCTGTTATCACGTCACAAAACTAGTTTTCAGCACTTGTTCAAATATCACCCTGTAAATAATTAACATGTTTGAAGCTTCTTGGCCCACGTATATTATGGCTACCAAATATACTTCGTTTCATTGGATAAAGGCATGGCAAATGGTGATGTTTATTTTTTTGCACATTTCTTTTATGACCTAATCATGCTTGAGTAGAAGCAACTGCTGTTTATTTCAGAGGGATTTGCTTTGAAATAAGTACCTCTATTGTTAAATGTCCTAATTGTTGCATGACTAAAAGCTCACAAATGGGACATAAAGGCCACAGCCCTCCTCCTGTTGTGATCCCCAGAACCTTGTATTCAGAGGTACTGGTAAATTGCCTTAGCTATATGGGACCTCTGTTTTCAGTTGGGGCTGTTCTTTTAAAAATAAACTTAACAGAATTTATTGCCTCAAGAAGTGCTGAATTTATTTTTATTGCTGTTCTCCTCCAGTGCATTCTCTTGGAAAAGCAGGCAGGAGATATGTTTAATGAATTAATAAAATAAATTCATCTTAAGTTAGTGGCCATAGCACATCTTGTGGCTGTCAGTTCCATAAGGTATTAGGAAATATCCACTTTATGGAAGGCAAGTTGATACTTCAACCTCAATTTCTGCAGCTGCTGGCCTGCCCCTCCACATAGCCTCTGTGAATCTTTAAACTGGTTTCAGCCCTGTTTAGGGAAGTTTTGAATGTTTGATGTTTTATAGTGATTTTGCTATTCTGCTGGGAGCCACCCAGTGTGGCTGGGGAAACTTAAAAAATCATTTTAAAAATCATAAAATCATAAAAAAACAAATTATAAATATATTTTGTGGTTGTTGTTGTTGGCGGCGGCCTAGCAGTCTGTTGGCTACTGTCCAGAAACAAACCTCTTACATTTCCTTTCCTTCCTTTCTTTTTTTTGAGAACAAAGAAGGGGACATCTTAAAAGATTTGCTGAAAGCCAATGTTGAGAAGGCTGTGAAATTGGAGGTGTACAACATTAAAACGATGAAAGTACGTGAAGTGGAGGTGGTCCCCAGCAACATGTGGGGAGGGCAGGGGCTCCTGGGAGCCAGCGTGAGGTTCTGTAGCTTCCAAAGAGCCAATGAGCATGTGTGGCATGTGCTGGTAAGTAGGAAAAGATGGTTGTGCATTTTTACTATACTTCCTTACTCTGTCACTTTGAATTTAGGTTTTGCTTGTTTTATCCCAAGAAAGAATCCTTCAGCAAAGAGTTTTGTGGCACCTTAAAGACTAACCAGTTTTATTGCAAAATATAGTGTTAGCCTTTAAGGTGCCACAAGATCCTTTCCTGATTTTGCTGCAACAAACTAACATGGGAACCCCTCTGGTGAGCAGATTTTGAGATGGTCAGCTCTGGGCTTATTTTCTTCGTCCTGCTCCCCTTTCATGGTGATATTTTTTGAATAAAAGCATTCCTCTCCTGCAGGGAAACATTTCCACATTGACTTGACTGCACATTGCAGAGCATTCTAGGGTGCACGAGATGGTGCCCATTTTCCTCCTCCCCAGGAAAAAGTGTTTTCCTAGCATGCGCTCACCTCTGCCATGCTGGGAGTGTCTGGTAACAGTGGACAGCTTTCCTGGAATTGGTCTGCTATTATCTCTTATTGAGGATGAGCTTGCAAGGGTTTCTGGGAACATTGTTTGCAAACAACTGGATATAGGCTTTTTGCTGCTTGATTTGTTGACTAGGTGTAGGTAACATAACTGATCAATGTCTCCCTAGGATGTGGAACCGGCTTCCCCAGCAGCGCTGGCTGGCCTGAAGCCGCACACTGATTATATTGTTGGATCGGATCAGATACTGCAGGAGGTAAAGTGAGTCATCAATTGCACCATTGGCTGAAGGGGGGGGGGGCTAGACAGTTTTCAGTGATTGCTGCTGCAATCTCATAGCCACTTACCTGGGAGAAAGCCCCATTTAATTCAGTTTCAGAGTAGATATGCCTATAATTGCACTATGATCATTGCAGCAAGTATTCCCCAGACTTAAGCTATTCTACACATGCAGTCTCCTTCCCAGTCTTTGCTTTGGGACTAGATATAAATTTCTCTGTGCAAATTGTGTAGCTGTCTTTAAATATTCACCCACTCTTGTTCTCAAGGGCTGGGAAAGCTGAATGCAGAAATAAAGAGAAGTTGGATCCCTCTCTACAGATATTTCAGTTAAACCCAGGGTGGAGAATTGGCCCAACTCTGCATGCCGTTTTGACAGATGGTTGGGGCTGGGAGGGCAGCAAGGGAAAAGAGGAGCCAAATCGAAAAAGCACTGAATTCAAGTTGAGGATGCAAAGGAAGAGTTCAGAGTTTGTTACCAATCCTCCCATTTGAATTTGGCTTTGTCTGTCTTGCACTTGACGTCAGGTGACAGCATGGCTTGGCTGAAATGACCTGGCACACTGAATAAGGCCCCTTGGGCTGGGGAGTTCTGCACTGCTGAGCTAAAGGTGTTTAGCACAGAGGATTGATGACAGTAGCGGTGAGGTTTAAAACCAACAGTCCTATAAGGAGTTACATCCACTCCTGCCCAATACCATTTCATGGGTGATCTTTCTACTTTCCCCAAGCACCTGCTGCCCCCTCCTGCATTTGCATCCTGCCCTACGCAGCAGTAATGGTGGAACCTGTGGCCCTCTAGATGTTGAACTCCAACTACCATCAATCCTAACCTGCATGGTCAGTGATCTGGGATGAGAATTGTAGTCCAGCAACATCTGAAGGGCCACAGATTCACCATTCTGGCTTTAACTGCTTCATATCTTGTCCTCTGTTCTGCCCTGTCCATAGCACATGGAAGCTTGACAGATTAATGCAATGACCTGTTTCCTGCTGCTTTGTACTTTGGCAGCTACCTATAGGACACCTTGTGAGGGGGGTATCCAAAGGACATGCTGCAAATTCTAGTCAGTCATTCTTTGTCCTACACAGCAACAGGACACCTGGAAATCATGTAATGGCAGGCAGGGAGAGGTTCTAGAATGCAGCTGTTGGGTTGATGACAGTCTTCTTTTTCTCTCAGTCCGAAGATTTTTTCTCATTGATTGAAACCCATGAGGGGAAGCCGTTGAAACTGATGGTCTATAACACAGAAGCTGATTCCTGTCGAGAGGTTTTTGTAACCCCCAATGGAGCCTGGGGTGGAGAAGGAAGGTATGGATTTGTGAGTGACAGGATAGTCTGTAAATGAGGTAAAGGCTCACTTATCACAGTATGCTTTCCTGTACATTGCTGTGAAGATGTTTAGCCCCATGGGATCCACAGTGTGGGAGAATTATGCACCCTAGAAGGCCATTACAGTTCCTGTGTTTCATGTTATCACAGTTGAACACTTGCCTTGGCACCAACACAACACAGAAGCAACAGTTCTCACCCAGGGGTTTACCTTCTTTGCATTTTAATGCAATGTAAAAGACAGATGAGGGTCCAAGGTGTGTGTTGATTGATGTGTCAGGGATGGAGCAGAGGAAGGGTAGCAGGCAGCCTAGAAACAAAATCCGAGGTGTTGGTGGTGCTTCAATAACAGGTGGGGTAGCAGTTCAGAAATAGGCCAGTGATAAAGGTGTGCAACTGAGGGGCCATATTTTCTCTACTGGTCTTGGCAACTGCACCCAGCCCCTGATCCTAGCTGCCATATTTCCGTATGGTCCTTTGCATGTGGTGTGAGCTAGGTAAAGTTAAAGGGACCCCTGACCATTAGGTCCAGTCGTGACCGACTGGGGTTGCAGCGCTCATCTCGCTTTATTGGCCGAGGGAACCAGCGTACAGCTTCCGGGTCATGTGGCCAGCATGACTAAGCTGCTTCTGGTGAACCAGAGCAGCACACGGAAATGCCGTTTACCTTCCCGCCGGAGCGGTACCTATTTATCTACTTGCACTTTGACGTGCTTTCAAACTGCTAGGTTGGCAGGAGCAGGGACCGAGCAACGGGAGCTCATCGTGGGGATTCAAACCGCCGACCTTCTGATCGGCAAGTCCTAGGCTCTGTGGTTTAACCCACAGCGCCACCCGCGTCCCCAGGTGTGAGCTAATTCACATTAATTGATACTGAGCCTTAAGCAGTGTGGAGGGACCTTTTGTGAAATACAGGTGTGTATGAACTAGGTGGGGGAAGCTGCCCCTAATAGTCCCCCACCCACCCCAGTCCCTGCTTTTGAGCTAAGAGCCAAGAGGAAGTGTGCATGTGCTGGATTTTGGAGTTTCTACCCCCTTGCCAACCTGTATTTTCCTGCAAGTTTAGGGCAGACTGTCTCCTTTTCCTATCCTGTTGCCATTCAGGCTTCAGTAAGTAGGGGACTCAATTCATGAATATGTATTTTAGTCCTCTGTGAATGACCAAGGGGCAGCCTGACCCTTTATAAATAATTCCAGTTTACTCAGCTTTCATTTCCTAGGTTACTGCAGTACATGAGCTGAGGGAAGTTTGTCATCCCACAAGGGAGTTGGGGAAATCTGGCAGTAATTTTAACACTTGATTCCAATTTCCCAAGGTAAACAGCACCTTTATTGGTTATGTGCCACTCATTCTGTTGGTTAGACAGAGCCACCTGCCAATCAGAACACACTGGGTCAAGAGTCTTTAAAACTGGAATGTTGCCAGCATTCCGTTACCCCTCTGACCACCCACAATGCTATGCTACTGGGAAAAGTCCTTTTTGTAAGTTGCTGCATTAGGATAAAGAGACTTGAAATGTTTCTTTCGTGCAGCATTCTGCCTTTTCCCTTTTGACACCCTAAAACCTTAACAAAAAATCCTCTTGAAAGTGGCTGCTGAGGTCTGGTGTGACTGCTTACCAGACACAGTGCCTCCCTGCAATGCCTAGGTCTCTTTGGTGCCATGGTATTTATTTGTGCTGAGGGAAAAGTGGAGGAAAGCAAGCTGCCCTGCTTCCTGGGGGCAAGTGCAGAATGGAAGCTTCGTAACTAATATACATCACTTATAGCCTTAAGACTTGTCTCTGCCCCAAAGTTAGAGGGACCAAGGAGGGCTGCACACTCCAGTTTAGAGAGATAGGAGCTGCTCCTGTTCTCGGGGGGGGGGGGATCTCTTGGGTTCTCCTTTACAACTTCTACTTGTGATCTGAGTCAAATGGGCTTCTGTCAGTTACTTTGAAAACAACATTTTCAAGGGTGCAAGCTTGTTTCTTTTTCTTTTATTTACCTTCTTGTGCAGTTTAGGGTGCGGCATTGGATATGGCTATTTGCACAGAATTCCAACACAGCCTTCTATACCAAAGAAAAAGGCAGAAGCTGGTCCTCCTTCTCCTTTGCCCTTGGGAGGCACACCTCCTGAACCACCAACCAATGGCTATACAGAGGTAGGCATTTCACAGTGAAAGATGACTGCAGTGTTTGTGGGTGCTGCTATTTTTAATATGCAAAGGGCAGGGCGCAGCTGCTGTAATACTCCCAGGAATTATGGGCAGCTCACATACCGTCTCTCCACCTACTCACTTTTGTTCCTTCCTCCAGAGGGCCATGACGTGTCCCACTTACCTGCCTGGAAGCTAGGTTACATTCTTCTTGAGCATCTGTGGACACCATTGTTTAGGGTTTGCTGGGCTGATTGGCTTGCATTGCACTTCTGGGTCAGAGGGGAAAGCAGCCTTTCCCCCTTGGAAACTCTGCCCAGGTTGAGGTTATAATATAAGCCTCTGGCCCCCCTAATGAGGTCGTGTCATCTGCCCACTTTGTAGTTGCTTTGCTTAGTGATAATGAATGTGTTCCTTGTTCTGAAGCATGCAACTCTTTCTGTTTTATAAATTATTTCAGGCTCCTCTGTTAGCACCAAACTCCCAAAGCGAAGAACCTGCAAGCTTAGAGTACAGCACAGATCAAAGTGTAAATATGTATTCAGTAGAAAATTCTCTTCAGCCTCCTCCTCCTGTGCAGAGAGTCATGGATCCAGGTAATCTGTTCACCTGTTGACCTTTAGAGCATAAAAGTTGGGTGACTGGTTTTTATATGCAGGTTCATATGTGCAGAAATTCTGTAATGAAGAAGCTGTGTTGACTATGAATTTGCAGAATGTAGTCTGCTTATGGGGAGAGGAACAATGCAGGACACTGATGGGAATAGTAACTTGACTGTGGTGCTGTCCAACTCCTGCAGTGACAGGCTCCTTCAGAATGTCACCTACCACCCCATGAATCATAAGCCTACGAACAGAGATGGGTGTGGTGGGTTAGGAATACCTTTGCCAAGGCACTTGTCAAAGTAAGAATGACTTCATGCCGTAATTCCAGAAGGGTCAGGTAACACCTTCCACTGGTTTCAGCATATTTGTATCAGGCTGTTCATGGCTAACAAAGGGGTAAGCAGAAGTCTCTTGATGGCATTTGCATTCTAAGTTAAAAGTCATTTTGTTAGTAGCTAGGAACAGGAAAGAAATTTCACCTTTAAACAATTTATTTCTCTTGTAAATTATTGGCTGTACTTTTCTCTCTTCCCCATTGCTTTCCAGGTTTTATAGATATGTCTGGAGCTTCTTTTCCTGAATTAATTGACTTAGTGAAAACAGTCAAGGTGCCTTCCTCTGCTTCTTTCAACTTGCCAGACACTGTTGCAGCAACTGATAGCTTGGTATCTAACAACGGAATTGATTCACACTTTGGTAAGCAAGCACTTTGGTAATTCAAACACAAATTTAAATTAAACACAAAAGATTACAGCATTTACTACAGTCATACCTCTGGTTGCGAACGTGATCCATGCGGGAGGCACATTTGCAACCCGCAGCGTTAACAGTGTGAAGCGCTGCGTCTGCGCACATGCGTGACATGATTCAGCACTTCTGTGCATTATGTCATTGTGCTTCTGTGCATGTGCCGAAACCTGGAAGTAACCCATTCCGGTACTTCCGGGTTCTGCGCGGTCCGCAACCTGAAAACGCGCAACCCGCCGCGTTTGCAACCCGAGGTATGACTGTACATGGGTCTTAGTAAAACTTGTCAATTTTTAGTCTGCAAAGTATGCAAATCCACAACCAACATATTGATTGTGTGATCACCTTTAATACCTCCTTACTAAATTCTGGTTACTGACAACAATTTTTTAGAAAAATAAACAAAGAATCTTCTGGCATCATAAAGGCTAAGGACAATATGAAATATTAGTGTATTCAGGGTAGCCCTGTTGAAATCAATGTTAGAATTAGAGAAGAAAAAAGGGTGCCTCAGAGCCTAGGGATTTGTTTTCAGTGCCAGGATCTAACTGAGCTGAGTATTGTTTCATTCAAAAGTGCACTTCTGGTTCCTTTCTTCATTCCAGCAGACTAATTTAGCTGAGAAAATTGTTATAGTTAAAAACCTTGCTCATCTACTGCAAGTCACAGAGCAATCTACTGGAATCTGATCTGCTGTCCTATTTTAAGTAAGCTAGTTAAAATCTGATGTGTTTGTTGGGTAACCATGGAAGAAGACACAATTGCTCATAATTTAGCAGAGTTAATTCTAGAGAGTACATGGTAGCTTAGTTACTGATTTCATGTTGCTCTCTTCAGTCACCTGCAGGGGCTTCATGTTTTGAGAATTACAGGCATTGTTTTTTCTGTAATTAGATTTTGACTTCTGCTTTTCAGACCAGGCCTCTCTTCCAGTTTCAGAAGATTCATTATCTTATGCAGAGGGCTCAAGTCCTCAGCCAGAGTTGGATGCAGCGCCTTCAGTTTCTGTTTTGCCATCCCTTCCTGTGGATATCTCTGTAAATGCAACATCTAAAGCTGATGGTGGTGCTCAAGAAACACTTCTGCTTTTAGATGGGACTGAGAGCCCGCAAATGACCAAAGCTTTACAACCTGACAGTGAAGATGAAAAGGCCAAGGAATTGACAGAAGAAACTGCACAGATCTAGTGCTAAAAGTGACAACACTTGCTATCAGCTGTAAGGACATTGGTACCAGACAATAAGGCTTTTGATACCCAGTGACATCCATTGTGTTGCTATATTACAGTAATACTGCAAGAATTCAAGCTGTTTCCAGTGACCTTGAGCCAGCCTTTCATTATCTGATAGGTTTCAACATCTGCAACTACTGCTCAGCAATAACACTGATAATTTGACTTGGAATAAGTTCTTTAAAAATGCTGTTTTGTGTGAAGAGTTTGCTGTCTGCCCAAAAGCTAATAGCAAGACTTTTAGTTGTTGTTTTTTTAAAAAAATGCAGCTAGCAAGCACACAGTGCCTTGATTTTAGCAGAACCTTTTAGCCCTCTTTCTAGGTTTCAGTTTTAATTGTGACAGCTGTTCACTTTGATTTTATATGTCAAAATATTTAATGTTTAAGATTCCCAAATGACGCTTTACAATTTGACTCTCTCTGGGCACCCATGTAGAAGGCTGCAATCCAGGTTACAGTGCTTCCTTGCAGAAGAGCTGCTACAGTACTCTTAACTCCATCCCTGGCACATGCAGGTGGGATGGCATAGCCCCCACAATCCTCCTCCTTTAGTCAATGCCACATTAAAGTTATCTGGGAGACAGGGAGGTGCATGAAGACCTCTTGACTATAGATATGCCAAAAGGGTAGGAAATGAACCCAAACAGCTACTTCATTCTCCTGTTGGATACCTTACTTGTTAGAAATCTCTCTTGAAAGAATAGTTTCAAGGTGAACGTAAGCAACTTATAGTTTTATACTTGGGGTTAGATGTGGCTGAAATAGTTCTTCTGAGCCTCTGCAAATTAAAGGTGACGATTCTAAACATGCATGCATGGTAAAATAATTGAATTTCAATTTTTCTTTTCAAAGTGTGTTCTAATGACAGGTATGTGTTGACTTGAGCAAAGAAGCTAATATCATGTAGGATTGTACCCGATGGCGGGACTGTTGCTTTTTAGGGAGGCTGATTTCTCTCTTCTCAGCTCTGAACACGGCTTTATTCAACATGAATAACAGATGTTCTACATCACACTAGCTGCGTTGAATGGTATATTTCAAAATGGTTTTTGATTCTCTGCTTCTGTTTGTTGAAGATTAAAAATAAACCATTTTTGGATAATACTTGTTAAAAGTACTCCCTGCAGAAGTTAAGTTTTGGTCCTGCTTATTATTCACTAGCTCCCAGAATAATGTGCAATCCAAACTCTCGATCTGCCACAATAGGTGTCTTGACGTAGCTCATCCAGAGCAAGTCCCCCACCCACTGTAACCTAAGTTGGTGCAAAGTCATCACCCCCAAGGGACATGACCAGGGCAAGGAGATACATCTATTCCAAACCCTTTTCAGGTCAGTCTCCTGATCTAGAGCCCAAAGTCCCACTCACACTCATCAGCCAGCAGTAGCACCTTCCAAAGTGTTCTATTCAGAGTTTGGATAGGAATAAGAACTCCTTAGAGCCAGGATTATCTTGTACACCTTATATTTCATGGTTTCAGAACTTGGAGAACTAGGCATATATATATATATATAATAAATATGCGCACTCACCTCTCGACTGGCAGGCAGTCAAAATTTTGAGCAGGTAGGTATACCTGACGGGCAAGGGTACACCCTTTGCCAGTTCAACTTGTGCTTAAGCAAGTAACCGAATAGTCAAAAATAAGCAAGGGAAGAGGAAGAGGAAAAAACAACTTGTAGCACAGCACTCTATGCCAGCAAATCCCTGGGGCCAAGTCCCAAGAGGCCCTAATGGTTGCTGTATAAGGGTAGCACAGATGGAGAACGAGAAGAAACCCTGGTATGGGCTTAGGAGAAGGAGATAGGAAAATTAGGGGAGGGGAGGTTGATCCTCAAATCTATGTATCCAATAGCCTTCCCCCACCAACTGTCACTTGAGAGGTGTTGGGTTCAAAAAACGGTTGAGGTAGCTGTGCTCCTGGTGAAATGGGATGTGATGCCCAAAAGAGCCACCCACCCAGGGGGCCCTGGCAAAGAGTGACCTGCAGTTGAACTGCTATGGGGGTTGCCCACCAGGCATCCCCCTTGAAAGTTTGACTTCCTGCCAGTGGAGAGCTGGGCACTGACAACCCACACAGGATCCTCTTCCTCCACTACTGAAGAACAAAAAAAAATGGATAGTCCCAGTTGTTGAGTTTAGTATTTGTCAACACAGACAAGCAGCAGCTCTCCTGAGATTGTTGGGTCTTTCCCAATCTATGTAGAGATGCCAGAGACTGGACCTGGGACCTTCTGCCTGCATAGCTATGCTCAAACACAACCGAAAAAAGCAGCACAGAGACCAACTTTGTAGGCTGACTTGAGGACTAAGCAGAAATACTCTTAATATACATACATATCTGACACAGTGGTGCAGTTGACAGGGCAAGTGTGCAAAAGGTCCACAGTTATGTGCGCTAATTTTGGTTTCAGGAACTTTGAAGAGCTTTCTGGCAATACCTGGCCAAGGAATTTATGATCACATATTTAAAACAAAAATGACCAAAGCTGCTTAGGAATGTTAGCTAAAGATTTTTATTATTATTTCTATACAATTGTTCAATACATGTTCATCCTTTTGGCATTACAGGCCCTCTGTCAACCTTTCCTGAAACTACATTGCTGGGATTGTAGAAAATAAAAAGTTTAGAATCTTGGCTGATTTTTTAAAAACACACACAAAAGGGAAAGGAAGAGGGGAGAGTTAAAGTTAACTTTCAATGAAGACATGGAGAGCACAAAATTTAAAATTAGGTCGATAAGAACAAAGCCCCCCTCCAATATTAATCAATTCAGGACAAATTTACAGTTGTTTAACCAATGAATTTACTAACTTCACTAAAGTGTGCAGTGCAGCACAGATGTGGCAAACTAGATTGCTGTACACACAAATGGGATTTACAAATGGAAAATGATGTCAAGATGGGAAAGGCGCATGCAAGCTTAATTTCTAACCAGATCTTGTTTAGAGCAGTGCTTCGTGTCATCTGGAGCACAAGCGACAATGGTTTAGGGACAACCCAAAGCTTATCTTTTTGTAACATGGCAGTTGCTTTGACAATCTGATGCGTATAAAAGCAAGTGCTCCATGGGGTACTCAACCACCCCAAGACAAAAGCTAAGAGGAAAATATCCAAAAGGTGCTGTAATGTTGCATTTTGTCTTTCTACCACAGTTGGCGTGGGAGGGTGGGGGAAGGACACATAATCCTCGAAACACCCATAAAAGGCAGTCAAATGACTCGTAAGTATCAGACTCTGGATATTTTCCATTTGGTTGGTGCAACATTCATTTGTGGATAATTACCAGATGACATGGGAAGTATTAAAAGCATGCCACCGGCCTGCATGTTGCTCAGTTTTAAGCAGCTCCCATGCTGCAAAAAAAGTGCTGGCATTAGGGCTTACCAGTTGTCTTTCAACAGTGAAGTAAAACCAAGATGTTTTGCAGGCTATAGCTTACATCTAGCTGCCATCATTAAGGAAGAGAGGAGTGCTCATCTAGCAGGCAGGGACCTAACTTTACTATACTGCCTCTTTTAAAAAGGCACTTGTGCTTCTGTTTCAAATAAAAACCACTTTACAATATTTTGTTATCGGGATGTTTGTTTTCCAGTTGAACTTTGAATTCAAACTCAGCTTTTCTTGCCCAGAAGATCGAAGTGTTCCCCTGCTCCTGCTTACAGTAAGTTAGATTCTACAAGAGTATGAGAATATGAAAACGCTGTAAAATGTATTTTTTCTTTTTAAGAAATGGTTGAAAAGAAAAGCTAAGCTGTATACAGCTTGCAACATCAACAAAAACATCCAAAAAAATGCATATAAAAACCATAGGAGGAAAATCTGCAACTCCTTTTCCCCCCATCATGACTATTACTACAAGTTTCTAGAATGCGCCACGATGTTAAAACGTAGAGCACAATTGCTTGGAATTGTGATCAATGAGCCACCTTAGGGGGAAAAACGGAACTACAGAAGTTACATTTTTAAAACTCTAGTTAAAGGGCTTGAAATATTCCATTATGATGCACTGCACCATTGTACTGACCCTATTATCACACAATCTACTGATTTTTGCTCCGATCACAGCTGAAAGACAATCAACAAGCCTCAAGGGATTTAACCCTTTTGGCTTACGTTACAGAGACTGTTTTACTCAACTGTACAATAGCGTTGTCTCCTCTAGGAAATCTGTCTCGAGAAGTGGCCAAAATTGACTCTTCATGGAAAAGTATGCACTGTTTACATGGAATGTATTAACAAAGTAGAGCACATGCAGTTTTTTACACGGTGAACGAGTTTAGCAACAGGGCTGAGAAACCTTTTTCACAACAAGCTTGAGCGGATGACGGTATGATAAAACCTTGGAAATGAAAACCGAAATAAGAACCCCCCCAACAGACAGCTGCACTGGATCACCTGGTCGCTGTACACCTCACAAAACAGGAACCACGCAAGGGCTTCTCATGCCACTCCCACTTGTACCTTGGTAAGGACAGGCTTTAGTTTTAGGTCATAGAGATTTGTCTAGATTACAGATTTATTAGTCACTTCAATTCAAGTAGATTCTGTCCACACTGAGGCATTAGAAGTGTCAGATCTACCTTAGGGTTTCAGTCGGCTTCTAGAGCGCTACAGCTGGAACCAGGACAGGAAGCTCAAGTAAGTTAATAAACCGGTTGGGCCCGCCACTTGGCTCACGTCGACTTCTGGCGGTAGTGGAGAGTCAAGTCGCCACCACTCTTCCATATGAAGTGTTTGACGGTTCGAAGGTCCATATTTGGATCCAATACCTGTTCACACAAAACCAATTGGGTTTTTCCATCAGACTCTGATCCCTCTTAAGTTTTTATTCCCTGGCACATATAGACATCCATTCTCTCCCTCCCTCCCCCGCCCCCTTAAACATCTCTCGGATGGTACACCTGTATGTACCTAGGCATACAGGCACAGGCCTCAGGATAGCTCAGATGATTAGAGTGGTGCTGATAACACCAAGGTTGCAGGTTCGATCTCCATAAGGGACAGCTGCAAATTCTTGCCTTGCACGGGGTTTGACTTAGGGTCCCTTCCAGCTCTATGATTCTATATCCCACTATCTGTTATGAAAGAAGCAATATCCATGTGTCTCCCCTCTCAAGCATGCGTCTTTTATTTCCCTGTCAGCCATTAGAAGGCTTGTGCGACGACTGCAGCCCAAATTTTGGCCACAGAAGCTCATTTTATGTGCCAGAAGCCCCCAAATTCAGCAATCACCCAGGTACATAGGCTGTTGGGGCTTTGCAAAAGCAGCAACATCATCTTCCTTATGACAGGTTTTTCCTGTTCAGGCTGCATATTTCAGCTACATTACATGACCCAGAGAATGTTCAAAGGCATTCAGATTCCCAAGTCTGCTTTAAGGTAGCAAAGCACAAATTGCTTTCTAATAGCCATCGATGAATGTAAACTTTAAGACTCTTGGAGTAAAGGAGCATCTCCACCCCCATCCTTCAACCCGGACAGTGAGATCCAGCGCCAAGGGCCTTCTGGCGGTTCCCTCATTGCGAGAAGTAAGGTTACAGGGAACCAGACGGAGGGCCTTCTCGTTAGTGGCGCCCACCCTGTGGAACACCCTTCCTTCAGATGTGAAGGAAATAAGTAGCTATCCTAGTTTTAAAAGACATCTGAAGGCAGCCCTGTTTAGGGAAGTTTTTAATATTTAACGCTGCATTGTTTTTAATACTTGATTGGGAGCCGCCCAGAGTGGCTGGGGAAACTCAGCCAGATGGGCGGGTATAAATAATAAATTATTATTATTATTATTATTATTCAAAATGGAACTTGCATCACGGCAGCCAAGGAAGATGAACCATTGTTTTTAAAGCACGCAAGTAAATGAAAATACTTTGCAGTGTGATAAATGTACTGACGGGGGGCTGTCTGACACCACACCTTGTCTACTAACAACTTGTGTGAGACTGAGGAACTCTACTTGAGGATTTCAAAGCGGTTGGTTCTCTGAGTGCCTTTGGGACTCCAAATTAATTTTACAAGAGGGAATTTGCCAGGGAACCCCTTTTTGGGTCCCACTGATGGTTGAGGCTCTCTACTGCAAGAAGACATGCAAAGTGAGGTGTTGGTACCCACTGGAGAATCTTCTCCCACCCTGGAGAGGTGGATAATTTCAACCACTGGGAGACAACACAGTTATTCAGGACAAAAGCGAACCTGTTTTGGTTTGAGCCCATTTTTGAATTCTCAGAATGTGACAGGTTACGTGCTCCAATGCCACAAACACAACCCCGGCTTTTCTTCTTCTCCAAAAGCATTTCATAGGACTTCAAGACCACCACCTCCCCACCAGCCAACATATCCTGCCTTCCTTCCAAGGAACTCAGAATGGCATACAACGTTGTGTCCACTCCACTGAATTCTTAAAACCACCAGAAAGGTAGGCAATGAGGATACCTGGTCCTGGCACAGAAGTTCAATTTTCTCTTCTGCTAAAACAGCAATGTCCTCCTCTTTTTCTTGTTCCCCAGCCTTTTCATTATTGGAAGAGCTAGTTGTCTGAGATTCATTGTCCAGATTTATTATTTTTTCATAAACATGCTCCATCACCTTCCTAACTTGCAACATGTCGCTGGCTGACAGTCGATCCCTGTGGAAACAAAGTGTATTTGTGGTTGAGACACGAAGTCTTAGCCGATTGTGGCTCATTATTCCATGCTCCTGGAAACCAAGAGCAGTTTTGTAATTTATTTTATATACTTACTTCTTTAACGTTTTTGCTCCAGATGAGGAATGAGGTTGGAGGTAGAAAGGAATCTTATTAAATTTTGGCATATTCTTCTACAAAATAAAAAAGCAGAAACTGTAACAAGCACATTTACTTACTCCTTAAATGATAAATTAATCTTCTCATTTGCATGAGTTTTTCTTTGTCATTGTTCCCCAGCTTGTTGTTTTTTTTATAGCTAAAACTGAACGATGTTTCACTGCCTTAGTTAGTCACAAGAGAAATTTCAGTAGCATTCCTGCCAGCTTAAGTGCAACTCAGCAACTGAAATCATTTAATTTACTTTCAGATAAGGAAACAAGAGAAATAAAATCACAACTAAAGCTGTAAATAAGACGAATCATTTTTAAACTTGCAAAATGCTCTCAGCATATTCCACGTACCTGAAACAGAAGCATGGCCCTTAACAGCCAATTTTTTATTTTATTTTTAATTAAGAGCAAAAGTCTACACCAGTTTGGTCTACAACTCCCACCAGCCCCACTGGAGTTGTAGTCCAAAACCAGCTTGGGGAAGGCTGCTCTAGATTTTCTCTCTTTCCTGCAAGTCTAGAATATCGAAAAGAAACTTACATCCACAGTGATGTCAATTACCCATTGTGGCACTGTTTCGTTAAGGAGCATGGATTCAGTCTCACCCCCGGAATCCCGACATAGCAGCCTAATTGGAAAGAGTTTCAAAACATGGTACATTGATAGATTAATGCGGGGTGGGAAAAAATCTTTTAAGGTGTCATCTCTGCACAAAAACCAACAGCAAGTGTATGAAAACAAGGAAATACCATTGGAAGTAACAAGGTATATAGTCTGATAGACAAAGGCAAATGTGTTTTAAGACATGCTGGGATGAATTTGTGCCCGCGGCTTGTGGCACATGTCCTGCATTGAATTATGCTTGGGAATGCTTTAAGTTACATGTCTGAGTTCGCTTCCTTAGCACAGGCAATTAAAGTCCAGTCCAAAGCTACCAACTGCCTCATCTTACTACAATACCTTGAAGGGACGTCAACTTTTAGGACAAAGAGCAAGGTTAAGTCTAATCATATATTTTCCTTCTTGGTCAGGAATGGGTTAACTCCTGTGGTATGTAAGAAGACAGCACATAAAATGTGGTATCAAGAAGGGAGGAAGGGTCCCACTCCACAGATTTTTATTTTGGCTTCTTAGAACCTATGGAATGCTTCAACTGTTAGCTTGCACCTAAAGTCCATCTGCATGGCTAGGTACCGGTGTAAGAGATAAAACAAAAACCAACAGTTAAAGGTGAATAAGATATCCCCAGGAAGTCCTAAAATAAATAAGTAGCCAAGCAGGGCATGCAAAAAAAAAGCAAAACACTTGGGGTATCATAAATGAACCAGTATTCTCCTGTGACAAATCCTTCAGTGGGACAGACTAGGTTTTGATCACAAAAACCAAAAGGGTAGCACTCTTTAACAGAATAGCCCCATTTCTTCAATGCAGCAGAATGGACATAGATGCTAATGAATGGATAAAACCTTGGCTTCCCTCTGCCTTCCTCTCCTTACCTGATGGGGTCCACCCCACTGGGATCTGGATCAAGTATTCTCATCTACTACCTTTACTAACTTTTGCTAGCTGGGAGCTCTCTGGAGCACAGAGCAAGTCCAGACCATCAGCTTATTAGCTGATCAGCCTTGCCACTGAAAGCCCTTCCAGTGACAACTTGCTTTCCTAGGATGTCCCTTCATGGCTCCTGCTACAGAGGGGAGTGGCCACTGAGAGGCAAACTAATTCCCATGCCTCTCCTACTGCTTGGGGAGGGAATTAAGGGGTTCTCCCCACCGCACAAATTGTGCGGATCAGAAATAGTATTTCATAAGAGAGAGGAAAAATTTGCTTCCTAGGAGGCTGCAAAACCGCTGATCTCCAATTAGGTGTCAAGAAGTTTAGGGAGGGAGAGTGGTTGGGGCCACTTCTTACCTCGTGAGGAATTGTCTGCCTTCTGACATGGGAGCACAGGAGGAGAACTCATTCTTGACTTCTTGTGTAGTGAGAAAGGGTGTGAGCCTTTGGGATGGCACCATGAACAATATCTTAATAAAGCGTTTAAACTCCTTGAGACAATTTATGAAAACATGCCTTGCTCCTTCACAGTTTATATGCAGAGAGAATAAAGGACATCTGAAGAGAGGAAAGTGCCCCTTGACAATCAACTTGCTTTGGGTTTAAAAGGTAATGCTGCTTATTATATATTTTCTTTGTGGTCCTTAAAACAATCCTGTGAATACAGATCCCCTATGGCAGATGGACAAGCTGACTGTCTGTGGCTTCCCTAAGGCCATCTAATGGCAGAGGTGAGATTGGAGTCATGGCACTGTCACTAAGTCGCACTATCAAAGAATTCAAGTTTGCTCATCGTTTGCTTTTCCAAATCCTGTCACACGGTTTACAACCAATAAGCCAGTAACCTAAACGTGAGACGGCAGACGTGCTCCCCTCTCCACCCCAACTTCCCCAGAATTCTTTTTCAGAATTTTTGTACCTAAACAAAGTGCGTCCTCCAGCTTCGCCAAAAATAACTGGCGTGTGCGGTGGCACCTGGAAGTATCCGTTTCCTTTCTGTACTCTGTTCTCCTGCTCGCCGTTCACTATTATAGGAAGGGGAGAAATGGACCACACAGTAATAAGACCACACAGTAGTAATTCAGTTCAAAACAAGCATATTCCATTCTCATCACTGCAAGAGATTTTTGAAATTTGTTTCATTTTTTTTACTTTACAAGATTTATGCACCGCTTAAAGCCTCAAAGCAATCTACAAAAAGAATAAAACAAAATTATGAGCAAAAGCAGTTCAAAACAACTAATTAAAACATTAAAATAAAATAAAATCAAGGATCGGCTAAAACCAGATTAGCACATGTATCTGGATAGTCTGGCCTGAACATTTATTTTTTTTAGCAGGAGCTGAAAGGAGTACAGTGGTACCTGTGTGGTGTCAATAGGAAGGGAGTTCCAAAGTGCAGGCACCGCTACACTAAAAGATCAATTTCTTACAAAGGTGGAACAAGTATTACGTGGCACCTGCAACTAGTGTCAGTTCTGCAGAGTGAAGCAGTCAATTGGTATATATAAGATAAAGTGATCTTGCAAGTAAACTGGTCCAAGGGCTTTTATATGCTAATGGTAAAACCTTGAACTGTAAGCAAACGGGCAGGTCTCTGAAAGGATGTCTCATATGCCGGCAGGGTCTCACCGCCGTTAGCAACCATGCTGCAGCATTCTGCACTAGCGGGAGCTTCCGGATCAAGCGCAAGGGAAGCCTTGCATAGAACACGTATGCAGTAATCCAATCCTGAATTAACCATTGCACAAAAACTGCTGCGGCCAAGCTGTCATACCAGTTGCAGCTGGTGAAAAGTGCTTCTAGCCACTGGGGCTATCTAGGTCTCCAGCGACAAAGCTGGATCGAGAACTGGCACCCAGCTACCTTTTCTCTTGCTAGTAGGATCAGATGTGGATTATACTCCGTATTTACATATCAAAGCTTACTATACGTACAGGAAGGCATTGCCAATATGCTAAGAGAAAGGAAAGTCTAACCTTTCCATGCAGCACAAAGAATCACTTACCATGGTTCATCTCATTTTCTTCTTCATCCATAGGATTGATGTGGGTTCTAGGCCAATACTCTAAGAGAGCTTGCAGTAAGAGCCCTCCCAGGTTCACTGCATTTTGTAACACAAAAGGGAAAGAAAACAAGAATTTGTCGCCGGTATTTATAAAAGTTAGAAATGAATTTTTTAATTAAAAAAACTAGCATGTTATTAGTATTAGTTACAGACATTTTTAAGGCTGCCATCCAAAGAACCATGCAGCTGGTTCCACATACCCACGGGGGCTGTTTTGGCCTTGTTTTTCTGGACAGAAAAACAGCCCCTCCCAACATAAACCTCTTTGGAAACCGAGGGAACTTTCAAAAGCAGGTTTATGATATAGCACGGGACTTTGCTATTCAAAGAGGCAAACCCACAGGATGGGCTCAGGTCCCTGTATGCACTGAGGTAGCTCTTTGGATCTGGACCTTAGTTCATACTTTCTAATTGAAAGCTCAAAAGGAGCCTTCACTGAAGGGCACTTGTTGAAAACTGAAGTACTGATGCTGCAAACTGGTTTGCTTGCAAGATCAGGGTAATGGCTTGCATTCAATGAAGTGCTAATTAACTCACTCCACCAGTGCAAGGATATAAGCTTGTGCAACAGATTTTCCTCCTCCCTCCTCCCCACTAAATCTGTTCAGGGGGTTCCCCCAACTGTCTGGAGCAGATATGGGGGGGCACTGGACACACACAGGAAGGAAGAGGGGTGACGTGTAAATCCCTGAGCTTATGGAATGAGTTCATTGAATACCGCCCCAAATTTCCACTCCATGCAGAGGATGAGCTGGTGACAGTCTCACAGATTACACTGCTACAAGTAGTGCAGAACTGTGGACCAAGACAGGCTAGGCAATTTGAGCCTCGCAAGGGTTAAGTTTTCAAAGAAAACCAAGCCAACACAAACTGCCACAGCAAGAAGTCTGAATTAAAAAGAAAAAGAAAAAAAAATCTCTCGAGCATTTGACGGGGCGTAGGGAGATCGCCCAATAGGTTTATATACACTTTTCAGAAACATGGTAAGGTAAAGGAGTTTTGTTGTTTAATGAAATAATGTCAACGCACACTCACATTTTGGATCAGAGCCATCTGGACTGCTAAAGCCAGCATCTTTTGCTGAGACCCAAGCTGCAAAGCAGTCACTCTCATCTAAAGTAATTGTCAACATCTGTCAAAACAAGACCGTTGGGAGGAATGCAGTATGAATACTGTATTAAGAACGAAACCTACACATTCAAACCTACAGAAAACTTTGACAAGCACACTTTGATTATACAAAGGATTACATGCAGATGACAACATCTGTCATCTCATCATTACATTAGTATCTGTGTATTAGTTTTACAAGGCCATACAGCAAGATCTTTGAACAGTTGTTCACTACATTTCCACAGTAATTAGTATTCATCAACATGCTGAATACAAATTCTCAAACAAATGTGTGCCTCATTTTCAACTGGGAACAACAAAAGAAATGGTTTCAAACACTAATGCTGCTGAAAATAAAAAACAAAGACATTATCAATCCCATGGGGATTGGTCATCCGATCCCTGCCAGAAGCGAGAGGGAAGATGATGGGAAGTGATGTCAAGCCTTGCTTTTGGCAAGGATCCTCCTCTGTAGCCCATTTTAAACCCGAATGAAAAATGTTATCATAGTGATTGACAGGTGATTCGATAAGGAAGCTTTGAGATTAAAAAATGCTTGTGGAAGGAATTTGGCACACCTTTTGGAACTAACAATGCAGACTCCAAAGAGGTACTTGACTATATTTAGTTACTTTCAAGAGAGCTACCATCTCAAACCAAAGGCATATGACCAATGTGCTTCAAACCACCGCTCTTCCTCAGGGACTCTCTTGAACATCAGATTGCAAACTGGTATCTGCACACAACTTCAACCTCTGCTTCATTTAAAACACACCCTTTTTTTCCTTGTGCACCTAGACATTTTGTCCCTTCCTCTTGCAGGAAACATATGTATACAATATGCATAATCCAATTTCATATATTTAAAATTTAAGTAACTGCTTTGAAAAAACGGAGAGCCCAGGAGCACATGATAAGAGATGTGTAACATTATGTATAGTGTGGTTTGGGAGAAGTTTTTCTCCCTCTCTCTAGAACTTGGGAACATCTAACTAAGCTGAACGTTGCAAGATTCAGGACAGAAAGAAGACAGTACAGTCGTACCTTGGTTTTCAAACAGCTTAGTTCTCAAATGTTTTGGATCCCGAACGCTGCAAACCCTGGAAGTGATTGTTCCGGTTTGCGATCTATATTTGGAAGCTGAACATCCAATGGAGCTTCCGCAGCTTCCGACTGGCTGCAGGAGCTTCGCACTTTGGTTTCCAAACGTTCTGGAAGTCCAACAGATTTCTGGAACGGATTCCCTTCAACTTCCAAGGTACGACTGTACTTCCTTCACAAAGCATACAGTTCAACTATGAAATTCGCTCCTCCAGGATGTAGTGTACGCCATCGACTTGGGTGGCTTTAAAATATTCATGGAGGACAAGGCTATCACTGACTACTAGCCATGATGGCCATATTCCACCTCCACTCTCAGCAGTGTGTCTCGGTATAGCAAATGCTGGGTATCACAAGAGGAGAGAGAGCTGATGTGCTTATGTCTTGCTTTGCAGGCTTCCCAGGGGCACCCGGGTGGTGAATGTGAGAACAGTATGCTGAACTACATGGGCCTTTGACCTTATCCAGTAGAGGTCCTTTTAAAAGGGTGCGTAAGACCCTTGCCAAGCCTAATTAGGCCCACAGTCTCCTAACCACAATGTCTCAGCCCAATGCACCACGCAGGGCTGTTCTAAAAATTACATTGCGGCTGTCACCATATATAGACATATATAAACACACACACACACACCATATATATATATATATATATATATACACACACACACACAGCCTTGAGCGCCAAAGGAAGGAGCTATAAATCACCTCAACAACACTGAAATTAATTAAAGTGTGCCTTACCCCAGTTTTTAAGTCTACTGAAAACCAATTTGGCACGTAAACCATTTTAAACCTTTTCTTAATTTCTTCTTCAAAGTCCACTTTCCCAAGGTCTTCTACTTTACATGCCTGTATGTAAGACGACAACAACAGAAAAGGTTATGCAGCACAGATGTACCACATATCATCAACAAACTTGCACTCCCTGGCAGAGTTTGTTTTGAATGCTCTCTCATGTTTAGGATGAGTTGCATCCAATTGCGCCACTCAGACCAATAGCAAAGAGCTCCATTAGAGGAATGGGGAAGAAAGCAGCTTTCAACATTTCTTCCACTCCCTTGCAGCCCTCTGAGTTCCCAAACCTTTTGAAGTCGGGTCCGCAATCCTCCAAAATAGTTTTAGAGCAGGCACATGCCCTACTTCCAAGAGACTGTGATCTACCCCCACTATAAATAAACCGGCAGTGATCTACCCATTGGACTGACCAAAGTTGTTGAGCTTTTTTGGGGAAGGAGAGGAATTGATCAAAATTCCTTTCCCCCACCACCACTCAAGTTCCCCTGATGGAGCCGCCTTGCTATCAGTTGAGCGATACAACCACCCATTTCCAATTTGTTTAAAATACACACCCAATGGGGCTTCAAGAAAAAGCAAGGAAAACTAGCTCTCTTAAAACACCCTAGCAGTTACTGTAAATTACTGCTATAAGAGGCATCGCTACTGACCTTTCTCCAGGAACTTGCTCAGAAGTAATTTACTGCCTGATAGGTTGGAACGGTGGTTTTTTGAAGGAGAGAGGAAGAAATGTGCTCTAAGATAATTTAGAGCTTCTGTTTTTAAGCAAGGGATTAATGAGTTTATTGATTTAATCAGGAAGTACTTCTCTTTTTACAAAAGCTAATGGAGAGCTATGAAGAAGCATGAACTATTAAAAAATGGCCAAAAACCAGCTGTAAAAGATGTTCCCACCCCAAACGGCCCTTTTGTTCTTCCAAAGCAGCACCTGATGGATCCCATCCTAAAGGGGATCTACCAATCCAAGCTACACGGGAAACATGAATCCACTGTATATGAAGAAGCAGTTAATACAAGACAACCTAATCACACATATTTGACCAGTCACTTGGCACCTACCTTCAACACGTCCCAGTACGCCACGTTGTTGTTTGTGTCTTTGGTTAATATGTGTCTTTTGTCATTGAGAATGTGGCACTGAATAATACTAGCACCCCCTAGGGAAAAAGAAAAAAGAAAGGGAGGGGAAACCCAAGTAAATCAGACCATCCATGCAGATCTCTCTGTCTGTAAAAGTGTTTAACACAGAAAGATACACACAAAGCCTGTGTGGGAAAGGATCAGTCGAAAGAAAAAAAAGGAAGATGCCATTTTGAATTGTTTTTAATTTTTCATTACTCAGATGGAACAGGAATAATTAATATTCTGCACCTCTGGAAGCACCATGCAGAATTTTATATGGTGTCTGGGTGCAGTACCTGGTGCCTAGGCCTGGAATCCTGAATTGGCAAGTTTTTACTTTAAAGTGGTGGTGCTGTGGTGGGGAGACACATAAAACAAACCACAGAACAAGGCTCCCATCAGTCATAGTGAGAGATAGTTTCTGCCTGACAGGACCCAAATGTTGAAGAGCCGCACTTCTGTACTTTGCAGGACTCTCTAGCCCCCTTTGCTTAGTCCCAACCAATGTAGATGACAAAAGCCCTGATGCTCAAAGGAACAGATTGATCATTTACACAAGATTTTGCAGAAAGATTAAATCTGGATCAAGTACTGTTTATTTCTCTGCCCCCCGCTGGCCCTGCCAGCCCCAAAGCACTACTTTTAAGTAATTCCCCCAGTGTTAATCGCACCTTTAATAACTTGGTCAGGCTGTGTACAAAGGGGTGTGATTGGGTTGGTACAGTCGTTGTCATAGTCCCCTGAAGCTCTAAAGTTGTGAATTCCTTTCAAAGTCTAAAAAATAAATAAAATGAAAGCAAGGGGAGAAGAAGTAAAAGGATCATAATTAGATTCCACTACACAATATGGCCTCTGCCTCCTTCTTCAAAGGATCTTTCTCCACCTTGGGGGAACGATTTGTCCAGTTTCCATGATGGCCCTTGTGAAAAAACTACAAATATTCGGACAACATCATGCCACAAGTAGAGGACCTGATGAATCAAGGTGCAAAACTGGTCCAGAAGGCAGAAGCATCAAGCTTCACTCATGCCACACTCTTCTATGCAAAGTGCGTAAAGCAGATGAGTCAGTAAAGGTAAAGGGTAAAGGGACCCCCGACCATTAGGTCCAGTCGTGACCGACTCTGGGGTTGCGGCGCTCATCTCGCTTTACTGGCCGAGGGAGTCGGCGTACAGCTTCTGGGTCAGGTGGCCAGCATGACTAAGCCACTTCTGGCGAAGCAGAGCAGCGCACGGAAACACCATTTACCTTCCCGCTGGACGTGCTTTCAAACTGCTAGGTTGGCAGGAGCAGGGACCGAGCAACGGGAGCTCACCCCGTCGCGGGGATTCGAACCGCCGACCTTCTGATCGGCAAGTCCCAGGCTCTGTGGTTTAACCCACAGCGCCACCCGCCATCCTAGATGAGTCAGTAGGTGATATCTAATGTTAGTCAGCCTCAGAGTAGGCCACTTATTTAAATGGGTCTACTTGTGAGTTTGACCAACACTGGATATTGCCCAGTGATGGATGCATGTATATTTTAGTATGGTGGAGAGAGTTCCATTTATAGATGAGGGATTCTACAACTTTGCTCAAGTGAGCTTCCCAAGATTATCAAGGAAGGATCAATTATGCACAACTGGGCATATGTAAATTTACACAGGTTTAATTCATTTCTTACCCACTTATTCACAGATGATTTTGTTGTTGCAACCCAGAGTGCTGGAGGAGGGTCAGCTGATCGATCTAGCTCCATCTGAACAATCAAGAAATGAGAAGTGTTACATCATCTTTCTACTGGTGCACACCCATACAATATACAGTATACTCCTTTATACCAAGTGGAACATAGAATCATAGAATTTTAGTGCTGAAAGGGGCCACATGTTTCACTAGGAGTAAGAAGGAACAGAACCCAGGGCAGAACTAGGCTTCAGGTTAAAATAATAAAATCAACAGTTCCAGTACAATTGGCAAATTTGCTTTTGAAATTCAGGTGTCAGGTTTCTATATGCATAGTGTACAGATGTATTTAAAAACTGAATTTACAGATGAGATTTATCATAACACACAGTACTGTTCTAACACCTACTATATGTTCCTGCTTATCTTCCTTAAAATTGACAACCCATCTCACAGAGATAAAGGCTCCATCTCAGAGGGCGGCATGATATTTTTAAATAAAGCTTTACTTTCTAGATGTGTTTTCCAAAGACTGAGCAGATTTCAGCAACCCTGTTTTTCTAGTTTGGTTGTACACTGTCATTACTCTATGATGGTAAGTGGCTGAAGTATTGTGGAACACATCCGAAGGTTGGCCTTGTTATTAAGTTACAGGAGTTAACATATCCAAATTTAGAAAAATAACAGTCTATATTTAAGCCACAGCCACAGCAAAATTATTGATTTCAAAAAACAATATGAATAAAGCAACATTTGTCATAAAAAAACCACCATGTTTATGTTAAAAAATGCCCAGTATTTATGTCTCATCTCCTTACAGATGCAAACAGTGAGGAAGGTTCTCATTTATGGAATATACACCTTTAGGTGGCGGGCGAAAACATTCCTCTTTAACTAGGCCTTTGGCTGATTAACATCCTTAACCCTTTTTAATGTGTTTGTGGGAGGGGGTGGGGAAAGAGGGGGGAGTTACTGTTCCGTTGTTCTTCTTTTTATTATTTATTTTGTGTTTTTATATTGTTTTTATGCTGTGGACTGCATTGAGATCTATGGATGAAGGGCGGTATAAAAATTGAATAAATAATAATAACTACGCCCTCTCCACAAATGATGTCCCAAGTTGTATTATGCATTTCTACACTTGCCACCCAGAACAGTCAAGCTGTATCTGATGGAAACAAAAGGAGGTTTGCAGCTCTACTGATAGTAAGTTTTACCAAGATGTATATTAAAAAAAATTGTTATGTATATTACCTTAAGGACAGGTGCCTTTTCTTCACAAATGAGCACCCGAATATCAGGATTTCGTAGATCTGTACAGTATATCTTTCTGTCTCTTCCACCTGAATATACGTGAGTGAAGGCTTCATTGACTTGAAGTGCCCATACACCCTCATCATGGACTCTGTATGTAGCTATACATCTCTGCTGACCAAGGGACCAGAGTCTGATAGTCCCATCAGAGCTGCCGGAAAGACACTGTAACAAGAATGGTTGTTCAATTTTAAACAATTACATATCCAATAAAACAGTGAGTAAATGTTTAGTTCTCTAAAGTCAACATGCAAGTCCAGTTTTCCTTCCGTTCAATCTGTTTTTCCTATAGAATGTTACAGTTTCATTTTACAACAGAAATAACGCACACAAAAAACTTATGCCAAACAATTCTTTTTTAACCCCCCCCCTTTTAGCTTGTTGGTTCTAGCAAAGTATTTAATTACAGTTGATGTTTGCTCAAATATGAAACAAAATGCATTGTGTTTGTTTCAACAGATTTCTTATTAAGAACTCAAAGCCGATCTTGCGGAATAAGCAATGCAAAGGGCTGAGAGGATATTATTGCACCACAGAGAGAAATCTTCCCCGTACAGCTAGTAGCCTTCACAGTAATGTGATATCAAATGCATACCTGTGTGCCATCTCTGTTCAGTAGCAAAGCTTTAACATTGTCTGTGTGCCCCTTGAGTTTCATAAGCTTTGCACAGGTTCTTGGATCCCAAACCCTTAATACCTGTTGAGGGGGGAAAAAACCTCTGATATATTACAATGGTATTGTGATCCAAACTCATTTCCTAATTTTTAAAGGGTCTTCACACTAAAGCCAATTCAATTTAGGTTTCTTGAATAGGCACCAGACTCTTTGACTCTTTTAGAAAGTACAGTGGTACCTCTGGTTGCAAACGGGATCCATTCCGGAGCCCCGTTCTCAACCTGAAAGGAACGCAACCCGCGTCTGCACACGCGCGGGTCACAATTTGCCGCTTCTGCGCATGTCATTTTGTGCGTCTGCACGTGCGCGAGTGGCGAAACCCAGAAGTAACCCTTTCTGGTACTTCCGGGTCGCCGCGGGGCGCAATCTGAAAAAACGTATCATGAAGCAAACGTAACAAGAGGTATGACCGTACAACAATGGCAGGCTCCCCACTACCCGAAATCATAGCCTCATGATTCCCAATGCCTGGAAGGTAGGGGAGAGAAAGAATAGTTGGGTTCTGCTAAATGGCCTCCTACAATGGAGTGCTCTTCCGGCAATGAAGTCAAACCACTGCGTTAGCAGCACTGAAGTGACCTTCCCAAGGGGCAAGCCTGGGCAGTGTGCATGGAGGTCCTGGGCTACCCAGATGACAAGACACCCCTCTCGACCTGGCTGATGTGGTCCAAAGGAAAGCAGAGCAATACGTTTGGCACAAGATTGGCTGCAGGAGTTGCCAGAAGGTGTACAAGGTGCGTCCCACCATCTTAGGGTCTCTGTTCCGGATTTGTGTAGAATTTACTCCTTAGCCTTTTCTTCTCCCAAAGATATCCACAGACATATTTTGTTTTGTATGTGTGTAGGGATAACAATTGTACTGTAACTACTAAACTCCCTCAGCCCATTATATTGGAGGAATACTTTCAGAAGAAAGAGGACCAAGTGCAGGCCCTTCAGCACCAGGCTATGGGATAAACTTCTCCAGCAGCTTAGTGGGATAAGGCTGTATTATAAACCCTCCAGCTCCAATAAGTATCCTGTTGGATTGGACAAAATGTCTGCCTAACAACATCAAGCGCAGTCTTCCCAGAGTATGGGAATGTTTAATAAAATAATTGTTCAGGACAGATATTCCTGTTCAGACATTGGAACACTGAAAGATTTGAAATTTATATAGAAGTTGTGCGCAATCTTTTCACCAAGCCAGTGTGTCTGCGTTTGTGTCTTGCTTACCTTTTCAGTGGACCCTGATACAATTACTGTTCCCATCTGATTCATGGCAAGACTGTAGATAGAATCTTTGTTCCCACTGAGGGAAGAAGCTATTGAAAACAAATCAAACATCGTTTTGGATGAATATTTCAAACCAAGAAAGAGCAAGAACTTGGAGTAACCAATTTAAGTAGTGTTTGGCATTAAGAATTTACATTTTGCTGCCACAATACATTTTTCAGCCCATCATTTCCTCTCTTTATAATGGTCACACTATACTTGGAAATGCTTTATTGGGCTGCTGTTAGAGCAATGCAATACCCTCTGCAATGTGTTTTCACCATGCTACAGAAGCAAAGTATATTAAGGGCTGTAATTTGAGGTAAACGTTTTAAAAAGTCAATTCTCATCACACATGGTAAGGTAGCTGAGAGCTACAAGTTTGTACCTTTACCCCGGTGGGAACACTAAGATCCCAACAGAGAACTTGATTTTCTCCCATATAAGTAAATGGCTGACAGACATTAAGACACACTGAAACAAGTGAATTTGACATTGTTACAAACTTCCCCACCTCACCCACTCTCAGGTGGCCTGGCATCTACTCAAACAGAAGCCCATGAAGACTATGTGTTTCTACAGCCAGAACCATTGTAGGCAACTTCTGTCCAGGTTCCAGGAATATATGGGTCCAGCTAGTGTCCCTGTCATTAATGGAAACACTTTCTTGTATTTTATTTGCTTCCTTCTATTTATAGCTCATCTTTCTTGCATTATGGGACCTAGGGTGGAATACATGCCATTCCTAGCAGTCACCCATCTAGGTACTGACCAGACCCACTTAGTTTTGCCTTACATGTCTTCGGACCATATCCTTTTATATCACTTAACTAATATTGTTAAGTTTAAAAACTGACCTTTGAACGCTGACTGGAGTCATTTCTATCTGCCTGTTGAGGCTTACTCTATCAATTTTGTTTCAGCAGTGAACTATTGCTCCAGAAAGTTGTGGGGTTGCAAAATATCCCCCCCTCCATGGCAGTAAAAATTGCTTTGCACAGATCAGCATAAGCTTAAATCCTCTGGGTACTTACTCGTGACAGTGTTATTTGAGGCAGTCAGTGCTGTTAGCGTATTTACATCCCAGAGGAATATCTGTCTGTCCAGCCCAGCAGATGCCACCAGCTCTTTATCTTTTGCATATGCCAAGGCTTTCACATAATCCTAAAATAAGTAAATGGATTTGACAAAAAGGCACTTTAGAACACTGGCACTACTGATTTGACAATCGCAGTCATTACCGTATTTCCCCCTCCATAAGACGCCCCCATGTATAAGACACCCCCTATTTTGGGGGACTCAGATTTAAGAAAATGGCCTCGGCACTATACGTGTATAAGACGCCTCCTAATTTTTATTAGGGGAAAAACCTAGTGTTATACACAGAGAAATACGGTACTTATTATTTATGGCATTTCTATGCTTCCTGTTACCTTGTGGGTCCTTAGTGTTGACATGCAAAATCCCTTATGTGCATTCCATACTTTAACAGTAGTATCGGATGAAGCAGATATCACTACAAAGGAAAAAAGTTACAATGGGTTATGTTTCTGTGGGAACTAGCAAAGAGAATCTGTCCATCCTTCAAGAACTAGAATTTGCATTTACTTGCAAGTAGCTCATATGAAATGATACAAGAGCTGGTATATTCACAGCTCTGGAACTCCCTCGGGTGGGACCCACAAGACCACCTCCCGTCATAGCACCTGGTGCCAGCTAAACACGTGCCAGGCATTTTCCTATTGATTTTTAATTAATTTCCTATGATATTTCTGCCATTGCATCATTAATGTCTTACTTTGCTATATTTGTGATAAGCGGCTTTTGGAAACTACAGTACTTCAAGTTCTTTTGTAAAGCAGTAGACTATAAACCTACTAAGGTACTTCACAAGGTTGTTGTAAGATTACTAAGACAGTGCATGTCTTTGAGAACACAGAAAAACACCATATAAATTAGGATTTACCAATATACATGTAACTCAAAAGAATCATGCAGTGTTTTAAAAGGCACTTACACGTTTTGCCATTGCAGCAGAGTACAATATCATTCACCCAGTCTGTATGATGTTCCATAGATGCTATATAAGGGTCTTGCTAGAATTAAAAAAAAACCCAACACAATTGTGAGTCCTTGCTCCTGTTCCATGGGGCCATTTTTTGCTGTGTTCAGAGCAATTTTTATTTTAAATTTAAAATACAAAAGAAGTAAGAGCAGCAATTAAACACTAAATCAAACCATAAACCATAACTTTGATCTCAAGATTACTAGAGTAAGGAAAATAATTAATATGATCTAGCATCACCACCAGATTTCAGTTACAGAAGTGGGAGGGGAGGGAGAAATCGCACATCATTTGACAAATTTGCTTTCAAACATTTCATTTTCTCTTGCTCAGGCATAGAAAAATAGCTTGTATGTTATTACTGTAGCCCAGATTTTTAAACAAAAAACAAAATCATTCTGACAGGGTGGGGGTGGTCAGAGCAATTATTTTAACAGCATAATTGAGTTAGTGAATCTCACTCAGGATGCTCAAGAAAGCAGCCAGAATTTAGCTCTCAACAAACCACTCTAATTATTTTTAAAAGCTATCTGCTAAAACTCCAGGGAATGAGAACACCTTTTGGATTTGAAGGAAACTGCTCTTTTCAGTATTAGCCAGCATCACCTCCCCAAGTCCTTCAGTCTCTTCACTTTCTGGATGGGACTGGACTAACTCACTATTAGCCAGGTACCAGGAGCTTGGTAAGACCACAGCAGATGACAGGAAAGTAAGGAGTGAGGCAATGGGTCACTCAACCAGTTTCATAAATAGGACAGCAATAGTGAAAACTTGTCAATGTACCTGTACTTTGAGAATTTTAGTTGCAAACCACTTTGGGAGCAAAAATGAGTTGAAAGGGGGTACCGTATTTTTTGCTCTATAAGACTCACTTTTTCCCTCCTAAAAAGTAAGTGGAAATGTGTGCGCGTCTTATGGAGGCTGCACAGCTATGCCAGAAGCCAGAACAGCAAGAGGGATCGCTGCGCAGTGAAAGCAGTGATCCCTCTTGTTGTTCTGGCTTCTGAGATTCAGAATATTTTTTTTCTTGTTTTCCTCCTCCAAAAACTAGGTGCTTCTTATGGTCTGGTGCGTCTTATAGAGCGAAGAATATGGTATATTCCCAAAGGAGCTAAGCCTTGCCCCTATGTTTTTTAAAAGTCTGCTGAAAACAGTGTTGCTTCAGTGGCCATTCTTAAAGTAAAATCTCTAAATGTGGTGTTTATTGTGGGATTAGTGCTCCTCATGCATGCAAGTTTTCTTTTTTGCTTTGCAGTATCCACACATGGTTGGTATCAAACTGCACAAAATACACAGAGAAAATCTTGTATTAAAAAAACCCTTTGTTGCCAACAAGCCATTTGGAATAGCTCTCCACTGCTCATTAGCAATATTAAGTCCCTGTTTGGAAGCACTGTATATCTTGCCTTCCATAAATACAAACAAGAGATTTTCGTTTTACACCAAATTAGACAAATGTTATTGTGACTGTGCTTTCTTATCTAAAAAAATTGAAGATGCTAATGTACTTGGTAAGAATGATTTGCAGTGTTTGCCGATACAACACAAGAGTGGCCTTTAACGGTGTAAGATACTCTTCATTGGCTGCATCTAACATTCTAAGCCCATCTTTTAAAGCAAAGCTTCTGTGTTTGGTTTACCTTGTGCTGGTTGACGCTCCATATCCTGATGATGGAGTCTCGGCCTGCTGTAAAAAGTCTGTTTAGCGCTGGGTCCAGCTGCAGTGCATTTACCCCATTTCGATTGTACTTCTCCACCTCATCTCTAATTACATAGGAGACCTAAGATGTGTTGACAGAAATCCAATTAAAGCATTAAGAAGCCTCAGATAGAAGTATTTTGTTTTGCCCACTCATTTTCAACAAAACTTTCCATTAATTTAAAAAATCATCATCAGGAACACATCAACATCCAATGCACCATACACAAGCAACTAAGATATTAGAGAAACGGGAGACAGAGAGCGCCTTTGCCCCGAGTCCATTAAATAATGCTGGAAGGAGGAGGAAAGATTATTCCTCATCTTTCTATTATTTATGGAAATGACATAATGGAGCAAGAAAAATGCATTTGCAGTTGACAACAGCGAACACATTATATTTACACAGAGTTAGCAAATGTTGACTGGTTTTGCACTACTATATGATCACACTGCTCAGCTCTTCAGAGTGGGAGAACTGCATACACCAAGGGGGGTGGACTTCAAGCTTGTGGGATCTACCATGTCTTTTCATTAGAATCCAAGGTCCATTAATTTGATCCAGCTGCAAAATAGTGACCTAGCCAAGTGGACATAAGTAAAGAATTAAGGGCCACGATGAGTCCTGGAATTTGCAAGCAGCCCCAGAACTAAGCTCCCAAATCCTTTCACAAAAATATCCACACCTGGTTTTCTGTGAAGCTTTCTTTTTCAGCAATCTATCTTAGCAGTGGTTTTCAACCAGTGTGCCGTGGCACTTGGATGATAGTCAGGGGTGCCAAGGGCACCACTGGCCTCTGTCCCTCTTTCCTTCCTCTGATGCCCTCTCTGCCTCCCAAAGGCTTGCAGAGCTGTTTGTTGCAGCAGTCCTGGCTACAAGCTCCCCAGGCAAATGGTGCCTCTGGGGCTGGCCGGGGGATGCTTCCCACACCCCTGTATGGCAGTGTGAGGAGGCACCTCTCTTTGGGGCAGAGGAGGGCAGTTCAGAGACCAGAGGCAGCAGCTGTGGCTGCCCAGAGGACTCCCAAAAAGAGAAGGCTGAGGGAAAATGCCACAAGGGAGGGTGTTTGAGAAAGGGTGAGAGGCTGCCAGAATGTAGTTGGTCAAGGGAGCTGTGGACTCAAAAAAGTTGAAAAACTATGGTGTAGGGAGATTTTTTTTCTGTTGTTGCTAGGGTTAGACAAACCAGTAGATGCCGATCTACCTTACTGTCACCTTTGGCGTACAACAACAGTGATAACTAGACTAAGGCACTCCTTTAGAACAGCTTATAAAACGCAGATTGATAAGTGGAATCTTATGCACCTTTATTCCAGAAGATTCACCCAGTTCAACAGTTCTTACATCCAACTTAAAGCATAGAGGATTACAACTCGGAAGGTTGTAATCCTTCAATAAACCTTCTTCACTGAAGGTTTTTAAGCAGAGGTTGGATGGTCATCTGTCATGGATACTTTAGTTGAGATTCCTGCATTGCAAGAGGTTGCATTAGATGACACTTAGGGTCCCTTCCATCTTTGCAATTCTATGAGTCTGTGACAATTCCACTTACAAAAGCTAGCCCATTGTTTTCCACAAGAAACTAAGCATTCATATGTTAGGTCTACAACTTGAATGCTAAATGTACTACTTACAAATATTAGGAATAATCAACCCCCAAAATTGAGTCAAGAGCACTAATTTCAGCCCAAAGACAGAATGATTTCAAGCATCAAAAGATGCTTGTGTGTGTGTTTCCCCCTCTGGAAAATTATATGATTTATCACTTTCGTGCAGTAAAAACAGCTTACCTCTGCAGGAGTTAGATTTCAAAGGATGATTTGGCATTTTGCAAGCAGATGGTACTAATACATATAATGTGTTGTTCACACAAAGTTGTACACTAAGTTTTGCAATTCATATGCCTGAAGTATTCCATACCAGTATATAAAACAGATTACAGTGGTACCTCGGGTTAAGAACTTAATTCGTTCTGGAGGTCCGTTCTCAACCTGAAACTGTTCTTAACCTGAGGTACCACTTTACCTAATGGGGCGTCCCGCTGCCGCCGTGGTGCGATTTCTGTTCTCATCCTGAAGCAAAGTTTCTGGGTTAGCGGAGTCTGTAACCTGAAGCGTCTGTAACCCGAGGTACCACTGTATTGTTATCCAGGATTAAGAATTGCAAACTCTACTCCTTTCAGCTTTGAGAACAGGCAATAAAAAATATGCTATGCATCAGAATCTTGATGAGTGCCTCTCAGTTCAACTTTCATGGAAGCAAAGCCACACAGGAGGATGAGAACCAGGGGACAGAAGGGCTCACTAGCCCAGTGATATTCTCAAATAGAAAACTGCATCTAGGTTCTATGTTGCATAGGTCAACAAGAAGTATGACTCATGAGCGTTTTTTGCTTGGGGCTCAGACAGGTAAGTGAACAATCCCCAATGAGAATATTATCTGTTACTAGAATCTATCTACTCAAATGTTGCCCAGAGCTGTATGCAAGGATCAAGAAGAACAGACATTTCTGCACATTCATCAAGATTGTGTTAACTGAAATGTCTAGCCACAGAAAGACAGACATTTGGCTGGGTTTAAACAACCAATTGTTAGCTAAGGCCTCCTACAGCATGGTCTGGAGGCACACAAGGAAGCTACCTTGCCCAAGCAAAGATAGGGTGGGTCTGATTGACACCTGGATGGAAGACCATGTAGGAATCCCATGAATGCTACTTTGAGTTCCATGACTGAAGAAAGGTGGGCTATACATTGGGGCCAGTTCACTAAAGCCTTTTCAGTTATCCAGTAGGCAATTTAATTCAATAAATGATATTAATCCTAGTCCACCATTTGCAGTTAACCATTGTTGTTAAGGAGCCACACAGAGAATACCAATATTATAAAGGGCACTTCACCACCCACAAGTACTGCTAATTCTGAAAGGAAACAGTTTGGGAATATAAGTAGCAGCAAGAATGACCATGCTATGCAACTGCAACTACAACACAGGTTCCACCATGTGGGTGCAATGCAATTTGAAAGCGGTTGAAGTCTCAACTCAATTGCCAATTCCCCCTTGAATGACTGGGAGATGCCTTCTTCATGGAAGGTCATGTGTACTGCAGCAGGGAAGGGAAACCTGCTCCCATCAGCCTATTTTCTACTGCACTTTGTTGGCTTCTATTTGTATTTTAAATTGTTGTTATCCACTCTGATATAACTTATAATGATACAGACTGTTTAATTTTCTCTCCTTGCCACCCAAAAATATGGGAGAAAGGGGGTGGCAGAAAGAGGGAAAAAAATGAATGCCACAACCTCTATGAGCTCAACCCTGACCAGCATACAGCCTTTGACAGATTAGTTACTTTTGAAGCAATATGGTATGGTACATGAAAGGTTCCTCACCCCTGCTCTCTAGGTTTACCTGTCTCAAAGCTGAGAAACTTCCAAACAAAAAGGATCATGGGGCATTAGGCAGGTCCTCACAAACATCGGTTTGCTTTGATCACAACATTTGGAGTAGTTGAAGATATGTGCCCTTTTGGTCTGTATGCTACCATTATTTAATTCCTATTTTATTTATTACAACATTTATTTTCCACCTTTCCTCCAAGGAGCTCAAGGTGATGTAGATGCTTCCCCCCCTCCTTATTCTATTCTCACAATACCCTTGTGACATAGGTTAGGCTGAGAGAGGGTGACCTGGGCAGCCTTATGGCCAAGCAGGGATTTGAACCTTATCTTCCAGGTCCTAGTCCAACACTCTAACCACTACACCATATGGGCTCTTATTGAAGGAAATGCAAATGATCTAAATCTTAACCATTTCAGGCAATTTCCAAAATCTAAAATTTGCTGATGGATTCAGCAATTATGTTTTATGGTTACAATTACTACTATAATGGTGTATTCCATAATAGGGAAAGAAGCCATTAAGCCCCATTTACTTTAGCGTAAGTGTCTGAGAATTGTAGCAAATTGCTGCTGCTGAGAATATGCATCAGTAATGTGCAATTTTCTTATTATTGAGACCTTACGTCACCTGCTCATTTAAGGATTATGAGAAAGATATTTTAAATACATTCCTGTATTATCTAAAGCTTTGGTTAGTAATCAGGTCTGCCAGAGTGCTACAAAAAACGGCTACAGTAAGACCAAAGACTCCAAATGCCACACTACTACTTCAATTCCTCTAGCATGTGTAGATGGTTCTGGAGAGAGGCAAGAATTTATCTCATTTGTGCTGTGGTATAGACAAGGAAGGAAACAGTAGGAATATCTCCTGCAATTTCTCATAGGAATGCAAACTTTGACAACAAAATGCAAGAAGAAAAGAAATTTTAAAGAATTTCACTATGTTATTTAAAAATATTAATAAAAAATATGTTAAGTACTTCAAAAGCAGAATACAGTCCAAAGTGTGTCCATAGCTGGTTAAAGACAACAAAGGAGTTAAAGATCTGCTGAAGTAGAAGGAGGAGATTGCAGAGAAGCCAAATGATTTGCATCTGTCTTCACAGCTGAACGTATAGGGCAGATACCTATGCCTGATTTGACGTTCTTAGAGAGTTTAAAGAACTGGAATGAATTGAAGTGACAATTATTAAACTCTAGGCTTTATCAACATATAAAAAAGTAAGATATCATTGAGTTCATCTGAGAGTTCTTAAAGAGCTGAAATGTAAAACTGCTGATCTTTTAACAAAAATATGCAACCTGTCCCTAAGATGGCTTCAGTGCCTGATCACTGGAAAACGGCTAACATAACTACTTTCTAAAGCTGTTTTTATATATGCTGTAAGCCACCCAGAGTGGCTGGGGCAACCCAGCCAGATGGGCGGAGTAGTAATATTTATTATTATTATTAACCATACTTAGCATGGCATGTACAATTCAGGAGGTGAACTTATAGAGGTAGAAACAATGCAGAAAAGGACAACCGAAATGCTGCAGCAACTCCATTATAATTAATTAATGTACTACTTATATGCCAAAATGGCTTTGAAGTGGTTTACAACCATCAAATCAATGAATTATTAAAATATACAGTGCTATTAAAACACCCTTAATTAAAATAAATAATAAAACAGTTTAGAAACATAATTAAAACATTTTAAAAACAGTTAAAACAATAAATTCACAATTAAATTCAGGGAAATGCTTGGCTAAACAGGTGCGTTTTCAGGAGCTGGTGGAATGTCAACACTTATGGTGCCTCCTGTATTTCAGCAGCGTGGGCATCCCACAAACACAGTTGCTACCAGTGGAAAAGCCCATCTTTATGTTACCACTAGCCAATGATAATCAGGTCATGGCAAAACTAACTGGGCTCCATTAGCTGATCTCCTTATGTGCAACCTCTCATGACTCAGGTTTAATGGAAAAACAGAGCTGACATCAGTATACTGGTGACACTGTGACCCAAACCTCCTGATGACTGCTCCCAATGGCTTCATAGGGATGTTAAAAAGCTTTGGGAGAAGAGGTTACAATGCTGGGGCGAGTTTTGGATTTAGAAAAAAAGATAGAGGTTTATAAATAATTCACTCTTCCCTTCCTGTCATAACACTAGAACCAGGATGGCTCAGGACCGCAATACCTCAAGGATCGCCTCTTCTCATATGAACCTACCCAGTCCCTGAGATTATCTTCTGAGGCCCTCCTTCATGTGCCTCCTCCTTAAGAGGTCCGGAGGGTAGCAACACAAAAACGGGCCTTCTCTGCAGTGGCTCCCTGTCTATGGAATGCTCTCCCCAGGGAAGTTCGCCTGGCACCTTCATTATATACCTTTAGGCGCCAGGCAAAAATGTTCCTTTTTAACCAGGCCTTTAGTTGATCTGATTTACATCCTATGCCCATTTTAATTGTGTGTGGGTTTTTGGGGGGGGGGGGTTATTGCTTTTGGTTACATTTTATATGTTGCAGTCTTGTGAACCGCCTTGAGAGATCCAGGTATAAGGCGGTGTATAAGTGAATTAATAATAATAATAATAATAATAATAATAATAATAATAATAGAAGCAGAGGTCATCCAATAAAGCTGAATGGTGAGAGATTAAGGATGGGCAAAGGGAAGTAATTCTTGATACAACACATTGTCATACTATGAAATTTGCTCCTACAATATGTGGTGATAGAAATTAACTTGGACAGCTTTAAAAGGCAAGAGGCAAAGGAACACATCCTTCTATATCAAGGCATTTCAGTTTCTAAAAACTCATAGGCAACTGGATTCCATATTGTGATGTCACTGTGTTGTTGGAAGGATGATGAGATAACTGAGCCAGTCATGGCCAATTGTTATCAGCTATTGTGCTGCATGGCAATAAGGATTTGAACCCAGTTCTCCCTGATCCTTGTTGTTTAGTCGTTTAGTCGTGTCCGACTCTTCGTGACCCCATGAACCAGAGCACGCCAGGCACTCCTGTCTTCCACTGCCTCCCGCAGTTTGGTCAGACTCATGTTTGTAGCTTCGAGAACAACGTCTTCGAGAACACCTGATCCTAGCCTAGCCCATTACCATTGCACCACACGGGTCTGCTACATAAACTTTTCAATAAACTGAGCCATAATGAGGAAATAATTGACAGATATGAAAAGAGATAAGTTGAGGGTGTCTGTGGAGAACCCCCCCCCCAAAAAAAACCCCTCAAATTGTTAGTTTAGCTATGGGATACATTATCGTCACAGAAACATTTAACCCCCTTGTGGGGCTTAAAAATCTATTCACACTAAAATTTTATTTTTCCTCTATTCCAAACTCCTAGAATAAAAAGCAACTCAGAAGAGTGGAAAGATAAACCATGGAAACTGATCATTGCCAGCAATTTTTATGTACATAACCACGTTCTTGAGCCTCTTTGTGAAGAACATTCAGAATTCAACAAGCAGAGTTCCCCTTACATGACAAGTCTAGCCAGAGTGGATCAACAAGGCCCACAGCCTACATTAGCCAGTCTGTTTCCATCAGCTACAGAGGTGTCTGGAACCTAGACTATTATGCCCAACACATATACTTAGGAAGCTGCCTAGTAATAATCACATTATTTCTCCATTTAACTTGGTATTGTCCAAACTGACTGGATTTCAGACAGGAGTCTTCCCCAGTCCCACCTGGAGATGGTGAGAACTGAACACAGAATCTTTTGCATGAACACCAGATGCTCTACCACTACTGAGTGACAGTCTTTTCCCCAAGCTACAACTGAAGCTACATTTCCCCTCTGCGCAGATTTTAATTGTAAGTCATCTCTGAGGAACCAATCTTGGCCAAAAAGTACAGTGAGAACAGACACACACATAAACACTACTCAAAAGGAGATAGCAGACATTAGTGGTAGAGTTCCAAACTGTAGCCTCAAACTGTCAGCAGTAAAGATCACTTTTTCAATGCTCTCACAATTAAAGCACTACCTTCATGTAATGTTTAATTAACATTTAACTTTCACCTCTACTCCAAGGAGCCCTGGGACATGTACATGGTCCTACGCACCCCCACTTTATGTCACAACAACCCTGTGAGGCAGGTTCGACAAGGACACAGTGACTGACCCAAAGCCACCCAGTGAGTTCTATGCCCAAGTAAAGATCTGACCTTGGATCGCCCCAGCACTAGCTACTACACCCACCTATTCGCTACGGTGTGTGGAGAAGGTGTTTGGGCTTTGGTGTTTTTAACACCGGGGGCGCAGCTGGCGGAAACCGCGCGCTGAAATACTAACACCCACAGGCAGAGCCCTGAAGCGGAAAAGGCCAAAGCATCACAATCTCGTTACTTCCGACGCGCGGGACAAGACGATGACCACTTCGCAAAGGGGGTCCCTAAAGCAGCTTCTTCCGATCTCTCCCGCCGTTAAAGCGTCAGCAGCTGAGGACGGGGAGGAGAAAGCCAGGGTCTTGCGGCAATTTCTCTAGCTCCCAGAATATCTTTCCCAAGCTGAGGCCGCTCCGCCCTTCATCCCTCCCCCACCCGGCTTCTTCCCGCGCTTCCTCCAACCCGTCCCCTTCCTCATCCCGGCCCCCGCCTTTAGCGCCGTTTCCCCCGGCCTTTCTCCCTCCAGCGAGGCCGCGGGGCCCCCGCGCTCTCCTCCTCCGCCCTTCGGCCAAGCCTCCCCCTCCAACCGGCACCGCTTCACTCCCTTCACCTGCACTTTCCGCCGCCCCGCCGTGTTCTGTCGGTGATGAGCCGCCATCTTGCATGTTGACACTCTGTCGTCACGTCCGAGCAGGGGGTGGACAGGGAAAGGAGAGGCTGGAGGCGCTCCGGAAGTCCCGCCTCAGGAGGCTCCTGCTCCTGCTGCTACTGATGCAGCCGCACCCCTTTCAAATCTCGGGCAAGCGGGGCGAGTCACAGTAGTGGAAGGGACGAAGGACGTTAGTGGAAGGGGCGTGGCTTGCGCGGTTGCCATGGCGGCCGTTATTGTGAGGGATGTCGGCGAACCGGGCGAGGAAGGAGGGGTACTTGGTCTCGCGAGATTTGCGGGGGCTGGTCTAATCAGTAGGGAGAGAAGGTGACAGTTGGAAACGTTGCTCGCGCTGCTCCTTCTCTCTGCCCCACCCCCCACCGAGATGATAAAAGGGCGCGAGGTTCGGCTGTGTGGTACCTCAGTCAGAGCTCGGCTTTCCCGGGCTTTCTCATGTTTGCCCATATCACATTCCGTTCCACGTTGCCCACACGTTATGGTTATTCATCTGTACGATTCACCTCAGAACCAGCAGGGCGCTGCACGCTTATGTATTTATTTTGGTGTATTAATCGCCCAGCCCCATGCCTCAGGGTGGGCAATACAAGTGCCCCTAACAATAAAGTTAAATTGAACTTATCGAAGTTCCCTCACCTTTTCATTAGTTGAGTACCCAAAGGTCAGCACAAAGACATCATAAAATAACCCCCCAAGATTATTGCCCTTTGCTGACTGTATTATCAATATTGCAGCAATTATTAAGTCACTTTTTAGAGTGAAAAGGCTGTGTACACATTACTGATTAGAAACACAGCTAGTGCTTTCTTTTTCCTCAGATTAGATTGAAGCTGGTTTGGAGAAGAATGCACTGAAACAGTAGTTCAAAGAAACCACAGGATAAATACAGAATATGGCTAATTGTACACTGCTTTGCAAACCGGCCATGAAAGTGTTCTGGATCCATTTTGCCGACAGTTTAAAATTGGGGCGTGGGGGTAGAAGAACCATGACAATGCAAAATATATAAAGTGATCATCCAGCAGCACTTTAAGAAGGACCAAGTCGTTCCCACCACACTAAATGATGAGCAACACCATAAGAGGCAACGTTAATTAACCAAAGGCCAAAGCCTGGTGTCCAAAAACTGACAAATATGGAGCCAGGCATGTCTTCCTGGAAAGAGCATTCAACAAGTGGGGCAGCCACAGAAAATGCCGCCTTCTTTACATCCCTCAGGTGGGGCATGCAGAGAAGGGCCTCTGGTGAAAACTGCAGGGTCAGGGTTTGTTCATGGGGTGGGAGAGGCAGTCCTTGAAATATTGCGGTCCTGTGTATGGTGTATCAAGAAGCAGTATGGTGTATCAAGAGGGAGGCAGTCTTGTGGCATCTTAAAGACTAAGGCAGGGGTCTGCAACCCGCGGCTCTGGAGCCGCATGTGGCTCTTTTACACCTTTGCCACGGCTCCGCGGATACTAGCGAGGGGAGGAGGCGCATTGTGCGCCCCGACACTCCCCACTGTGGCAGGCGCTGTACTGGCTGTGACGTCGCATGGGGCCGGTGCGTGCGTTAGTTACGCACCGTCCCGACGTCACCTTCCCGCCTGCCTGCCCGCCCGCTACATTGTAAGGGGCATGTACGCTGGTCACTGCATTGAAAGGGGGCATGTACGCTGGTCCCTGTTTTGAAGGGGAGTGAAGAACACACACACACCAAAAGGTTACTTGTTAATTTAACGTTTATTTCTATGAGGAGGAGTAATTCTGAGGGGTCAAACAAAGAAATAATAAAAAAGTGACAAAAAAGTTATTTTTATAATGACGAGTTTTGCGGCTCCCAGGTTTTTTTCCTTCGGAAACAGGTCCAAGTGGCTCTTTTTGTCTTAAAGGTTGCAGACCCCTGGACTAAGGGGTTGCCAACATAATGCCCACAAGGTCCCCTTCCTTCAACAAAGTGCAGTTTATCAGAAGCACTGCGTTGTAGCCAAGACAATTGGTTGCAAGTGTGTGCTTGGTTGTCGGATACCCACAATGGTTTCTCCAATCTGCAAGTGGGCTCCAGAAGATTGCCCACCCCCAGTTACTTTTGGTATAAGCTTTCACGAACCTTCCACCAGATGCAAAGTTGAGGTATTATAAAAGTTAAGGTATTATAATAGGATGGCTGGGTGGGATTGCAAGAGAGAAATGAAATATGCAAAGTGCAGAGTGATCATTACATTAGTATCAGTGGCCATTCACAAAACAGTTGTTACTGATAACACAGACATTCTGGTATTGGTAAGCTAATTGATACATTCAAAGAAAATATCTTTATGCTGATTCAAGCAATCGGAGGTAGAATTGGATCACTTGGTGAACTGTAATAAGCAGTTTCACACTGCATGCACTCTTTGAGGTTTCTTTGGGAATGGTCACTCACTCCTAGTGTCCAGGGAGAATGAAATGCAATTTCTGATATTTGTGTAAAGGACTCTTCTGTTTTTGCCATGCAGAATGCGGAAAGGCATTACTAGGTGATTATGGCATATTTCACAATGGAAGAGGAGCAGCAGGATAAATCCCTGATTTGGATGACACCATTAGGTCTCTACAGCCACAGCACGCACTGCAACCTTCTAACAGTTTGACTTCATCCCCAAAGGCGTACTCCTCCATTGTCTCCCAAGACAGATAGATGTCAACAATTAGATCCTGTAACAGTGTTGCCAAGAGATAGGCTGGACACAGCTTAGTAGAAGGAGGTTTTGCATACAATGAATTGTTAATGGCCTCTTGCACCCTACCTCACCCCATTTAATCCTGCATAGAGACCACAAAAAGGGCTTATCTACTGATTTTAAGGCATCTGCTGATCTTACGGCATGGGCAAGAAGGCATAGTTGCACCTTGCTCACTAGAAAGAGAGTTACACAAGCAAATTACACTTCTGCTGTGGCACAAAAATAGGTTAATCATTAACACCTTTTTGTTTTTGTTTTTGTTTGGTAATCATTGTTTATAATACCCCATAGTTAGTTTTCTTGAATAGACATATTTGCATTTCTGTAGCATGGCCGTGATTAATTTGATGTTTAGAACATTAGCCATGGTCTGAATGGGCACAAAGAGATGGCAAGGATTATTGTGTTGTGCAAATTTCCCCATTTATTAAGTGCATACTTGTCCATTTAAAAGACCAAAGAATACTTTAATGCTTATTTGTCTTAAAATACAGCCTTAATGTGTACTTGTCTTAAAAGCTGTTCGCATCCTGTTATTCTCTAAACAGGCATTTAAAATATACACCATCTTGCATCTTTGTATGGTACAATGGAAGGAAACAGGAACCACTTTTTATGCTGAAACATACTTTATCAATTAAAGTGTAGATAAGAGTCAGAGTATATCATCAGCTTATCTGGGAAATCTTTATTACTAACTTCTGTGGCCGTAAATGCCAGCAAACATTTGTGAGCATTGTGGGGGGAAACAGCAGCTGTGTATGAAAAGCTGTGCTCTCTATTCCCGACATGTTTAGAAACAAACTCTCAAGGAATGTGGTATTTACCATTTCTGTCTGTATAGATCACCATAATTTTTTTATTAATATGTTGAAGTCAAATTAGTAGGCAAGATTATGACTAAAATAATAACATGCAACAGTGTAAACTTTTAAATCACCATCATATATATGTGTGTGTGTGTGTTCTCTTTTCCCCATCTAGGTTCTATGCCAGGCTTCCTCAACCTCGGCCCTCCAGATGTTTTGGCCTACCACTCCCATGATCCCTGGCTAGCAGGACCAGTGGTCAGGGATGATGGGAATTGTAGTCTCAAAACATCTGGAGGACCAAGGTTGAGGAAGCCTGTTCTAGGCCATGGAAAACCAAGCAGACAATTTAGTTGGGTCTGTTGCCTGCTTGTGGGAGAAAAGGACAAATCAAGGGGATTGTTCTAAGAGAGTCTTTCAAGTACACAAAACCCTACCCACTTTCTGTTGTTTTTTCTTTTATATTTACCCCATGGTACTTACTTCTGAGTAGCTATTTCACTGTGTTAGCAACAAAAATAAAATAACAAAGTATAAACAGAACTATAGCCTGTAATTTTATTTTGGTTTTCAAAGACATTATGTTGGGCTACTGTGCTTGCTGAATGACCAGAAAAAGTGCTCTAGCTTGCCCCTTTCCCTAGCAGGGGTTTATACACAAAATCAGCAGGTCCATATTTTCATGTTATGGAGCTAAAAACAACTGAATAGGATAGCAGCTGAGTCCTATTCAAGGGCTGGAGGCTATTCAATAAGCCAAGAGTTGGGTCATTCAATATCCATATAGCAAATGATGTGTATATTTTTTGGTAATTTCCTTAACAATTATATATATTGCAACCTTGCATTCTAATCCATGGTCTCAGTGGAATTTACATTTCGGTATGTGTGTATAGGATTGTGCAATTAGTCTATACAGTGCTGTTAATTGACAGTTGAATTGCAGTGTACCAAGCCCAATGTAAGAAGAAAGGCTCTATAGATGCTTATGGGTATCTCCTGCCATGCATTCAGAACCGCACTTACAAATGAAGAAAGGTCCTGCTCAGCTCTTTAAATCTCATCCTGCTACCTTCCTTCTATAGCATACAGATTAATCCCTATATACATCAAAGAGATCTTTTAAAGCAAGAAAAGAAATATTCTATTAATATCAAAGTAGTTGGAATGGCACTGAAAATTAATGTTACGTAATAGAAAATATTGGCTCACTAAGTACATATTTAAGAGACTGCAAGACAGATTGTTACCTAATTGCTCTTTTCCCTTGGTTCTGGTGAGCAAAACCTTTTTGTGTCATTAGCTTCACAGTGTTTCAACAGATGAAATAACTTGTGCCTTTTAGAAGTTGATAATGTAGAATTACTACCATCTCCATTTACTTCCTCATATTATTTTGTTTCCTGTATAATCTCTTGGGATCCAATTTATTTATCTCAAGCCAGAAAGCATGCTCCTCCTCCTTGACATTCCCATTCCATCACAAGTCTGTACAAATTACAGTTTCAGCTTAAAAGAAAGCAAGGAAGGAATTTCTAAAGAATAATGTGGAATCTGACAAAGTAAGGTGAACTGTTTGCTATTTTGGAAAAAGATCAACTTGGAGGAAAGTGTGCTGTATTCTAATGAAATTGATGCTGTTGCACAGAAAAATGTAAGTAATCTTGTTGGCAATGAGAATGAACTGGAAAATGTGAGAAAATTACAGGAAACTGTTGAAAATGTCTTCATTTTTTATTTCACAAAAGTGTGGTCATTTGTATCTGATAGGAATGCTGCTATTTATTTATTTTTTAAGTTCTTGCTTATGAAGAATTATGTAGAATTCTGAGAAGGCAGTGTGAAGTTACTGATTCAATGTACCTTACAGGCATGGCACATAAATTTTGTGGTCAGGAATAAAACACTCGGGAAACATGCAATTGACTGTTCTGGTTTCATTGTTTGTGAAGGGTTTAGAGTTGTACTAAATTGTACAGGTTTACTAGATTCTTACAATAAGAAAGAGTTGTGTTATTATTGTCCACCTTCTTTTGAGCATACATCCTTTTCCATCCCACCCCTATAGCTGGCAAACACCCTGGCTTTCTTATGTTTCAGCTGTAAAATCTACGATTAAAGCTGAATCGATTGTATTGGTGGAGTATCAATGCATCTCTCTGTAAGCTATCTTTTTCAAATTCATTACAAAAACATTTATTCTTGGTTTTAACTCGAAATTCTTTTATGCTTTGGGACTCAGCTTTTCGTTTAGAAGCTTCTCTAAGAATCGGTGGCTGAAGCACACCTGTTCTGTTGTGTTTTTTAATGCATTTACTCTGAAATATATTATTCTGTCCCCTATTTCTGAGTTGCCCCTTGATATGCATTTGAGGGGCAAAAGATAAAAAGGAAGAAATCAAACCAGTTGGCTTATAAGTGAAGATACCAGCATGCCATTTCAAACAGAAAGGTGGCATGTCAACTCACAAGTGTGTTTTACATTTTCATGGGTGCCATGCTCCAACTTGCTGTTTTGAGTATTCATGATCAGTCTTGGTTTTTCTGAAGTATCATTTAATTGTTTCACCTGAAAAAATTGTTTTTAGTTTACAGTAGGGTGGTCCAACACATGACTCGGGGGCTACATGCAGTCCTTGAGGCTGTTTTTGGTGGCCCTCAGCAACCTTCAGGACTTCTTAAAATGGTTTGATTAGCTGCCCTTTTTTGTTGTTGCTGTGAGGTGCACATGAAAACAAACAGCAAAGGCATTTGTAATGTCTCCCTCAACCCAGTGGCAGAGGAAGGGGTCCGCCCCAGGTGCCAGCCAGGGGGTGACATCGCCACGGGCGGGCACCTCCCCCTTGTAACACTCGCACAGATGGGCACTGCCCTATTGGGACGATGCTCGCAGGCAGGCACCGCCCCAAAAGGATACTCGGGCGGGCAGGCGCCTCGCCCTTGGGACGCTCACACGTGTGACGTGTGACGCCCCCGCATGCAACATGCCACTCCCCCACATGCGACATGCCACACCCCACGTGCGACGTGGCACGCCCTTGCCACCCCACGTACCAAAGCCCCTTCCTCCGCAACTACCTCAACCCCTGGGAGGCCAAACGGACTATCCCTCCCCACCTCTAACATTGCCTGGGGCTGCTCTGTGTATATATAGGCAGCGACAAAATATTCATAGCAATAATAATGTATTAATGCAAGAGAGGTATTGCCCTCACCCCCTGGTATTGGACAACTGGATACCTCCACGTATATATTTAAGGCTACAGCCCTGTACAGTATGAATTTTCCTGGGAGTAAGTCTCAGTGAACTTAACAACACTTTCTTATGAGTAGGCACATATAAGGCTTGCACATTCTGACCTGAGCAGGGCTTAATCCCAGATCAGCAGGCACGGAGTTGTGATCCTGTTTTACAGATCGCAGCCTAACAACTTGATTTAGTGCAAACATACTAGGGAGTAGGTTTAGGAGTGCTTACCTTTAATATATTTATTGCTTATACATTATTATTTATTAACTATATTGTGAAAACCTTAATTAACAATATGGAAATTTAATTCAGTATGTGGCCTGCCAGGTTCTGTGTCAAAGTACTTTTGTGGCTCACGTGGTCAGAAAGGTTGGACCACCCTAGTTTACAGTAAGGTTTCTCACCAGATAATGTGTGCCGCTAATTCCAGCGTCAAATTATGTATAAGACTGGCAACCACATATTCTTTGTTACTTATCTGCCTTGTTCACATGTAAAATGGTGGTGAGGTCTGATTTTAGCCCATAATGGTAGGTGCAACATTTTTTCTTTTTCTTTTTTATAAAATATTTATTGAAATTTTACGATAAACATAGATTTAAAGAATTAAAAAAATTGAACCAGAAATTACACATAGAGAGAAGAAAAAAAACTAACAAGAAAAATACCAAAAAGGAGACCTAAAAAGGAGAAAAAAAAAGAAAAAAAGGATGATACAAAATACAAAAAACAGATAGCTAAAAAATAGAGATAAAAAAAAATTTAAAAAAGAAAAAGTCCATTTTTCAATGTCTTTAGGCTCATTTACTTATTTCCTTGACCTCCTCACACCTCCCCTTTTTGTATTCCCATTTACAAAATCCTTTCAGCAAATCCTTACCCTCTTTCATTTATCTTTACTTTGTATCTTAACCTATTATAACTATATATTTTCATCCATATAACTATCAATATTTACATATTCTTATTAACCTTATTACCAAAACCACTTATTTTCAGTCCAACATCATTTTAACATTCATTAATTTTACAGTATTTCTGCAAATAGTCTTTAAACTTCTTCCAATCTTCTTCCACCGACTCTTCTCCCTGGTCTCGGATTCTGCCAGTCATTTCCGCCAATTCCATATAGTCCATCACCTTCATCTGCCATTCTTGGTGCAACATTTTTTCTATGGAAATTTTCTACTACTATATTTATTCACAAAAAAGTGTTTTTAACTCTGCTGGGGGTTCTCTCCCTCTGGAGAGTGTGCAAAGCCCTGCATTTTGAATCTAAGCACCCAGCTGATACATTTGTTAATTACCCACACATGTGTCAGATCTATTTTTCACCTTCACATACAAGTCTGTTTCAAAAATCTGTACAGTACAGCATTGTAAGAAGTTTGGGGTTTCCTAGAAATTCATGAAGGGTTCCTCAATAATGCTAATGGCAAGATAACCTACAAGATAGCTTTGTCCACTGCTGTTGATTTTCTGTGTAATGTACAGTTTCATTCTCCGTTCACAAAAAATGTTTTGAGTCACTTTAAGCTGGGAGTTGATCTAGCTAAGTCATATTCAGAGTAGGCACTTTTACATCAGTGGACTTGTTACTAAAGTTCTGAACTGGCCTAATTCAGACATCTTTAGTTATTATATAAATATGCATGTGAAATGGGAACAGATTGGAAAAAGTGGTATATACATTTTAGAAATAAATAATTTGCACCACTCTAATGTATTGTGGGGTCCATTAAATATTGTTTATCATGTGTGCAGTTTTGCTGATACCATGATATCAACTGACCCTCCCAAATCTTCTGTTATTATGGGACTTTTACTATCTGTGTTATTCCTTTTGTAATCAGAATATTTGTTTGTTCCCAGTGCGAGAAGATGCCAAATTTTTCTTTTTCAACGGCTAGTAATTTCCTTCGGTTTACTCCTGAGACCTTGGATCAAATTAAAAAGAGAATTGCTGAGAAGAAAGCAAAGCATGCCAAGGCCACAGAGGAGGGCAATAGTCAAGAGCAAGAAGAAAATATTCAACCACAGCTTGATCTGAAAGTTTTTAAAAAGCTACCTATTCTATATGGAAAACCCCCTCCTTGGCTCATTGGAGAACCACTGGAAGATGTTGACCCCTATTACAAGGATCGTGAGGTGATACAGTTTCTTTAAAGTAAATTGTAAGAATTTTTGTTACATAAAATGTTTTTGTAAACCAAAAACAAAAATGCTACAGTTTCTTCTTGTGTAGCAATCAATGTAGAAATTGCAAATGAATTTCAGAACAGGTCTGAAAACATTAATTAATTTAATAAATATGATCAAATCTTTAAGCATAGTATCTGGGATTTAATTAAAAAGTCTGTTCTTTGTTAACATTGCTATAAATGTTCACGTACATCTTGGACAGAATACCCATTTAAATGGTACCATGTGCACATTAAAGCAGATCTGTGGACAGGAGCCTAAATGTTCAGTGTTAATTTTTCAGATAACAAGCTGTAGCAATGTGTACAGTTATGAACATTTAACTTTTAATTTTCATGGCACTTACATGCACTTCATTATGTTCAACATTATAACCACTAGACCCAGGCAAAATATATTTTTCAGTGAACATGCTATGAATAAGCATACACAGTCAGAATGATTTGTTGTGCATTCGAGATAAACCTCATACGAAATAATCTCTGCTGAAGTACTACATTTGTATTAATTCATTAAATTAAGATTTTAATGGAGGCCATAAAATCAGTGTCTTTGTCACTGTGATAATGCAACATATTCGTCTTATGCTGGATGAGATTGTGTGCATTCTCTCATCTGGTACAACATGAGGATGCAGTATCACCTTACTTCATTTGTAGCCGTGCCTGCTGTTTTTGTTTGCTATCAGCAATCAGAAGTATATTCAACCCACTGGCCTCTTAATAAAAATAGAGGTAGAATCATTCCATAACTTAAGCAAATTAATAAAACAGCAGAGCAACATCAACTTCCAAACTCCCATTATTTATTTTGCAAATGAATTCCATGGCACGACTCTGATCTGAATCAGGGGCTGATGATTTATTTCATTGCAAAAAGCAGTAAACCGAGATAAAAGCACTGATCTGTGCCATCCTTGTGTGTTTGGCCTTCAGTGAACGGCTACCACTACCCAGTCTTTTATGCAGCTCCTTGTCATAACGATGGATCTCCTGAGTGATGTATAAATAGAATGAGTTGTACTTCTGTGTTTGTCTACTTTCATCTGCAGTCCATATTGTTCTCCCCAGTCAAACTTTATGAAGTTGCAGTGTGTTTATATTTGTAGACAGTAGGTCTATCATGAGAATGTTATATTTAAAAAGCATTTCCATCTATTTTACAGACTTTTATGGTGCTATCAGCCAGGAACAGAATCTTTCGGTTTTCTGCCACCAAAGCCTTGTTTTTTTTCAGTCCTTTTCATCCACTGAGAAGACTAGCTGTGAAAATTTTGATACACACATATCCTTCCAATGGGTTTCCTTCATTCTTAATCTGTTATACAGAATCACAGAGAACTGTTAGTTATATATGTATATATGAGCTTTAATATATATTTCTTAGGATTCCGGAGAGTGACTAATCATTTATTCTATTTTTAATATTTTGTTGGAAGCCACCCAGAGTGGCTGGAGAGACATGGGTGGGGTAAAAATATTTATTTATTTATTAATTTATTATTATTATTATTATTATTATTATTATTATTATCCTGTGTTCTGCAACTTTGCTATGGTCCACTATTGCAGTTCAAAACAAAATTTCAACTGTGTTACTAAGAAGAAAGAGTACAATTTATTATTTAGACCTACAGAAGATCTTGCTAAGCCAGATCCCCTTGTAATTTTCAGTGACAGTTATAATCAGCTGGTGCTCAGCAGGTTGAAGATCTCAGTGTCCTTTCTGTGCTTGAACACATGGCTTACAATTATCTGTTTTGTTTAGATACCTATTTGGACTGCCTGTATTAATTTATATGTTTAAATCAGGATTGATGGAATATTATTATTCTTAATGTCACCTGACAATGTTTATTATTATTATTATTTGCTTTTATCTTTTTTCTATTATACTCACAAATTAAAAACTGAAATAAAAAAAGAAAATGAGATGGTGCAAATGCACCTTTAGGAAAACTGACCATCAGCCATTCTCCTGTGGTGAGTCCATACAATATGAGAGCCACTTGTTTTGCTGGCCCTGTATATTAAGATCCCTTGTCTTGCAGTCATGTTTCATAAAGGTAAATGTAGAGGGACCCCTGACCATTAGGTCCAGTCGTGGCCGACTCTGGGGTTGCGGCGCTCATCTCGCTTTATTGGCCGAGGGAGCTGGCGTACAGCTTCTGGGTCATGTGGCCAGCATGACTAAGTCGCTCCTGGCGAACCAGAGCAGCACACAGAAACGCCGTTTACCTTCCCGCTGGAGCGCTACCTATTTATCTACTTGCACTTTGGTGTGCTTTCGAACTGCTAGGTTGGCAGGAGCAGGGACCGAGCAACGGGAGCTCACCCTGTTGCGGGGATTCAAACCACCGACCTTCTGATCGGCAAGCCTTAGGCTCTGTGGCTTAACCCACAGCGCCACCCACTTCCCCATAAAGGTAGAGGGACCCCTGAATGATCAGAGCTAGTGTAACATGATCCCTTCACCTCAAAACATACAACCCCAAATTATAAACAGTACATGCCCCAAGTGTGCAACTGTAGGCTAGAAATTGGGTTGCTTATGCAACTTTGTTCCATATTCCCTTCACTTCACCCAGAAGTTCATACCCATCTTTAATACCTTGGTTTATTCTATACTGGACACACTAGCCCTGTTTTGAAGGTATGAAATGTGCAGGTAAGGAGGGGAGCTTTCCTACACTCAACATCCATACAGGCAGCAGAAGGTCTGAATGTTGTGGGGTTGGGCATATGGTGAGCTGGCCTGATTTGGACTATGACTAAAAGTGGCAACCATTGCCCCACTGGCGTACAAAGGGGGGGCACCATTTGGGGAAAGGGTGCCATCGTGGCCGCCACCCCAGGATGCGTGCCGCACGCCGCACAACCACGGACATGCGTCACATCTCCGCGGGTGACACGCCCCGCCCCCTAAATCTTCTTTTGTACTTTCAAGAGCTCTTGTTTGGGTTAGACATGGTTCTTGTTTGTTGTTGTTGTTGTTTAGTCGTTTAGGCGTGTCCGACTCTTCGTGACCCATGGACCAGAGCACGCCAGGCACTTCTGTCTTCCACTCCCTCCCGCAGTTTGGTCAGACTCATGTTTGTAGCTTCAAGAAGACTGTCCAACCATCTCGTCCTCTGTCGTCCCCTTCTCCTTGTGCCCTCCATCTTTCCCAACATCAGGGTCTTTTCCAGGGAGTCTTCTCTTCTCATGAGGCGGCCAAAGTACTGGAGCCTCAGCTTCAGGATCTGTCCTTCCAGTGAGCACTCAGGGCTGATTTCCTTAAGAATGGATAGGTTTGTTCTTCTTGCAGTCCATGGGACTCTCAAGAGTCTCCTCCAGCACCATAATTCAAAAGCATCAATTCTTCGGTTACCCAGAGAATAAAGGCAAGACTGTCTACTGTTAAAAGGCTGAAAGGAGATTTCTTCCGATCAACCTCAAGTACTTGAAAATGTGCACGGGAACTACCTTGTATCATTCCTGATGCTGACTATAGCCTAAGGTTCATAACAGTTACTATGCTGAATAAACAAGAAACAAGCAAAGTTAAACTAAAGAAAATGCATTATTTTTAGATTTTTCCTTTTAATTTAAGAGCATGATAGTAAGTAGCATTAATCACATTTATTTTGGTTACTCATATTTTACCATAAACTGTTGAATATTTATTTGTTTGCTTGTTTAATTTATATACCACCTTATACCTGGAGTTATACCCCTTATTTTTCAGTGAAACACTATTTCCTTAACACATCATGTACATTATTCATAGCATTCATAACATGTGTGGTTCTCGTTAACTGTATTTTTATGACTTTAAACAAGCCTCCAGAAAATTACGAAATCGCTGAGTAAGTATCAATCCACACTTCATGTACAATCTATGGACTGAATGAGAATCAATCCATTGGAAGGCAGGAATAAACACAGAAGGGATGCCTGCTTGTAATTGGGAAATACTAGAGGTGCACCTGATATTCAAATAGGTGCACTGAGGTCTACTCAGGTCTGACTTGAGTGGGGGTGAGGAAGTGAATTAGCAGCAAAATAATGCTCATTTGTGCACAAGCCCTAAGTCTCCTATTATACTGTCTTGCTTGGAACTGCAAAAGTAAGGGGAGGGTGAGTCAAACAGCAGCTCATATGTGACTGGTGGGATGTATTTTGCTTTCTGGATCATACAATGTGCAAGCCTTATCTAGCAGTTGGCTCAGAGATGGAAATAAATAAATATTATACAGTAATCGTATAATGAAATCTAACCACACCTTTGCCTACAATGCCATCATAGCACTTCCATTTTTCCTTGGGCTTCATGTGGGAAGTAGCACATGAGTAGCCTTGATTCCCTCCACACTGGTAATGATTTTGTTTCTCTGGCTTTGATTTTCAGGTATATTTTCACAGTTATTTATACAGTTGAATTTGCAGTAAAAATAGTTGCAAGGGGATTTGTTTTGAATGAATTCACCTATCTTCGAGATCCCTGGAACGTTTTGGATTTATTTGTTTTAATTATGACGTAAGTTTTGGTGTTTCTTCTTTGCAGTTTATAATTTTTCATACAGGAGAAAAACTAGAGCTAGAATTCTGCTAGCTTGGCATGTGAAGATGCTGCTGACCTTGGGAGCATTTAAACATATAAGGTGGGAATCGCCTAACAAGTTCTGTCATTGTAAGCCCTGTGTGAAAACTTCTGCTTGCGTAACAGGGCTTTCCCTTCCTTTCCTTCCCATCACAACTCTGACACACCCCAAAATTGGCTCAGGCAATGTGGGGAGAACCCCCAGAACAGTGGGGGAGGGGAAGGAGAGGAGGATAGTTACGTCTGGCAACCTGCACTACTTGCATTGACAGGATATTCACCGTAGGATGATGCTGAATTTCACCCATTGTGGATGTAGTTCGACTTGTTAATCTACTAATTCTAGCTACTATTAGACTTCATGTTGTGCCCTTTGGATGAGGAGTGTTTTGGACTTGTGTCAAATTTTAACTATACGTTGTAGAAATATCCGCACAATTTTGAACAGCCAGTGTGGTGTGGTTAAGAGCGGTAGTCTCGTAATCTGGGGAACCGGGTTCGCGTCTCCGCTCCTCCACACGCAGCTTCTGGGTGACCTTGGGCTAGTCACACTTCTCTGAAATCTCTCAGCCCCACTCACCTCACAGAGTGTTTGTTGTGGGGGAGGAAGGGAAAGGAGAATGTAAGCCGCTTTGAGACTCCTTAAAGGGAGTGAAAGGCAGGATAACAAATCCAAACTCTTCTTCTTCTTATGAAACGGCCAGTCACTTAAACTATGTGTGGAGGTTTGCTTCAGTATAAACTGAATGCTAGTATAGCGTGTGGTGGAATGGAATGGTCTGTGGCCCTGCCCTCCCTGAGTTTACATACACACAAAATGGGACCTTGTGCATGCAAAGTATCTGCTTCACCACTGAGTGAGTATGGCCCTTTCCCAAAAACAATAAACACACATGAAGCTTCTTTATCCCAAATCAGATGATAGGTCTTTCTAACCCACTGCTGCATGCTCCTGGCAAGCAGTAGCTCTGCTTGAGTTTCCTGCTCCTTGAGATCCCCCCCCCCCGGAAGTGTGGGAGATTGAACCCAGAGCCTTTGGAATATTTTTTTAAAAAAATAACATTTATTGCTTTTAAACCTTACAAAAGGAAGGGGAAAAAAAGAAAAAAGAAAAGAAGAAGAAATGCAAAGGAGAAAACAATACGATACAATATATAAACAATACAGAACACAACATTAACATTAACACGTTAAACAAAACAAAAGCAAATACAATTGAAAAAAGAAACTCTTTCTCTATTTTCTGTCATGTAATTATCTTAACATATTTTAACCTTATTTTCCATTAATACTATAATACTTATTTATGCTTGATTCCTTAAAACATTTCTACTAAAGCCGTATAATTCCCTTCCAACATTTTTCTAACACTCATTAATTTTACATTATTTCCATATATAGATTTTAACCTTTTTCCAATATTCTTCCACCGTCTCTTCTCCCTGGTCTCGGGTTCAGCCAGTCATTTCCGTCAATTCCATATAGCCCATCATATACAGAGCCTTTGGAATATTAATGCTGTGTCCTACCCCTCAGTTGTAGCCCACATGCCACACTAATAGCCCATTGTATGGGGGAAGCAGGGATTGGCGGGGGCAGGTAAGAATATGTGTGCAGAATACAAACTATAGCTACCAGTAGCATTGTCTTATAAAATGATGAGTCTGTCGATATCTTTTTTCATATTTTGAAATTTTCAGGTACGCAGCTTTGGCTTTGCCTTTTAGTAGCATTTCAGCTATCCGAATTTTCAGGGTTCTGAGAACTTTAAAAGCTGTTTCTGTAATCCCAGGTGAGAGGCTCTTTTTCTTGCTTTGTCTGTTTGTTCAGTTACTAAATTTGTCTTCCACCTTTCACTCAAGGAATTCAAGCTAACCCAAATAAGAAACAGTTAAAAACAATCTATTATGAAAATTCAATGAAACAGTAAGTCACAAAAGAGAAAAGTTCTGACAACACCACAATTTATAGATTAAGGTTACCAGATTTTTTTTTCAATGAATCCAGGGACACTTTTCAACTTCAGTAGGAATGATAGGATTTTGTCAGGGGACTGATTTGTAAATCCAGGGACTGTACCCGAGAAACAGGGATGTTTGGTAACCTTATTATAGATCAAAGCTGAACTTTAAATGGTACCAGAAGACTATAGCCTATAGGGAGCTTGTTCAAATTCTGGTGCACTTCCAAAAACAAATCAGGAGACAGACACTATCAGAAGGTGAGACACTGTTATGCACTCCCATCTCCCCACCCCTAAAGCACATTGCAATAGTTGGACTTCAGGACTATGCTTTCCATAGCGTAGACCCATTAGATGTCAAAGCGATAAACAACTACCTGACATTCAGAAGACATCTTAAGGCAGCCCTGTTCAGGGAAGTTTTTAATGTGTGATTTTACTGTATTTTTGGTTTCTGTGGAAGCCGCCCAGAGTGGCTGGGGAAACCCAGCCAGATGGGCGGGGTACAAATAATAAATTATTATTATTATTATTATTATTATTATTATTAAGATAATAGCTGAGAAACATAATTCAAAAGGGCTGTAGTTTTTGTCCTCTGTTATCAGTCTGTATAATATTTACTCTTTGTTCATAGGACTGAAAGTCATTATAGCTTCACTTCTTCAGTCTGTCAAGAAGCTTGCCAATGTGATGCTGTTGACAGTTTTCTGCTTGGCTGTCTTTGCCCTGGTTGGCCTCCAACTCTTCATGGGCAACTTAAAATATAAATGTGTCCATGCTTCTTACTTGAATAAGAGCATCAGCAAGGAGGAGTCATGCACATTACAGGATTCAGGTAAAAACACCCTCCTTTAAATCTGTAGCATATTGCTTACATAACCCTGGTACTTTTTGTACTGCCAAAACAGTGTTTTACTTTTGGATCATTCCTAAACTGGCATTTATAAATTAATACAAGAGCATCCCACGCACCATATTATTATGTGGTTTTGAAGTTTCATTGAACCATGTTGAGTCAGATTTAGACTTTATATTTTGCTAGCATCTTTATTTGTGTAAGAAGTAATAGTAACAATAATAATGCTGTCATATGACTTGAGCTGAATTATGTACGGCACACAGACCAACAGCACAATTCAGCCCAACGCAGACCTGGATTTTTATTTTTTTTAGAGGGTCTGGAGAGAGAGTTCCAAAGTTGTGGAACCACCACCTGGAAAGCCCTATTCCTAATCCCTCCCCATATAATCTGGGGCTTGCCATTCACTGGTTCCTCAACCAATCCTCCATCTGCATCTTTCTAACTCAGCCAGCCCATGACATAGCAACTTCCAGCTTGATTTCTCTTCTCTTTCTTCCATGTGGGATATAAAGGGGAAGGAGATTGGAATTCACTTATTGGACTTAGTCTATCCAGCCTTGGCATGAGTAACCTAGCCTTATTGATGAATTCCTCTGAGGAGTCAAGGACCCCAGTGCATCCCATGGTAGTGATTCTGCCTCTTTTGGAGCAATCGCCTTCTGGCAGGAGGAAAGAGAGTTTAAGGAGACATCCTGAGGGGCAGTCAGAATGCTACTGAGATGGATGACATTCTGGTGAGGTGGGGCCTTCTTCTGACTCCCTCCCCAACTGGTGACTGAAAGCAGATCTCTTCCCTCCACTCCACAGAGAGTGAATTTTCTTCTGCTATCTTTGGGACTGGTACTCTTTTGGGAGAGCCACCTGGGCTTCAGTGTTGACTTATGTGAAACAATGCAAGCGTAGAGTGTATGCATCAGCCAACATGTCCTTCAGCAAGCAGGCACTGCAGGAGGTGGTTCAACAACAGGGTGGGGGAAGGCCACAGGAGAGCCTACTCAGCTGGGCACCCCTAAGCATATGCCATCCATGAATCTCCTCCTCCACTCCAAAAGAATAGAATGTTGGGCTTGCATTCATTTTCTGCAGGACATGGAGGAAATCCAATGCTCTCAGTGCTTAGGGTGACTGCAGTAGGTGGATGAATTGGGTTAAAATGTAAGTACAGCAGTATGTAGTAAAATGAGGCAAGGAGGGTGTGTCCAGGGGTATGTTCCCTGTTGGTTTTTCTGTTCCTGTTCTATTCTGTTTGCCAGTTGCATTGCCATGATTGCATACTGTTGTGGAAACTGGGGTGGTTTACTCTTAGGGTGTCATCAATCTGCATATCTTGCCTAGTGAAGTGAGTGGGAGACACAACCCATATGTGGGTCCCCTCCATCCACTCACAAAAAGTCCAGCATTCTATTCTCTCAATCAGATCAGGGGATACTGCTGCAGGGTCTGATGGACCAATTTCATATGGCTTGGTGGGTCAGACACAGGTTAGCCACCTGACTGGGAGTTTGTTATTCAGCTGATAACTACATCCATTGTATTATGAGGTAGGAAGAGGCTTTAAATGACTATTACTTTTGCTTCCAAAATGTTTGCTTCCAGAAGTATATCAGAAAAAGAATTCTTCTACTGATGTATTGCTGTGTGGATACACCTCACATCCCAAGTAAGTGTAACTGAGGACCAAACTAGACAAGATGTTAATTGTTAAAGTTATAAACGGCTTTAGCCCTATATACTTAAAGAAGCGTCTTCACCCCGTCATTCAGCCTGGACACTGAGATATAGCTCCGAAGACCTTCTAGCAGTTCCCTCACTGCAAGAAGTGAGGTTACAGGGAACCAGGCCTTCTTGGTGATGGCAACCACCCTGTGGAACACCCTCCCATCAGATGTCAAGGAGATAAGTAACTATACAACCTTTAGAAGGCATCTGAAGGCAGCCCTGTACAAAGACGTATTTTATGTTTGAAGTTTTACTATGTTTCTGTATATGCTAGAAGCCACCCAGAATGGCTGGGGCAACCCAGTCAGATGCACAGGGTGGTACTACTACTACTAATGTTAATACAATTAACAATAAAAACAATTAACATGCTTAGTTTTAAAATTTAATCAGCAGCCATGCATGACTGGGAATTAATAATTTCCTTCTATGCTGCAGACCCGATAAAAATCACCCTGACTCTGTTGGTGGAGGAGTTTATCTATAGTGGGTTTTCCCCTCATTCTGAAAGGCAGAATTTATGCAGACGGAGACCCCCTAACAGTTCTAGTCCCTGCCTTCATTGGCCTAATAAGAGTAAAAACAAAACTCTACTCCTTACCCCAATTCTTAGCTAGGGAGGAAAGTGTATCAATCATCTCTTTCCCTTCCCTTCAGATTCTGAAATACCTTCAGGTCAAAAGACATGACTAAATAAGATCAAGCACAATAAAAGGTCCTTCTGCCTTGAGTGTGCCTTCCCCAGAGGATTCCCTGGCAGGAAGGGGTCAAGTAAACTGATCCACCTCCAACAAACTCCACTTAATCAATGTACCTTATTGACCAGTCTCCCCCTTCAATAGTAGATGGATCTGACTTCTGAAAATGTATCAGAAGCAAAGGAAGAGTGGTGCTAGACCAGGCCAAAGGTCTATCTAGAAACAGTGTCCAGCATGTCTTTCACAACAGCCAACCCAATGTCTTTGGGAATCATCCTCTCCTGCTGTTGTTTAGAGGCATGCTGCCTCTAATACCTGAGGTAGGAGAGCCATCATGACTAGTCGTTCGGTCAGATCTTCCACTGGGGAGAAAAAAGAAGAGGAGGAAGTATGTAGGATAAACTTTCCTTGTCACTCTAGTCATATCTAGAAGAGAGTCTCCAAGAATCTAGAACAGGCTTCCTTAACCTCAGCTCTCCAGATGATTTGAGACTACAATTCCCATCATCCTTGACCACTGGTCCTGCTGGCTAGGGATCATGGGAGTTGTAGACCAAAAACATCTGGAGGGCCGAGGTTGAGGAAGCCTGATCTAGAAGAACATTTACATGTCACATCTATGAAGTCATCTGGACATTCTTCCTAATATGGTAAAAGTGGGAGAAAGTCTTACACGCCAAAGCAGGTTTCAAGGAACATGTTATCTTTGTACAAGCAAGCATTCACCAGAGACTATCCCCAACCACTCACAGAAAAGCCTCTGACCTTTTCTTGGTCCTCTCAAAATAAGGTGACAGACCACTCAGTTATTACCTACCTTCATCTTTTCCTCAGAGCTGCAACACAACTTAACTCACAAACAGTGCAAAGGTTCCCCTCATGGGATCTCCACAAGGTATTCTGGGCTTTAAGTAAAACAACAACACCTCATTGAGCCACTGAAATAAGTCTCTCAAGGTCACTCCTTATCACAATTACATCTGCCAGATGATTCTTAGAACTAGGGGTACTGTCTAATAAGAAGCAAATCCTTCACTCAGACCCTTCTGCCTCCACCCTTTATAGTTACTGCTCCCACACGGACTTTGAGATAGGATGGTCTAGTCTCTGTCCTATGCCATTATGCCTTTAATAGCTTTCTCTGAACATATAAAACTTTTCTGTAGCAGGGGAATAAAATTATAACTTATCACAGGGGCCAGTAAAAATGTTGATAACGTTGATTTGATTTTAATAAACTCTGTTCAGTATTGACGTTGAGACTGTAACAAAACCTAGAAGATTAAGTATGTTTGAGAAAGATGTGAATGTCCAGGTTCCACTTGTGAGGTAAGCAGTCAGTAACATAATGTATTCTCTTTTATAAGTGAAACTGAATGTAAAAACGGAACCTATTATTGCGTGAAATATGGAGAAAATCCTGATGATGGATACACCAGTTTCGATCATTTTGGATGGGCCTTTCTATCATTGTTCCGACTGATGACACAGGATAGTTGGGAAATCCTCTATCGGCAGGTAAAACTTTTTTTTAAAAAAATGTACTGTTGGTATCTACTCGAAGGGTAAATTTCCTTTAACATAGCAGGGACATTTGGGTTATGGCTCCACCTTCTGGTCAAGTCAGAAATGAACACTTCGGAAGTATACTGGAAGTACCATGATGCTTCCATGGACTTCCATACAGGAAACATACCCTTTAACATTTCTCAGATGAAAATAGGAACATTTTTCACTCCCTCCCACAACTGAGCCTCTTCAAACCCCCGCCCCCATGTTTTTGTGTCCCCCCCCCGCCCCACGGAGCATTCCCTATTTGAAGAAGGGTGAGTGTCGTCACCACTGCACCAACAGAACACACACCACCATCCTGAGAAAACACCTTAATCCAAATTTTATTTTATTTTATTCTTTGGTGGAGTTACAAAAAACAACCCACACACCAATAAATACATTTTAGAAAAGGGCAAGATTAGGCACAGATGTGCAAAGCTTTTTAATCATCATCATCAATACCCCTTGTGCCCCACTCCTGCCCAGGACAGCAATGCCTATACCTCAGAGCTGGCAAATCACGCAGGGCTGAGCCTCGGTAGTGGCAGCCTTTTCTCCTCTTCTCCCGTTCTCCAGCAGCTGCTATGAACTGCTCAAAGGAGGAGGTTGTCAGTGGCAGCCATGGAGAGCCAGGGAGAGGCAACAGGATGCTCCTTCGTAGCTGCCACTGCTGCTGCCACCACTGCTCAGGACAAACACTAGCTTATTCTCCTCTCCGAGCTCAGCACTCTGAGGAAACAGGGACCTTCCAGGAAAATCGGGACACTTGGAGGGTATGAAACATAAGCCCAGGAATTTAAGGAGAAACTTAGAAGCAAGCAACAGAGATCAGCAACAGAAAAACCCCATCAGGAACAGAAAGCTTACTTCCAATACTAACACTGAACAGTTTAATAGGGGGAAAGACCTATAGTATTCTTCTTTTTTTAAGTGCAGACAATTTACACTGAAGGTACACTGAAGGAAATCTACGCTTCATGTTGGTACCAACTGTACTATTTCACTTTGGCTAGCAGGGATGGTATGTTGGGACATAGCAAAGCTAATCCCGATAGGGTGGGTCCATTGACTGCACCTCTGCGTAATTTATCATGGAGAGACCTGCTGCAGGACCCTCCTTCCCAATGCAGCCCCTGCCTATGCATAATTATCAATTGTGTAGTGATAAATGAAAGTGTTTGGAGAAGCCCATGCAGCTTCTGTACAAGCCTTATGAAGAGCACCATTAGTAGTGAAAGCCACAGAAGCAACTGCAGCCCTAGTGGAATGAGCGATCAATCAAAGAGTAAATGTAAAGCTGTCAGAATCTTATGACAGTCCCGTGAAGGGAACCTGTGTGCCATGGGAAGACACTTCAGCATAGCACCTCTAAGAAAACATATAACTAGAAGTATAGAAGGAAGGAGAATTAGGTTTAGAAAGAATAGAGGAAATCGGGTCCACCCTTAAAGAGGGCACGTATTGCTGTGAGACCTGGACAACCAACACCCTGTGTTGTGGGTGGGTACAATTGGTAAGCCACAACACCTGATTGGTAGGTCCCTCGAAGCTGGGTACAATCTGGCCAATGGGACGCAGTCCAAACGGTTCGAGGAACCTATATATACCTATGCACATGACCCAGAGCTTCCTCTTTCGGTACATGCATTCGGAACACCTGCCCACCTCTCCCTACTTTTAGGGCTTTGCGCTTGACCTTGCTATGCTGTTGTGTGTCGTCCGTCCTTGGGATAGGGGCACGGCAGGAATTTTCCCCACTTGGCTGATTGGCTGTTGCCATTTGGGTTTCGCCTGCCGCGTAGCAAATCGTCACAACTTGTAAGGTTGCAGATAGGCTCTGGTTCAGGTGATAGGGATGGGAGAAAGCCCTTGCCATCCCTATGTGAAGGGTATTCCATTAAAGTAATCCAGAGACTCGAAGGTTTGGTCAACCCCTGTGAGGGGGTTGTGCCCGTGCCTGAGTCCAGGGGGACATTTGGGTGGCGGAGTTAGCCCGTTCCGGGCTTTCCGCTTATCCAGGTGTTCACCCTTGTCTAACCTATGCTGGAACCCTGGGTCAGCGCTACCTGCCTAGGCAGGGAGCTAGTCAAAACAGAGCCTATGCAACCAGTCACTTTTCTGTAATCAATAAAGTTGTGGCTTAAATTCTGCCAAAAACCAAAAGAAAAATTTGAGTCAGGTGTTAATTTATTTAGGGGGGAGGTTTCTGGGTCTGAACATGCAAATGGCTACAGCCTGCCTCTTCAAGGTATTTGTGTGAAGGTCCTTCCAAAGGCCATTTTGCAGGAATGATAGTAGGTCAGCCACAGATGTCCTCTTAACAGACACCTTGTTTTTGATACACCAAGCACGAACAACCTTCCACCTTGCTTGTTGGATGCAAATGCTCAATGGACATCAGTTGAAATGACCTCCTATGAGGTCATTGTGCCTTTCCTTCTCCCATATCATCCATCCCGAGTTTTGTGATTGATGTTAGGAGGAATCCTTCTCATCAATTTGGTGGGCTTGGCCTGCTATAGGATGATGCGTGAGGGGGATTTTTCTGTTGTTATGTGCATGTGTGCACCCCCCAACTCAGGCTTCCCCTTTTCATGGAAGCCTTGATTGCAGAGACTTTGATGGGTATCCACTGGCAGGTAAAAACAATTTTATTATCTCAGATTTTTGGAGTTAACTAGGAGACAACACTGGTTGCTTGACCTGATGCCGTTGCTCTATTACTATTCTATTAATTGGATTATTTTAACATTTGCTTTTATTCTCTGATCATTGTTTTGCTGAAAGACAATACATGACGAGTTATGTATTTCATGCTTGCAGGTTATCAGAACATCTGGGAAATCTTACTGCATCTTTTTTGTGATAATCATCTTTTTGTGCTCATTTTATCTATTTAATTTAATCCTGGCTGTTGTAACAATGGCATATGAAGAGCAAAACAAAGCAACACTTGCACACACAAAGGCAAGGGAGATGTTACTTCGTGAAGCCAAAGAACTACTAAAAAAGGAAAAGGTTTGTAAATCTTTTTTTAAAAAAATATTATTACATACTTAGCCTAATTGTTTTTATTGTTGTTGCTGTTGTTAACAATAGAAATAAAGTATGTATAATTCTATTGTTGTATCTTCATCCATGATAATTACTACTTAATTATGGCTGAAGTTCCAATAACAGAATTTAATATTTAATACTTATTAAATTTCTGTAGGGGAAGAGGAAAAACATTGCAACATTAACATGTGAATTAAATGAAATACATTAATAGATTTTATGATGGTGGCAGTAAAAATGCTGTAAGCTTTTGACTGCAATTGGTGATGCAATGGTCTGGAATGTGATTCTCCACTTTGCACTGTTATTGCTGTTTGTCATAGACTGCGCTTTTTATCTATTTACTTAGAAAAATTAAAAATTGCTTTCAAAATAAATATTTTCAAAAATTTACATAGTACAGGATGGCTTGCAAACATGGGCGCAGAACAATCCAAACTCTGGGTATAGAGCAGTATATAAATTCAATAAATACTAATAAAACTGGATGTGGGTGGCGCTGTGGTCTAAACCACAGAGCCTAGGACTTGCCGATCAGAAGGTCAGCGGTTCGAATCCCCGTGACGGGATGAGCTCCCGTTGCTCGGTCCCTGCTCCTGCCAACCTAGCAGTTCGAAAGCACGTCAAAGTGCAAGTAGATAAATAGGTACCACTCCGGTGGGAAGGTAAACTGCGTTTCTGTGCGCTGCTCTGGTTCGCCAGAAGCGGCTTAGTTATGCTGGCCACATGACCCGGCTCCCTCGACCAATAAAACAAGATGAGCGCCGCAACCCCAGAGTCAGCCACAACTGGACCTAATGGTCAGGGGTCCCTTTACCTTTACCTTTAATAATAAAACTACAGGAAGCCCAAGGAATTGTTTAAACCCATGTAATCTAAGCCCAGGTAAATTATGCGGGTGTGATTTACCCTTATTCCAAACAGCATTCAAGAGTGGGGCTATGAGCTGGCCCAAGCCTAGCAGAGGGAAACAAGCTTTTAAATTATGCCAGTGTAACTTCTACAGGGTTGCTAGGTCATGTGATAGAGCTGAATGGATTTTGGAATGCCAAAAAATATCCCCTTTTCTGGACTTGTCTCAGCCAAACCTCAGCTTAGCTATATCTCTGGCTGAGCAAGGATGAGGGATTTCAACTGGCATAGCTTTGCCTACTCCAAACTCTGCTCATACCTGTAGATCTTGGGTTTGAATTTCTTGCTTAATTAAGCGAAAAACCTTAAGAATACAAAACTATGAGCAGATTTTTCTTCAAGGAATGAGCAGATATTTCTTCAAGGAACGATATGCCTTCTAAAGTTTAAAAGTATCTTCAGGAATTCAAAAATGAAAGTTGTTTGGAGGAGATATCCAATAATTCAAAATGAAAGCTTTAAATTCAGGGTATAAAGTTTGAAAGTAGCTAGCTCAATATCAGTTTCAAAGAAATATTCTTCAGGTGCCTGTAAATCAGAGGTGGGAACCTTTTCTGGCCTTTGCACCAAATTCATATCTCCCTTCCCTGTGGCAGACAAAATCTGACAGGTGGACAGGGCAACTAATCTGTCAATCACTACAACATCAAGTCACTACAATTTCAGGTGATGCTGTGCTTTGGAGTCCCAGTTCTTGGGACTACAAAGCACAGAGCAGCACTGTTTGAAAGCACGTTTGCTCTTTGCAAAAGGGGTTTTGAGGCTTTCCCCCACTCTCCTGTTTGAGCATCCATCACAGTAGCTTTTCAAGCAGGAGCATGATGGTGTCTGATAGCCTCTTTGCTGTTTGTTCCCTGCTTCAGTTTGAGCCTCTGTAGGAAGTGTGCATGTGCACAGAAACCTTAACCACATCTGGGAGTGATAATACCCAAGTTAGAAGGTCCAAACTGCTCCTACCTCATGGTTCCGGTTTCTTCAGAGCAGGGGACATAATTAAGTTGCTCTCCTACATTGCTGAAGTCAATGGTGGTTCTGACTATCTTGGTCTCAGTGGTGGGGCAAAGAATAATCTGTCCCTGAATGCACTCACCTCCAGAGCAGCAACAGAATAAATAACACTATCCCAGTCAGGTAATCAAGGCTACATCTGTCATATTATGGATTGTGATAGGGCCTCTTTTGCAAACAGTAGTGCAAAAAGTCTGTATACTGCTCTTGGATTATGTTCTTAGGTAGTATAACTGCTCTGTTTTGGGGCAGAACTAGATATTGTTGCTGAGATAATGTTTCCAATAGTCCTAAATGCTCACAAGTTGCTTAATGAAACTAACAGTTCTTACAAACATGCACAGAGCCTGTGTTGCAAAGATTGAAAAATATACGCCTGATCACAGAGGCACAAAACTATCAGTGACTTCCTCTAAAAAAGTGTTTTCTTCTCGATGTTGGTTTGGGGAAGGAGATTTTGTCTATTTGGTCTCAGAGGAGGCCTCTCTCGATGAGAAGAACAGGCTTTTACAAGATCAGTATTTCCTCATTTTGATTACCAGTTATGGGCTAATTGCGCTTACTTGAACATGGTCTATTCCAGGAGTTGGCTTCCCAAAGACAAATTGCATCCTTGGATGAAAACACTGAAATGTCAAGTGTGGAATTCAAAAATAAAAAAATGGGGAAAAGCAAGAGGAAGAAGAAACCGAAAGACAAAGAGCCAAAAACTTATGGAGAAGATGAAACCCTGTTTTATACACCACCTGATAAAAGTCAAAAGGAGCTTGTAAGTTTTAGCTGCAACAGCTTCGGTTGGCATCTTTTTGTATGTAAATTTGGAAGTGCCAAATAGAGCTTTATTAAATATGAACCCGAAAATTTGGTATCTCCTCCAAACTGATGCTAAAAATTTCTACTCATTTTTTGCAAGTCTTTCTCTTCTAGCATTTCCATGACATCAGAAATATAATGTTGCACACTGCCCCAATCATAACAGTAATTTACAAATTAGCTAACTCTGGCACTAGCTATTTTGAGAAGGACTTATACTATTAACCAGCTTTCGTTTTTAGATTTCTTTAAGGGTACGTTATTCTCTCTGCTGCTACATTAATTCATTGGGAATTATGTAAGTAAATGGAGAGATAATCGTGTTACTTTAAATATTCATTTTGGATTTGTTTTCTGCACCCAAAGAAGGAGCTGTTAATGTCCTATCACCTACCCGTTGACACTCCTGATGATCCATTTCAAAGACAACGGTTAACAAGTGCTGCTAATGTCATCAGCAAAACCATGGGTGAGTTAAAAGTAAATAAAATAAAGTTTTAAAGAGGTTGGGGGTAACTTCTTCAGTGTTTTTAAGTATTTTGTAAAAGATAATCATATCCAAATCAGTATTCCTTAAAACTTGAGAACAGTATATATTGAAAATTATGCTGAAAAACTAGGAGAGTAATTGTCTCAGGAGTGAGGGCCACTCACTGGAAAGCCCTGGCTCCCCTCCCCTCAAAATCTTCACATTTAAATAAATCATGAAAAAATGTTTACAAATTGGGGTTTGTTTTTGTTTTGCTGAGCCTTTAGCATTTATTGTCATCATGTTTTCATATTAATTTCAACAGTCAGAAGAATATATAGTAGCATTTCACTCATCATAGTTTGGACCAAATATGGAACTCATTGCTTTCCTTACCTTAGTTTGTGTTCATGGTTTTTGTTGTTTACTTGGATTATGATGACACTGAGATTGTAACTCCAGTATGGGTATGTTTTGCAGCCTGGAATGTCAACAGTGAACTTGGTTCTGATGTTGATCTTTACTATTCCATCTGAAAAACTGGCCTGCAAATTCAAATTATCTGCTCCCAGAATAAATGATGAAACGGCATAAATGATGTAAGGAGGGAACTGTAGCCCAAGATAGGAAAAGAGGTAGTAAGGAAACACCTAGCTACTTTAAATAAATTCAGAACTCCAAGGCTGGATGAGCTGCATCCAAGGGCACTAAAGGAGCTTGCGGATGTAATCTCAGAGCCTTTGTAAACTCAGACCTTTGAGAATTCTTGGTGAACAGGTGAGGTCCCAGCAGACTGGAGGTGGGCAAATGTAGTCCCCATCTTCAAAAAGGGGGAAGAAAATAAGACCCAGGTAACTATTGATCAGTGAGCTTGACATTGGTACCAGGAAAGGTCCTAGAACACATAATTCAACAGTTGGTCTGTGAGCACCTAGAAAAGGATGCTGTGATTACTAAGACCCAACATGGGTTTCTCAAAAATAAAGTCATGCTAGATGAATCTCATTTCTTTATTTGATGGAGTTACAAGCTTGGTGGATCAGGGGAATGCTGTGGACATGTATATCTTGGTTTCAGTAAGTCTCTTCTTGACAAAGGCCCCCATGACATTCTTGCAAGGAAGCTGATAAAATGTGGATTGAATAAGGTAACTACCTTTATGTCAGAGGCATGACTTTTGCCCAGATTTATTGTGCAGTGTAGTCTGGAGTTTTTCCAATGCTTTCTGGGGTTCCTCTGTTCAGGGTCACTCTTCTACAGTGTGCAAAGTTTCTTGCACATAATTGTGTGTTCATACAGTCTGCTGCTGCATGTTAGGATTTGTGGGAAGATCTAATGTGTCCCAAACTGGTATTAGAAGTCCGACAGAACAGCACTATGTCAACTCAGTCACAAGTTCTATTGAATTCAGTGACTGTCTTAGGTATGCAAGGTTTGGATTGTTGCAGAGTAAAAGGAAGAAGAGAGGAGAAAAAGATTGAAAGAGTGGTTTGTGTAGGACAAGGGATTTGAGGGAACTTGTGCAGATCCTTTTCAAGTCAAGCCAAGAAGACATGGTCCCCCGCTTTAATCAATGGATTGACAGCACTTGAATGGATTGCTATAGAAACAGACTTTGTTTGGATAAATACGTATATTCATATATGTAGTAGGACAATAATATTACATATCTGTATAATAATGTATGGAAGTGTACATGTACTGTGCTATATCTTTTTTCTTATTGCACTTTTTATTTATTTTTCATTTGCACTTTTTCTCTTTTCTCTATTTTGTACAACTGACATTTTCTTAATATTTTTTTTTTTAAGTCAGAGGGGGTGTGTGTGTGTAAAGAATTACCTATGTTTTACCTGAAATTGTTCTCATTTCATAACTCAGTGTGCCTGTAATTATGTTCCTTTTCTTGTTTAGAATGGGAAGAATCAAAACTGGAATTCCCTCCATGCTTGAAAACTGCTGCCCATAAATATCTCATCTGGCAATGTTGCCCACTCTGGTTGCAAATAAAGAAAATGGTGAAGAAAGTAATGATAAACCCTTTTGCTGAACTATTTATTACTCTGTGTATTATAGTGAATACTGTTTTAATGACATTCGAAAGAGTTCCAGAAACAAAGAACATGGTTTCCACAGGAAACAAAGTAAGTGAAGCCAAATCCTTATTAAGCTACATGCCAAGAATTACTTTTTTATTGTTTTACTGTTGGAGAATTTTGGAGTGCCTTTGAACTAAAATTGGTGCCTAGAAATTACGTTTAGTGCATACCTAAAAAAATGTGTTCATACAAACCCTTTCTTCTCTAGTGGGTACTAGGACACACCATCAAGTGGGATTGCGTTTCACCTGTTGCTTGAGGCAAGAAAAGCAATTATCAGTCCACAGGAAGCTCTCTCTTACCCTCTTCCTTGGAATGTCAGCTGAAATATCAGTTCATTTTCCTGCCTCACTTGAAGCAGTTTTATATTTCCCTTGTGCTCTATTCTGGCCTGTTATTTCACTCATTGTTGTTATTATTATTATCTGTCACTTCTGTCTGTGCTTGTAGGTTAGAGTTTCTGTGCGAATCTCATAGTAAGATTGAGAGAGTTAAATTCTGCCCCCGCCCTGCAGGCCATCATGTGTGTGTGTGTCCTTTTTCCTTCATACCTTTTCACCCTTAATTAGTTACATTTGTGATCAGACACTCTTTCCCATGTTAATGGTTTTCTGGTGCTGGTTGGGGCTAATGGAAATTGGAGTCCAGTATCATCTGGAGGGCCACAGATTAGCCACCCCTTCCCTAAAGGCATAGCTTGAATTTAACATATGGCACATTTATTGTGTTCTGACATAATTTCTCTTGCAGGTTTTCACTGCCATTTTTACAGCTGAAATGATCCTCAAAATAATTGCTCTTGATCCCTACTACTATTTTCAAGAGGCTTGGAATATTTTTGACTGCCTTTTGGCTATTTTAGGTATAATAAGCTTGATCACGAAGCGTCCCCTATCAATTTTCAGAATGGTAATGATGAATCTCCTGTTATAGTCACTTTAAATCTTCCACATTAAATCTATGGAATGTAGGGCTTACTTTCCTTGACACATTTATTTATTTATTTATTTATTTATTTTATTAATAGTGCGTATATGTGGCAAAATCAGTAATTTCAATAAATTATGAGCAGATGACAATCAATTTGAGGAAACACTTAGAATATAGGGTTGTCATGAAATCTCTGAGATGCTTTAAAATACATTTTTACCTGTTCAAGGGAAAATAAAATAGTAAATTATATTGGTCACACACACTAGACATTTACATCACACGATTTCTCCCAAAGAATCATGGGAATTGTAGTTTATAATTCCCAGCACTTTACCAAACTACAGTTCCCATGATACTTTGGGAGAAATCATATGCTTTAAATGCATTATATAGATATGACCATTGGAATTTAAATTGCATTTTCTGCTTGGTTTATGATACTGTGTGACAATGAATCCTAAGACAGCATTTTATTTTAATGAAATAAGAATAGAACAGGAGCACAATCATAGACACACCCTTTTAAGGGTTTTCTTTTGAATACAGGATTGTCATGAAATAAGTCTATTTCATTAGAGTGCATGCTTGAATGCATCTTACTTTAGAGGAAGAAATTTGCATGCTGAAGCAAACTTCCATACTCCTTCTCTGGACCAGGAACTGCAAATTCAATGCATATTAGATGCATATTCAAATTCAGGTTTCATCTATCTGCACTACATTATTTTTGAATGGTTGCACATCACAAAGTGTATTTATAGCTTCCTTTTGATGCAAATATGCTTAATTACATACAAATCATGCTGGTAGAACAATTTCTCTATTTTTAATAATACTGGAAAATCAAGACTTAACTTTCTCCTTTTTTTGCTGCTATTCTCTCCCTATCCCCTGCCCCCACCCTACAGCTGAGAATTTTCAAATTGTCCAAGTTTTGGCCAGCATTAAATAAGCTCATGAAAATAATGTGGAAATCAGTGGGCCCACTAAGCAACCTCACGCTTGTTCTGATTTTTACCGTATTCATTTTTGCTGTGGTTGGCAAGCAGGGCTTTAGCCAAAGTTACAAAACATTTCGAGAAACATGTGAGAACAAAACGCAAATCTGTAACAGTGACAGTACTGATGCCACCGATAAATGTAAATTACGATGGCATATGGAAGACTTCTTACATTCATTCCTTGTTATATTCCGAATTCTCTGTGGAGAATGGATCGAAACGATGTGGGGCTGTATGAAAGCTGCTGGGGAAGGATGGTGCATTTTTCTGTTCATGCTGGTCCTGCTTTTAGGAAACCTAGTGGTAAGTTTTCAAAGAATTTCCTTCTTCTATGGGACATATTTAAAATTATTTCTTCAGTAGGATTGTTTTCATGAACGTTCGACACAATTTAGCTACATCAGGCAGTGGTAAAACCACACCTTAAGAAACCTTCCCTGGATTCAGAAAACCTAATTAACTTCTGACCAGGTGCTAATCTCCCTTTCCTGAACAAGGTTCTGGAGTGGTCGCAGACCAGATCTTGACGCTTTTGGAAGAAACGAATTTTCCGTATCCATTTCAATCAGGTTTTAGGCCCGGTTTGGGCCAGAAACTGCTTTGGTCGCCCTGTATGATAACCTCTGTCACAAGAGAGACAAAGCATACATGTCCCTGTTAAATCTTCTTGACCTCTCAGTGACTTTCAATACAATTGACCATGATATCCTTCTGTAGCAACTGTCCAAACTAGCGGTGGGTGGCACGCTTTGCAGTGGTTCCGGTCCGACTTGGGTAGACATTTCCAAATAGTGTTGTTTGGGAGTGTTCTTCAGCCTTGTGGAGCCTTCAATGTGGGGTTCTTCAGTGTTCAGTTTTAGCCCCTATTTAGTTATTTAGTATCTACATGAAACCACTGAGTGGAGTTATCCAGAGGTTTGGAGTATGTTGTCAGCAATATGCTGATGACACACAGCTCTACTTTTCCTTTACATCTGCAGACGAGGCAGTGGATGTGCTGGACTGCCTCAGCAATGGATTAGATGAGAGACAACAAACAAGCTCAATGCAGATGAGACTGAGGCACTGTTAAAGGGTGGCTCCCTAGACACTCATTTTCCTGTTCAGGAGATCAGCTGATAGCAATGCCATTAAAAACACAAAGAGGGTCAAGTACTGGGCCATTAAAAACAATTCACCATACAGATGTTGTCGGTCTTTCCCCCAGCTGAGAAGTGGACAGAAACAGAAGACTTGAGAGGGGGAGGTTGGCATGGGTAACAGGGGACGTGATGTCACCACAGGAAAAAATATGTCATTTTAAAATAGAGGTTTGGGAGCAGAAATTTTGGGAAGGAGAAGGGACCAGAACTCCATGCAGCATTGGCTGAAGGAAGCTGCATGCAGAGACCTGGGAGCATGATTGGCTGTTGCTTTGAACCCAAGCTTGCTGAAGCTATGGGAGAAGCAACAAGAGGTACTCCCTCTGTTGGATATTCACTATTTGATGGACTGATCCAACACCCTCCACCAAAACTCAGGTTGTGTGTGAAATAAACCATATTTCATAAAGACATGACAATCTCCCCTGTGCCTCATTCCCAAGGAACACAAACCCTGGTTAAGTGCCAAGACCCCTGGAATCCTCCTATCTATCAGCAGAGATTGGAATGGCCTGTACAATACTGAATGAATGGGAAGTCCTTTTTCTCTGGGGAAAACAGGAAGCAGTTGAAATGTGTTACTTTCCAAAATACCCTTTCCGCTCTCACTGTTTGCTTCATTTGGTTACTTTTCATTCAGGTCCTCAACCTCTTTATCGCTTTACTCCTGAGTTCCTTTAGTAGCAGTGATTCAGAAACTGAGGTAGATGAAGAGCAAGCTAAGCCTCATGTGATCCTTGCTCACAGGGGGTTGCAATTTGTCAAACATCTGCTGTGGGACCGCTGTTGCAATGCCCTTGTGCAAAAGCTGAAGAAAGCAAGAACCAAGACCAAGGAGGTGACCATCCCAAAGGACGGTGCCACTGAGCCGAGGAAAGGGGTCCAGGAAAACTATGCTAGTGGTAAACGTTTGGAGAAGCTGCCGGTGGATCATTTTATGACAGACTTTAATACATTTGTCTGTGCTCCCCTTGCTGAAATGGAGACTTTTGGTGAGGAAGAAATTGATTGCAGCAAAGAGGTAAGAAACAGGCCCCACAAATGAACATTTCTGGTAGACAGCTGGTATAGATAAGCCTAGCCAAGAGGCTATGGTGAATAAATCATTCCAAGTATACACCATTACTATATGCTTCCATTGTGGCTGATCCATGTTACATATATTGGAATATTATACATTATTAAGTTTGTAAATGTCTTTGTTAACTGATGAACAGGATTCCATTTCTGTTTGTATACAAAGGCTTTGAAAACTAGTAGTCTAGCTTCTTGTGTGAGGTGTTAGGAACAAAATATCTTTACTTTCATACTTTTCCCTAGGAGAACAACTTGCAAAAGAGAAGAGAGAAATTCAAAAGGTCAAGACAAATGCTGTCTTCTGATATTTCCGAAAGTACCAATGTTTGGTCTTTGAATGTTCCTAAGGTAAAGCAAAGGAAAATGATCATTATAGCTCTATTGCTTGCTGAGGGTGGCATTCTGCATTTCCAGGAAAGTGGTATATTCTACTTCTTTTTTTTATATAGTGTATTCCACTTTTATATTGCGGAAGTATTTTTGCTTCTCCCCCTGAAAAACAAAGGACACCTAGTTTGGGGGTAGGTATTTTCTCTGAGGCTGGGAAAGCAGTCTTCATTTCTGTGTCTGGAGAAGGGGACTCACTGCTTGATCATCCTGTATTTGGGTTGGTGAGCTGTAGAAGAGCTCACCATATTTTATAAGCTCTTGGCAAAAAAGGAACATTTCTCCTAATATGCACATTTTTGTAAACAACTTCACCATATATAATGCATTTTTATATGCTATTTTCACAAATACAGTCGTACCTTGGTTGTAGAATGATTTTGGTACTCAGACGTTTTGGCTCCCGAACGCTGTAAACCCGGAAGTGCGTGTCCTGGTTTGTGAACATTTTTTGGAAGCCAAATGTCCAATGTGGCTTCCAGGAAGCTCCTGCAGTCAATTGGAAGCTGCGCCTTGGTTTTTGAACCATTCCAGGAGTTGAATGGACTCCCGGACCGGATTAAGTTCAACAACCAAGGTACCACTGTATCAGCGGTGGAGGAAGCCACTCGGGCTCCTGGGGTGCTGCGCCCAGGGGCAGCGCGAGCTGCACATAGGGGCGGGGTGCACTCTGGGGCCTCCGGAGTCTGCCTGCCTCCTCCCACTCAGCTGCCCTACAGTTGGGGGGGGGAGGCAGGGGGGCGGACCGTTTGGGCAGCACAGAGCTTGCGCGCGCCCAAGCCACTGCGTCTCTCCCAGGAGCACGCTGCAGGCCCCGCAGTGAGTGCTGCCTGGCATTTTGTCACCCCCCTCGGTGATGGCACCTGGGGCGGATCACACCCAGCACACCCCCTTCGTCCGCCCCTATACTGTATATACATTTTAGTACACTTTTTTTTGGTTGGAGAACTGCCTTGCAAAATTTGGAGAAATGTGAATTTCAAAGGATAGCTGTGTTTTGGTGCACGTATTGTTTCAGGAAGTAAAAATCATATTTCAATGTGAATCCAAACAAATTTCTCTCCCACATCTGTGGTGGTGCCCAGTCAGTGGATTGCTCTCCCTATTGAAGTATAACCAGCACAACTATTACAAACATTTTGGCTTAAGTTCAAAACTCACTTAATGGCCCTGGCATTTTAAAGTTTGTCTGTTCCTCTTGTTTTTTAAACTGCCTCTAGTGCTTTTATTTGTTATTAGGTTATCTTTAATTCTTTTATTTTGGATATGTTTTATATTTATATACTTCATCCTGGTATCTTTTGTAGATGAAGCATGGTCTAGAATAATTCTTAATAAATAAGTTGATTGCAAAAAGTGTTTGGATCACAAAAAGCTTGCAGGAGAAGGTTAAGCTTCCCTTTCCCCAATGCTGCTGCTGCAATCAAATTTGTGTCCCCCTGAGGCTGCATTTCAACAATAGAAGAATAAATAGTAATACTGTTGCAAGCCATCCCAATCTTCGAGCGGTGTGAGATTCCAGGAGTTTCAGGCGCATAGCAGGGTTCATATTTCCTTCAGATGAGGGACAGTGGAGACTGTGGTGTCTTTACGATATATGGCTTAATTACACATATATATTACCTCAGCCTACAATGTTCATAGCAGGAGCACCCCAAAAGAGTCTTGCTTCTCCTTTAGCCATATTCATGGATTTAAGCAGAAATCAGGCACGACTCTCTCTCTGGTTTCCTAGACTGCTGCTTCCAGACTCTAGCTTCTAGCTCACATAACTCTACTCTCATCTCTCACCTTTGTCTTCCTAAGAACCAGCCAGTTAAAGAAGGGGGCACCACCCATTAGGCCACTGGTGCAGAGCCACTTCCTTTGTTTTCTTAATGGCCGGTTACTTCGCCAGGAAGTATTCTGGCTAATACAGATTGGCAGCAGCTCTTCAGAGTTTTACAAAAGAGTATTTCCCAGCCCAGTTTGGCGATATTGGAGATCAAGCACAGGACCTTCTCACTGGATGACAGCCCATTAAGTGGGTTATCATTACCACATGGCATCCAAAGGCAGGAAATGCATGCAAATTCAAAGAAATAGGACTGTTCTGCTTTATATTTCCCCAGTCCATTTCCTGCCTTTCATCCATCTGATTTTCTTTCCCAGTCTCTGCTCTCCCTTCAATCCTTTAGCTACTGTTGCATGTTTCTGTCAAACTAGTAATCATTTTCTGAGTTTCTCCCTCATTATTGTTCATTGTGTGTGATTTTAGGTATTTCCCCCCTATCAGATCAGGTTTCAGTTCCCCACCTCTCAGCATCTTGCCTTACCGACCATCTTTCAGTCAGCAGCAACTATAGCAGCTCTGTTGGCAAATGGGGTATCACTGAGAAATGCTAAGTGTCTGCTTGGTCCACACCTGATACTTTTACCAAGCATTACTTGTACCCTTTTAAAATGTGGCTCTTTTATAGGAGGTGTTAGTGGGTTGTTGTTTTTATTCTGATTATATACAGTATGTTGTGATCTTTTCTGTGAACTGCCCTGAGACCTCCGGGTATAGGGCAATATATACTGTAAACTCAATAAACAGTATATACTGTAAACACAATAAAAAGATCCCTCTGTGGGCCGGATCGCTCATGGGTCCATGATTTTCGGCATCTGCGTCTGCGCAGACACGATTTCCAGCACCAAGGAAGCGAGTCCCCGCTCTGCACCAATTTAGCGCAGCGCATGAGCGGGTATCTCATTTCAGGGGCGGCTCGGGGGCCGGTCAAACTGAAGGACCACACATATCTGCTATTGGGTCCCTGAAGCACAGATTCACACAAAGCGGCAAAACGTCCTTGCAGGTTATTAACAGGATTTTTATTTGAAGTGCATATGCAAAACAAAGGTACAGGGCGATCAGTACGCAACCTGTACACAGTAGTCAGGGTGCGCCCCCTTTATATAGATTTGCAGAGTAGAATACCACCTGATCTCCTGTAAGCCACCTGATTTCTTGTAAACCGAAAGTTATGGCAACTTCCTATGTCCTTACATGGGCTTGCCCCCCCTTTCTTTCCTGCACCAGCCTCTCCACACCATGAGCCTCAACACGTGTTCAAATGTAAAACATGTGATTTATACTGATAGCAATAAGATGGGGCTTTGTCTCCTGCATTTTACCTCCTCCCGACTGGGGCCCATTCAACCTTGCTCTTATCTTTATTGCCTAAGCTAGACAGTCCAACAAGAGGCCCATTTGCACCGTAACATTTAAGCAAGAAAAGCCTTGTTCTTCTGGCTGGTGAAAAACCTCCCCCATTTGGAAAAAAAAGTCGCCTTAAACAGTTTTGGGGATCATATAGAGAACAATATTCTAATGGCCCCTTCAAAACGATCTCCACGGGCCACTTCCGGCCCATGGGCCTTAGGTTGCTGACCCCTGATCCAGAGAGAAAGGGACGGTTGGTCTCACCTGAAAGGTGTTTCTCCTGGATAGTAGTCCATCAAGGCCTTGTCCTACATGTGCAAAAGGGCAGCTGCCATTCTGCAATTTATTTCTGCATTGCTTTTAATTTATTCTTAAACTGGTTGAAGTTGTTTGCTTAATGCATTTTTTATATCATCAGCATGTGTTATTCTAATGTATTTTCTATATTCAGGATTAATTTTCTGTACATTTTGTGTTTGTGCTTGTGTTTTCTCTTTATTTTTCTGTCTTCTTTTTGAGTATAATACATCCTTCTGGTCTTGTCATGAAATGTACTGGGAAGATATAGAGCTGGGCAGTCCTACTTCCTCATATTTTACATTCATTTCCCTTCAGATGCTAAGTGTTGATGATTGCCCACTTGATGGACTATAATGCTAGAGGAAACGCCTTCAGATGAGACCAGCGGTCCCTTCTGCATGCAAAGCATATGCTTTTCCATTGAGCCACCACCCTTCCCCATCATTGGTCAGTTACATTAAGAGGATACTGTTTTTTCTTGTTTTGTTTTCAATATTCAGAGCGTGGATCTTGAGAGCAGCTGTTCTGAGGCCAGCACGGTAGATGAGAGGTCTCCCATCTGCATTTTCCCTGTAGTCAAGAAGGAGCCTGTGGCCTGTTTTCCACAAGGTGACAGACTAGCTTTATTGGCATATAATATGATTTTTTAATTTATAATTTATTTGAGATAGTCAGTTCTTTTTTGGGTAAGGTGCTCAACAGAGCAGTAGCTGCCCAGTTACAGATGAACCTAGATGAAGCAGACTATCTAGACCCATTTCATTGTGGCTTCAGTCTTGGGCACAGTACTGAAACAGTCTTGGTTACTCTGATTGATGAGGGAAGACCAGGAGTGCTATTCATCTCTTGGCCACATTGACCATTGACCAAGGTATCCTGACACAGCTCTGGGGGGGTATTATCATGGTTCTTCTCCTACCTACAGGGGTGCTACCAGAGAATACAATTCAGGGGCTTTTGTCTGGCCCCATGATATCTCTATTATGGGGAACCACTAGGTTCTATCTTGTCCTCTGTGTGCTTAACATCACTCTCAAGCCACTGGGAGGAGTCATCCAGGGATTTGGGGCACAAAGTTACCAATATGAGGATGACATTTATTGGGGTGGATCTAAGGAAATTCATTTCTGATCTACTCTCAATCTAATTATTCTGGCCTTTATATGGGGACCAGCCATTGGCAACTGGGAAGCTGGTAGTTTTTTGCAACTTTATCTTCTCATGAGCAAATATTCCAGTGTATTAGTTCACACAAGAAACTCTTCCTCTGCACTCCGTGGATGTGCTGCTTGTACTAGTTACATAGAAGGCCACCAGCAGAATGTTCCAGGGATAGGAAGAAAAGAGGAAATAATTTGCTATTTTCTCCTGCAAAGATGCTAAATGTTAAAAAGACTGGTTTCCTGCTGATTCTCAGAACACTGATAATTTCTGTATTTGATTTCTCTTTATTTCAGTGTTGGTCAAGTTCTTCCCATGTTGCACAGTGAATACTGATAAATTTCCAGGCAACACTTGGTGGAGGTTTAGAAAAACCTGCTACAGAATTGTAAAACATAGTTGGTTTGAATCTTTTATCATATTTATGATATTACTGAGCAGTGGTGTTCTGGTAAGCTTACTATGATATCCTTAAAATAAGAGTATTATTAATTTTTTGGCCTTGTGTTCAGCTCTGAATTTTCTTTTTTCCTATAGTTGCTGAAATCTGTTTAATAGGATGCATAGCTGTCAAGTGTCCCTTATTTGAAGGGACAGTCCCTTATTCCAGCGCCATGTCCCGCTGCTGTCCCTTATTGATAGATGTCCCTTAAATGTCCCTTAAATGATGTCCCTTAAATTTCAAAGGAAGCAGCTCCTCTCCCTCCTTCCCTGCCGGCCAGGGAGGAGGGAGGCTCCAACTGTGTTGCTTGGCTGTGTTGCTCACCCAATAAGAAGTCTAAGAACGACTGGGGGGTGGAGCTTGCATGCCTTGTGTGCGGCTAGTTAATGCAAGCTGAGGGGTTTTTTGAATGCTGGACGCCATTTTGTTGCACGTGCTGCTGCAAACTTTGCAGTGCAAGGCCAGGCTGGGGAGCCATCTTAAGTTGAGGCTGCATAGGCCTTGTGGTGCATGTGATTCAGATTCTATTCAGTTGAACCTCTGGTTACAAAGTTGGTTGGACAGTGTTCTCGAAGCTATCAGCATGAGTTTGACCAGACTGCAGGAGGACAGGAAGACTGGAGTGCCTGGAACAGGTGAGGCTGCAGGTCCCTTATTTTGGCTGCTGGTCCCTTATTTTCAAGGCTGCTGGTCCCTTATTTTCAAATCTGTAAGTTGACAGCTATGATAGGATAGGTGATTTTTTTTAAAAAATGTATTCCTTGATATTATATAATCATGCCTAGTGTATTCCATTTTATTGGTGCATGAGTAATAGTGCAAACATTCTTAGATAAACAATGGCCAAAATCCAAAGAACCATGCAGCTAGATCCAAAGGAATTTTTGACTTGTTCTTCTTGAACAGTAACCCTTCATTTTACATGACAATCCATTTTTTAAAGTGGATAGGAGGTTCTATCAGACAAAATAATGCTGGGCACTTAAAGCAGCTCTTTAGATTCCAGCTGATAAAAGTGAGGCTTGCTTGTTTTTTAAAGTATTTTTAAAAGTATATGTTTATATTTTTAAGAGTATTTTATAAAAGATCCCAGTTAATTGATTGCTGGGATTTCCTTCAGAACTCTCCAGATATATTGCACTAGGTTTCACTGGTATGAACTAAATGGAATCTTTATTAATGGTATAGAAACTCAGACATGCTGGGTATAAAGTAATAAAGCATTTTTATTCCAAGCCCCCAAAACAGACTTGCATATGAAAAAAAGTTCATTTATATGGGCCATATATGTAAACTCAAATGGATCTCACCCAGTCCTTAGCTTCTGTTGCTATACAGATGGCCAGAACTCTGAGCACAGGCTAGAAGTTGGTGGTCACTGAAGAGTGGTATGCCACAGCCAAACTTTGTACAGTCTAGTTTCTTCCTCCAAATCAGGATTTTATATAACCACTAGCCAGAGTCCAGTTGGCCATATGAACAATCTGCTATTTCAAGATACAGGTAGGTAGTCGTGTTGGTCTGTCGTAGTTGAAACAAAATAAAAAAAAACCTTCTAGTAGCACCTTAGAGACCAACTAAGTTTGTTATTGATATGAGCTTTCGTGTGCATGCACACTTCTTCTAAGGTGCTACTGGAAGGATTTTTTTTATTTTAAGATAAACATCCTATTGGTAAACAACCCCATATCTGTGGATCATAGTATGCTCAATTTTGTAGCTTGAAATGGCCATATAAGAGATTGTGGCATGCTTCAGTTGTGTGCATGGCACATGATACAATGTTCCTGTTATATAACAATCTAATGCATACTAACCCCTTAACCTATATTTCCCCCAGTTATTCAATCTTTGATACATAATCCCAGCAATTATGCAATGCTCATGCCTTCTGTATATTGCCTATTAGGCCTATGGGGCTTTCCAGTTCATGACTAGGGTTTTTCCTTTTGCAGGCTTTTATGTGTAAGCAGTTGGGTTCAAAGCAATGGAGAGCTATAGTTGGAATCTTACATCCAGTATAGGCATAATTATTAAGGACCCCTAGGCCAGTGCTATGGTCCTAAGAACCATCTTTGATGTCAAAATGCTACACTTTGACAAATAATTTAGGCCTACGATTTCTACATTGTCATTTAATTTTACTACATACTTGGCAAAAAATGTTGTTGAATCTTGAACATGGGAGCAGGGTTCACACAGTGAACTTCAGAGATCAATGTTGTAGTACTTCTTAAACTTTAATCAGCTGGAAGAAGCCCTTCCCCAATGAATGCTAAGTGAGTGGGCTGCACCCTTTTTCATCACATTGCACAAATTTTAAATATCCCACTAGTGAATTCTAAATCACACCTGATTTCTGAAATACTAGATCTTTGAAGACATCTACCTTGCTGAGAGAAAGACCATAAAAATCATACTGGAATATGCAGATATATTTTTCTTCTACATCTTTTTCCTGGAGATGCTTCTGAAATGGGTGGCTTATGGCTTCAGAAAATATTTCACCAATGCTTGGTGTTGGCTTGATTTCTTTATTGTATGTGTAAGTATCAGATTTAATCTTACTGTCCTGCATGTTGCTGTAATGTACAATTATGTGAAGTAGCTACCGCCTCAGAGATCCATGTAGTAAATGGGCCAGCCTCACAGTTAGGTAGCGTGAGCAAGCCACCCCGGGCAGCTGATTTTGGGAATTTGTGCCAGGTAGCAAAATAATGTGGTTAGCCCTAGGAACACTATGTATTTTGACTCGCTTTGGGTGTGTGTGCGTGCTGTCCCATCTCAGGCAACATAATGTTGATTTAAATCAATGATCAGTGTCAGTGTCCCTGATCTTTGACATAGGGAAGACAATTGGTGGAGGAAAGGCAGGGTCAAGGGGCGGGGAATCTAATACATTCTGGATTCCACAGAGGGGTTGCTTGATAAACAAGTCAGCATGGAAAGAATTCCCTGAAGGCACAATGTTTGAAAACCATAACTCCACATCAAGAATGGCGCATGGGAAACCACTTAAACGAAATTGTCTTAATTTGGAAATAATTTGTATAAATGAGTTAACATTTGGAAAATCAATAAAAATAATTGGCATAAGAAAACCATAACTCCAAAGATATGTTTTACAAGTAAACAGCCCGTGTTTTTCCTTTCTTTTTCTTTTTTTATCACAGGTTTCCTTTCCTGCAAAAACAACGGGAACAAAGGGAAGAGATCTGTGTGATAGCCACGTCTCCACAAAATCTCTCAGAACTTTAAGAGCCCTGAGACCTCTTCGCGCATTGTCCAGATTTAAAGGGATAAAGGTACTAAATACAGTTTTTCTGTTACATGTCCCACAAAACTAAGGCTGTGTTGAGCTGGTAGTAGGGATGGCAAAATCTATCCCATTTTGTTCCATTCTAATCCATCCAATTATTAGATAAAAATTAGATATTTTTTAGATAATTCCAGGGAAATCCTAAACAACCCAAACATAAAAAGAGTCACAAAATGCACACATAACAAAACAAAACAAGTAGTATTTAGGACTCTGTTTTTCCTGTTTTAACACTATAAAGCTGCTTGGACATGAAGTCATTTCCTGCATCATTTCAAAAAGTGTTTTGAAGCTTCTCCAAGCACACACAATTGGTAAAACAATTGACAGGCATCTTGCCTGGTACCCCTACTTTAAAGGCGGTCTTTTAATTTTGATTTTATGAATGGAAAACTGAGTTAGTGACTTGCTCAAGACTGCCTTTTGACCTGGGATTTGGACCCACTTCCCCATAGCAAATTCTAGCACCATATTCACTCAATTGGTGGTGCTCATTTGTAAATCAGGAAAAAGATCCATACTTAATCGTGTAATTGCCACACGATTATCAGATTGCTTGGTTACGTGCTATCATTGCTTAGAGCCATTGGTGGACTGATTCTATTCATTGAATAACTGATTGTGTGTTTCATTTTCTCATTTAAGGTTGTAGTGAATGCACTCGCAGGAGCTGTCCCTTCGATCGGGAATGTGCTGCTTGTCTGTGTTGTTCTCTGGCTCCCATTTAACATCCTAGGAGTACAACTGTTTGGAGGAAAATTTTCGAAATGCAGTGATGCATCTTTAAAAAATAAAAATGTCTGTGAAAGTCAGAATTCCGAATGGACTAATACGAATGTCAACTTTGATCATGTTGGGATGGGGTATCTGGCTCTCCTCCAGGTGGTATGTTCAATCACACATAGTTTCTTTGGCAAGAGAACAACCTTGGCAAGCCACATATGTGCAGCCAAAGAATAACAGATAGAAAATTTCTAAAGAATTCAGAATTTGCTTCTGATATTCAGTTTTGAAGGATTTTTTTTTTAAAAAAGAAAATACACAGGAGAGCAACCTTAAATATTAAGAAATATTGCTGATTGCTGTTAAACTGCACATTGAGATTTCCAGTTTGAAGCTAATCCATGATCTGAAGCTGAAACTAGCTCCATGATCCAGGGCTTCACAATGCCTGTGTTCTAAAATGCTACAGAGGATGTACTATTATATTTCTGAAGTATATCTCTCTCCAATAGAAGACCTGTACAAACATGAAGTGTAGAGAATGCTCAAGGGGAGGGATGGTAGTGTGAGCATGCTAGCTCCACCAATATTCCAGTGTTGTTCCTTGATTTGTGAATGGTGACTGTGCAAAGAGGGAAGGCTCCTGTATCTGGAGGCACTCAATGTATTTTGGAACCCTCATTTTTCAATGTTCCAAAATGTGCATTTTGAAGGGGATGTTTCCTCTGGTCTGGTTTTTTAGGGACAGTTATTTTATTGGCAATGGAAAGTCTGTTTCTGTGCCCCTGAACAGTGTAAGATAACAAAATAAAAATAATTTTTTTTTATATAGGCAGGCACCTTCTATGCCAACTTTTAAATGCTTGCTGAAAACCTTTTATTCCTCCAGGAATTGCCTGTGCAGGCAATTAAGAGTACATCTCTCACAGTGGTCTATTGGTGTTTGTACAGTGTCTTTATCCATGCATGAGGCAGGCATGTGGATAGACAAATATGGCTGCACCTGTCAAGTCTAGTGCATCCCTTAGCTTACTCCTCAGGAGGGTGGCAAGCCAAATGGGTGTTAGACTGTCAGACAGACTAGGAAAAACAATTTACAGAATACTTCCGTAACTTGGTTTGTTTATATATATATTTTGCCAGGCAACCTTTAAGGGCTGGATGGAGATTATGTATGCTGCAGTAGATGCACCTTCAAAAGTAAGCCATGAAAAGTTACAGCATTTGTCCTTTTTAGATGCTTTGCTTCATTTTTATTGACCGGTTACACTATTGAGTTGTATCATTCTATGTACTTTTAGAATTGTTACAGCTTTCACCCCAAAGAATCTTGGGAACTGGAGTTTGGTGAGGTTGCTTACAGTTGCAAGATAGGGATGGGATGGAGGACATTTCTCCTTGCAGACCACATTTTAAACTGTTTTTCTCCCAGTGGGTGTTATTCCAGCCTGAATTAAAACACCTCATTTTTACACTCAAAAATGTTTACTTTTAGTTTGTGAAATTAAAATTATTCAGCCCTGAAAGAAACATCTCCCTGCATATCTCTGAGCAAGCTACCTAAGTAGAAGGAAGCAGGCTCAAAACAGTAACTCCTGGAGAGATGTTGTAGACAGCTTTCTCTGATAGTGAGTAATTGCAAAATTACAACTATGAACTGGAAGTGCTTCATCCTATGATGATTATAGTCTTGTACTATCTAGAACAGTTTATCTGAAATTTTGCCAATACCCTTGCAGCAGAAAGGAAATATTAGTTTGCTGCTGTCACCATCAGTTCCTATGCCTGCAAATGGGTTCGGTGGTATAATTAATCAAATTCTCTATTACTTTTTTATTTTATTTCAAGCTGTCTCAGTTCCTCAAGTTCCTCAGTAAACGAAGTTCTACATGCCTATGGGAGAGGACACTGGGGAGGAACTGCCAATAGCCATATTCAGTCACCCATTCCAGAAATCAGGGGTGCCAACTTGAATAAAATATTGGGGGGTGCAAAGTAAGCCCTGCCCTGCATAATCACATGATGCGGTACATGGACACCACTTGAATGGCAGTGTCCATCAACTGGGGCAGCAGCCCCCTCAATTCCCCTGGCTCTCTAATTCCCCAGGCTCATCACCCACTATTCCACCATGCACCCCAAAACATCCAATAAATACATGTCAAGCTAAAGACCTATATTGCTTAAAAGACTTCTACAAAAATGACAGCCCCGTATCAAATACCTAGGAAATACCTATCAGGAGTGAACATAGGCCATTAGTACCAAAATGTATGGGAAACCACCCTATTAGAAAAGTTAACCAACAAACTTAAACCAGCATAGGGGCAAGCAAAGGAGGACGCATGCACCCCACTGTGGTACCCCTTTATCACATACACAGCACAACAAGACAATGACCTATGCCCCCCCAACAGCATATGAATCAGTATGGTTAACCTGACCCAACAACCTACCCTCACACACATACATACAAACATGCCCCACTGCAATCAGCTGAATGCAACCAACCAAGCTCTGGCCTCTGGATGCCAGCAAAAACAAATAACTATATAAATAAAGGACCTACCCATGAGACGCTGACACAAAAACCACGCACAAACACTATACAGCAGAATGAAAAGATCATTATCTCCCCAACCCTCTCCCTCCTATCTTCCGTCCCCACAATGCCTAGTACAATAGTGTCTCATACTGAATGTAAATGAACTGTGAAAAAGAAGAAAGTGAAGATGCTTTATGTACATTTCCTTGCTTATTTGTTTTCTATCACAAAAAAATCTTCAATAAAAACTAATTTAAGAAACACAGAAACATCTCTCACATTACTTCCTGAATCCCCAGAGCACCTGGGAACCCAGCAGGCTCTGTAAATCTCTGGAGGTGACCTGTTCTAATTGGTCCTCCACCATTTTGGATATAGCTAGCTGTATGTCTAGTCATGATTACCTTATTTCAGTAACCAGAGTACGAGGGCACTAGTTCAGGTGTAGAACCGTGAGTAGTTCAGCATGTGTCCTTTTATACATTGCCTACTGTGTCTCACAAGGTGTATCTAATTACATAGCATCCATTTATGCTTTTAAACAAATCAAACAGGGCAATGAAATATTCATGATAAATTAAGAATTGACATAATTAAGTCACAAAAAAGGCGTTTCTTGTCTTTCTACTTTATTTCAGGAAAATGAACAGCCAAGTTTTGAAAATAATGTGTGGGCATATCTCTATTTTGTGGCTTTTATCATATTTGGATCGTTCTTCATGCTAAACCTCTTCATTGGAGTTGTTATTGACAATTTCAACCAACAAAGGAAAAAGATAAGTACTCACATGAGTTACAAAATATTTCACTCCCATAAAGATTGTATAATAGTTGGATAGAAATGGTGAAAGCTTTGTGTTCAGTACAGTGTTGTAATAGACTGCAGCTGATAATGTCTAAGGCATTGTTAGTCCAAGGCCAAAATCAGAAAGAAAGTAATCCTCAGTACCACTTGTCCTGTTCAGGAGATATCAGATTACATTACATGGGAACCAGAAAAGAATCATAGAATTGTAGAGTTGGAAGGGATCACGAGGGTCATATAGTCCAACCCCCTGCAATGCAGGAATCTTTTGCCCAACGTGGGGCTCAAACCCATGACTCTAAGATTAAATGATTAAGAGTCTCATGCTTTGCTGACTGAGCTACCCCACAGTAGCTTGCCTGGCTGGGTCATAAGGAAATTCTTTATGAATTTCCTTATCTTTCCTCCAAGGTGCTCAAGATTGTGTACATGGTTCTGCCCCTCCCTATTTTATCCTGTGTGGTAGTTTAGTCTGAAAGATGGTGGATATCTCAAGGTCACCCAGTGAGCTTCATGACTGAGTAAGGAGTGACACTAAAAAATGGATTTCCTTTTGACTGATTAGCAGAAAGCAAGAAAAATAGCTTTAGGAAGGAGTATTCATAGATCCCGAAAAAGAGGGTAAGGGGTATCCATCTAGAACATTGAAACTTCTGGTTCTCTCATTGTTTTGCCACAATTGTGATGCCCTACAATTCATGGCATAGAAAACTTGTGGAACTGTTTTCATTTCATATAGACCTTATATTTTAGACAGTGGTGCTCATAGTTGGTGGTAGTGGTGGAAGCACCATGAACCACCACTGATTTTGAAGGATATCCAATCATAGTCTTCACCTCCATAACTGTGACTACAGATGGTAATGTAGTAAATAGCTTTACCAGTTAAATTTCCCGTAGTGCTGGAAAGTACTTAGTTGGATTTGCATAAAAGCTTGATATCTTCAGACAGGAAGATGCATTTTATATTTATTTCCTTATACCTAGGGGGAGAACTCATTTTTATGTCAGACGAACAGAAGAAATATTATAATGCATTAAAAAAACTTGGTAACAAGAAACCACTTAAGCCCGTTCCACGGCCGCAGGTAAGACAGCCACTAACAATAAGTGCATTTCCTTGTTTGGTTTTGGAATTAACTTGGAATTACCTTTCAAAATCTAGTATAACAAGTTATTTAGCGGTCAACATTTTGCCTTTTGCTTTCATAGTGAGAATTCTTTACTTATTTCAATAGGTTTACTCTGTGTAAGACGAAAGAAATTAAGCAAAATTAGAAAAATTATAGTAGTGAAGAAAATGCATTTTTAAACAAAGGCTCATATAACTTGACTTGCTCTTCTAACAAGCATTATATCAGTGATTGCCGCCAGTTTTGTTTTGTTTAAAAATATGTTATGCAACCAGATAATTAATGCCACCATCAAAATATAAACAGGAAAATCACGTCAATTTTATCATTACGTTTGTCTGCTTGGCAAGCAATCCCCAGATTCCCAGCTTTTATTAATTTTTGAGGAAGTTTCTAGGATTTTTAAAATCTGAGATATGAGGCACAATGTTCAGACACTATTCTTCTCAATTTTTATTAGCAATTTGACTGCTCCACCTTTTCAGTGTTTTGCTTCCTCACCCTCACCCCCTGAAAAAAGTGGGAGAGATGTATGTGTGGGATGTGGGTGTCAGCTTGTAGTTTTTCTGGTACTGGGGGCTGCTCTCTGTTGTTAGACAGTGTTTATGGAATCAATATTGTGTATGGGAAAGCAGTACTATGTGGACTTCACAGCCAAGACCAGCAGGACATAGCTGACTTCCCATGGTAAGCCTGAGGTCATCTGGGGTGGGGAGGAAGCAGCAGCAGCGATGGTACTCTTATTTTGTGTTATGTCGTGTCCCCTGCCATGGCATGTTGTGTTATGCCACATTCTTATGGCAACCATTTTGTGACTGGTGCCCAAAAGGTGCCTGCTCGTCTGAAAAGGTTGTTGATTCCTGCAATAGCCCCTTTTCATATTAACCCACATGATCCAGATATGAAAGTCATAAGAAGAGAAAAGGACCAAACAAGGTGTTTAGTCCAGAATTCTAGCTTGTGCAATTCAATAAATAGTGAAATAATGCAAACTAGGGAACTATATTCTACATGTAAAACATGTATCTGCATATCTTTATCTAACTACAAGAAAATTACTTTCCTGTCCTAAATACTGTGCTCAAGTAAAAATCTGTCCCTATAGCCTATTAAAAGACAATTTTCTGGTTCTCTTGCAAAAGATTCCTCCCCTCTTCTTCTTTCATTCATAGCTATAAATTTGTTTATAATATAAGCAAATACAAGTTAAAGCAAAATTTAAAAACCCCCAGTGAGAAACAGCCAAAAAGTATAGAGTTATGTCATTTGCCTCAAAGAAAAGGGGAAATCATTAGTGAGTCAGTGGTGCCAATTCTTCTTGCTTTTTTCCCCCTTTTGCCACAGAACATGTACCAAGGACTTCTTTTTGACATTGTAAACAAGAAAGCATTTGATATTTTCATTATAAGTCTAATTTTATTGAATGTGGTGATCATGGCAGCAGAACATGAAGACGAAGGGGAAGCTGTTAAGAGCCTTCTTGAAAATATAAATCTTGTATTTGTCGCTATCTTTACTGGAGAGTGCATCATCAAAATGTTGGCTTTGAGACTGTATTTCTTCAAAGACGGTTGGAATATATTTGATTTTGTGGTTGTGATTCTTTCAATACTTAGTAAGTAAAAAAAAAAAAAAGTTCATGTACATCAGAGTTATTTCTTGTCAGCAATAAGCAAATGCAAAAATGTGAGCTTGGACCAAGTCTGCATACCTAAGAAGTTGCCAATTGTATTAAATTATGTAGATCAAGGAATCTGTGTGGTTGCAAGAATGTCATGCGGTGTAGAATATGGTCTGAGAGATGGATGTCCAGATTGAGTAAATAGACATGCTCCATTTGCCAAATCCTCATGCTTGCTCATAGATCCAGGACCTGCCTGCTCATGAGATGGGCTAATACAGGTGGCAGAACACCAAGAGATGTTGCCCCTACAGCATCCCAGATGCCACTTGTAGTGGTAGTGGCAGGAGATCTTGTGCACTCTGTGAGATCTTGTAAGAGCTCCATCACATCTCACTGGAGCCAGCCACTGTTGTCCTCTAAACAGGCATTCAGATAACAATTATTTTAGTGCAGCCTAAATATAGACCTAAATATTTAATTTTGGCTTAGCTTAAACTGGAAATAAAAATGCATTGTTGCTGAATTTTTCAAAAAATGAATTATTTTAATAGGTTCTGCAGCTGGACAACTTCGAAAAGCGCTTGATTTCCCTCCTACAATCCTGAGAATAATTCGAGTAGCCCGTGTTAGTCGACTACTGAGACTTATCAGAGGAGCCAGAGGGCTTCGGACCCTCCTTTTTGCATTACTGATGTCCCTTCCTTCTCTCACCAACATTGGGCTTCTCCTTTTTCTGATCATGTTTATTTATGCTATTTTTGGTATGTCTAACTTTGCCTGTGCAAGTTGGCAAGGTGGGATTGACAACATTTTCAACTTCCAAACCTTTGGCAGCAGTATGCTTTGTCTCTTCCAAATAACAACATCTGCTGGCTGGCATGACCTTCTCAACCCAATGCTGAACACTGAGAACATCACTTGTGCTCCCAATTTAGGTGGAAATAGTCCCTGCGTAAACAGGAGTGTGGCAATTGCCTATTTTGTAAGCTACATCATTATATCATTCCTCATTGTAGTTAACATGTACATTGCTGTCATCATAGAGAACTTGAATGTTGCCACGGAGGAAAGCACAGAACCTCTAGGCGACGATGATTTTGAAATTTTTTATGAGATTTGGGCAAAATTTGATCCTCGCGCAACCCAATTTATTTCTTACTTCGCACTTTCAGACTTTGCTGATGCTCTAGCAGAACCTTTACGCATACCCAAACCAAACAGGCAACAGCTGATGTTAATGGACCTTCCTATGGTAAACGGAAATAAAATCCACTGCTTGGATATCTTGTTTGCTTTTACCAAAAGGGTATTGGGAGAATATGGGGACATGGGTCCACTTGAGACCCAGATAGAAGAAAAGTATCCAGAGAAGATTGCCAATGAACCCATTATAACGACTCCCAAGCGAAAAGAGGAGGAATCTGCTGCCATTATCCAGAGGGCTTTCAGGATGTATCTCCTTCACCAAGCAGTGAAAGAAGTCTGTCAGGAAACCTGCAACAGCCCCCCCTTGGAACACATACAAAAGGAGGAAGGTGGGTCTGCAGTCACACTTAGTGAAAACGAAGACAGTCAGTCAAGTAACTCCCACAGCCCATCTCCCGTGTCTATTCCTCCGTCTTACAGTAATGTCACAGGCACCACTAATGACATTATTCAAGTGAAGATCACAGACACTAGTGAACCCAAGTGATTTACAGTTCGCTATTTTTCTTGTCACAATACAATTTTCCAGGAAGTGTAACACTACAAAAATATTTCCATCATTATAGCCACCTTTATTTAACACTTTTAACTGTGAAGCTTTCCCATTTGTGTATCCTCTTGATGCTCTTAGCAGGAATAAATATTGCAACTGGAAAGTCTTCAATAATAGTTAAAGGAGAAAAGATTTGTACATTTACTGCTTAGCTTTATTAACTGATTGGTTAGCATGTTATTTTGGTAGCTGTTGGGGCCACCATCAAAAAACATGAGCCATGGACTCCTCTTTATCTATGAATGCTTTGTGGTTGCCCCCCCCCCTTTATTCAAAAATACATTTTGGGACCAGGAAAGAGTCCAGTTGCCCAGAATAGTTTATCATGAGACGTGGGCCTTGTGGTGCAACATGGCTACAACAAACTGTCAGATTCAGCTCCTTTGCAGAGAAAGACAAAAGCAAAGGTGAACCTGTAGCCAGTAAAAGCTGGTCTTCTAATTGTACAGACTGGCTAGTAAACCATACCTAGAGGTTTTTGTACAGATCAAGGAGCATCACCGGACTTGCTCTATTTTGTGACTGGTCTCTCCTGTTCATTATTTGGCCAGAGCTTGCTGATAGTGCACAGATTCAATCCCTGAACGACATCCTTCAGGTAACCAGTTCAAGATATGTTGTGGTTGTTCAAGACTGAGTTTTGTTTTAAAGAAGTATCAAGATAAGGCATGGTGAGTCAATCCATTTGAGTCTAAATTGATTCTTATTGAATATATCATGGCTGCCCCTCCCATTACATGCCCACACATGGAAGTAATTTTTATACTATGTAACTGTTAAATTGTGTGGGGGAAATTATAATTCCTGCAAAACACTACAGCGATCACATATTTCTACTCATACAAGTCTGGCTGCATGTGTTCACACAATGTTTTAAAATAAGTGGGATTACTTACATCAATGTGATACATATGTACACACACTGTACAAGTAAGCAAATAAATGTACTTGCCTAATGTATATTATAAAATGATATTTCACAAACTATAGCAATTAAATAAAAACAATTGGATTTTCAGACTTGTTGGCTGTTCTTGGTGGAAAATGTAGGTGCTGGAAACGTTTGTTCATAAATGGATTCACGCAACATTGTCTGGGGCAAGGGGCAGGAGAATAGCAAGGTTACAGTGTCAGATTTCTACAGAGCCCTGGGTGTACATGAACTAGTTGGTCTGGAGACACAGACTTACAAGGGATATGGGGGAGCTGTCCATTTAGGGAAGACTGGCACTAATTCTGGAACACAATTGCTGAAACCATTGGAGAAGCTTTCCATACAGAAAATAAGGCAAGAAACAAGGAGCTGGATAAGACAACGAGGCAACAACTGAAGGCTCTTGTAGTAGACCTTGCAGCCTGTATCAGCTGGCAAGTCCTGACAGTGGAGAAAAGTCTATTGCCTGGGAGAAATAACATCCATAGAGTGGCTCCCTCTTACAGCATGAGCATGTCCTTCATTTAATTCCGAAGTCCCTTATTAACTAACTGCACTGGTTTTGGAAGCAAAATGAAGCAAAATTCTCCAACTCTGATCTTTCTCCACCAGCAAGTAGACACTGCCTGTATCACTTCTGTGTCTAAATCCCAACCGTTTTCAAAGCACAGTCCCCACTGACGCTTCCATGGACTTTGGGGTGCTCAAGACCTGCTATATGTGGCCATATGCTTTTTTCCACCTTGCAAAAGTGGTTGTTGAACGCTTGGTGTGAAATATGTTGTAAAAAGTGACAGCTGCACAACAGTCAAAACACCTTTAGGTGGCAGTATCTTCTAATATTTTAAAACATTAAAAGCTTTTAGTGCCCAGCACACCCCACAATTTCCCACAAGTTTTGGGAAACTTTTTGCTCCACCACTGATTTTGGTAGTGGTCTCTGCATTTATTTACTAAACTCGAAAAGTCCCCAAGAGGCAAATGTCCCCACTTCCATCCTGAAGTTCCCTAAGACATATCTTCACTACCAAATTATGCAAATTTTATATCACTTGCATTTTAATTGCTTCTCTCAATGAATCCTGGGAAATGTAGTTGATGAAAGGTTGAAAATTCTTTGCTGGTTCCATAGTACCAGAATTTTGGTGGAAAGAGGGGATAACTAGTAAACATAGTAGAGTTCAGGGATAAGTTATGAACTGAGAACTTCCTGGCCTATAGCATCTACATGTGACACAGGAAATCCATAATTCACATCTTCCAAAGCCAGTCTGTCGGTCTTAGAATTTACATTCTACCCTTCTAAAAGCAGGCCCCAGGAGTGCAACCTGCTAAACTCCTTTCTTTAGTTATGGTCATCTGTACCCCAAGCAGCATGTTATCTGTAAATGTATGTCATGGCAGTCTGACAATTCGTTTCATGGGGCATGTGTGGTGAGCAGGAAGGTGCTTCAGGATGATTTGAAGCAGGAAAACTAGACAAGAAAAAACTACAGTCTTCATCTCCCACTATAATATTAGGAAACCTGAAACCATGTGGGCAGGCAGATCAGGGTTACAAGTCCTGGGGAAACAACTTTGCATTATCTCCCTTGGTTTCTGAGACACCTTTCTTTAGAATTTAGATCAAGAGTATAAAAGTGTTAATTCTTCAAAGTTGTGTAGGGAGAAGGAGGAATCTTGTAGAAGAGGATGCATTGTGCATTCAAAAGCCATTTATTCTTCATAACACCTCTCTAGGAAATGGCATCAATTATTTTATATAAAGATGCCATATCAGTTACTTGTGCCTGTCTTCATTAAAACTCAAAGGGCCACAGACCCTTGAAGAGCTAATGAAATTTGCTAATGAAATTTGCAGCATGTGGTTAATAAAATATACAGGGAACTCTACCATAACTCATATACCATGGTTTAGGACAGGGATTATTCATTGTGAAGATTGTTATCCAGCTACAGCTAAATGCAGCAATTAGAGATGGAATTTTTATTATTTATTGCTCTCCCTCCCCACCCCCAAGTATACTTTCTAGTTTATCTTAATATGCCATCAGCCAAGCACTATCTGCCCTTCTTAAAGATATGCTTCCCACCACAGAGGTGGATTTAGGGGGGTGCGACCAGTTTGGTCTCACTGGGTGCCCATAATAATATAATAATAATTTAGTATTTATAGCCCGCCCACCCAACTGGGTTACCCCAGCCACTCTGGGTGGCTTCCAACAGATTAAAAACAGAGTAAAACATTAAAAACTTCCCTAAACAGGGCTGACTTCAGATGTCTTCTAAATGTCAGATAGTTGTTTTTTCCTTGACATCTGATGGAAAGGCATTCCACAGGGCGGGCGCCACTACTGAGAAGGCCTTGGTGCCAGAATTCCATTTAGAATGGAGAGCGAGAAGCGGGGAGAGGGGTGGTGCCGCCAAATTTTGGCATTGCACAGGGTGCCACTGAAATCTGAGACCCCAAAGTCTGCCAGCGCCCCCAACCTATTTCCTTATGAGTAATCCCTGTTTGACTCACTAACTCATTGCAACTTGTGCTTGTAACACTGTGTGCAATGCCTTGGGCATAAGTGGAGTGAGATCCCAGAACACCCCCTTTGATGCTATGGCATCAATCCATGTTGCATGTGCCTTTTAAACTTACCCAGGAGTCAGGCTGGGAGATACATCTTGACAACATTTTATGCCAGCCTTCACCAGCCTGGTGAACCAACACCTTTTTTCAGAGTGGAAAGTTTTGTTTGAAAAGTGGTGCTCTTTTTGAAAAACAAAACCTCTCTTTTGCCGCAAAATCCCAAACCCATGCTCTTTTCTTGGCAAAACATTTGCCAGATGAGGGGGATGGGATCAGGCCGGGCACTTTACTGTGGCTTGCCTACTTTAGAGAGGATGCAGAGATGATGCATAATATTACACTATGGATACAATGTCTACTTTAAAGGAGGCAATCAGAGGCAATATGCAGAGTGTAGTCCTTCCCCCCATCTCTCCATCTCTTGCCAAGAGGATTGTGCTGCGCAGAAATGAGCCGAACATTTGTTTCTGCCCTTTCCTGAAAGATTACTCAAAGGGGGGGGGGGCTCCAATCCATTTATTGAAAACGGGACTCCTGTTTCGGCACAGGCATAGAACATCTGCCTCTCCCCTGCCCTTTTAATTTATTTCATCACATGTATGTAGCACTTGATTGTAAAAAACAACCAAACTCAAATCAGTTTAGAAAAAGAACTAAGCAATGAAATTACCAGTAAAAAAAGTTTTTAACACTATCTAAAACTTTCCTCCCAAAATTCCCCCCCTAAAAAGCAGGTTAAAATGTCAGCATTCTACATATCTGGATTGTTATGTACTGAGGTTCTCACCCTGGGCCAGCAGGGGGAATACTGTAGATAGTTTCCACTCAGGTCCACATATGCAAATAAGGGATCGAAAGTGACGTTCAGTGATTGGATAGTTACAGAAAGTGGTTACTGTTGCATTCTAGTGGAGCTCTATATAAGCAGGCTGGCTGAACTCTTCAGTTCAGTTCTGTTCTGGCCTGTGAATAAACAAGAGCTGTTTGAAGAATCGCTGTGTCGTCTGATATGTTCACCCACAACTTAACATGGATAGGCTTGCCTAAACAAAAGTGTTTTTAGCAGGCACTGAAAAAAGTACAGGGAAGGTGTCAGTGGGCAGGGAGTGCTGCTACACCAAAAGATTGATTTCTTACAATTAGGTTTTACACAAAATAATTGGAAGCTCTCTTTCAATGTATCATAGCTGTGGCTAGTTTTACACACATATGTTCATATGATCTCTTGTTCTTTGAACGCCTGCTTCCCCTACTACTAGTATTATTATTAAGTAGCTTCTGTATGAACAGGAAACACATCTTTCTCTCCTGGAAGCCATTTGCACAAAGAATATCAAGCCAGATCCTAAGATCCTCTCCCACAGATAAATGCCCAGGTCTTTGCATTTGGAACCTGCAAGCCTTTCCAGTAACCTGAGC